TTTTAACGGCCGTTTAAAACCTTGCAGGATCGTCGGTGGCTGTGATGACTTGCAGGTCACGGGAATTGAACATTTACAAAACAGAACTCAATGAGTTTCACAGATTTTCCTTCATTATTACGCTTTTCAACGAAACTAAAAAACATTTATGATTATGGCATAATCGAAACAAAAAAGAGCAGCGACTCGGTTTTAACGGCCGTTTAAAACCTTGCAGGATCGTCGGTGGCTGTGATGACTTGCAGGTCACAGGTTACGCAAAATCTATCCAATCCGAGCGTAAATTCATCAGCCCGTCCCAGTGTTTGCAGTCCTTGATGTCAACGTTGAGGGCGGTATACAAACGTAACTGTGTGTCCTCGGGACTCGCTGGACCTGTACAGCTTGCAAGTCTCGGCTGTTGTGATCACTGATCGACTAGTCTCACCACAGACTTCTTTTGTTTGTTTTTGTCTTTACCCAACAGTAATTAATGTGCAGCATTGGTGTATCAGAATCGGGGGTCAAAATTGCTATCAGTTTATTATGTGAACAAAGATTATTCACACCCTCAGTGGCGTAGCACGGTCATTTGTGGACTGCTTTTATTATCACGAGCATTGACTATTAGTCACCAACAACCTTTGTTTGAACGCTTGTCCGTTAACTCAGTTGTCTCTTTTCATTGCATCTGACGAAGTAGCAATGAAGCAATGAATTTTTAGGAAGACCTTCTTTAAGTTTTGTACGCGATCTTCGCTGAATTTTGGACCTTCGGGAAATGTGGACCCTTTATATTGCCCTCTTCTGTTCAACCCTATTGAATGCAGAAACAAACTCTCACACACAGGGAATTGTATATGGTGTACATCGAAGATTTCCTACCAGAGTTGTAATGACTCGAGTCAATGACTCGACTCGAGTCCGACTCGAGTCACATTTTTTGGCGACTCGACTCGACTCGAGTCCCGACGGGTAAATGACTCGACTCGACTCGAGTCACTGCGAGCAAATGACTCGACTCGACTCGAGTCCCTCATCAGAATGACTTGACTCGACTCGAGGAAGGCTAATAAGACTCGAGTCCCAAAATAAAAGCAAAACTTACTTGCGAAAAATATTTGCAATGACTTACGCTGCGCCGTTCGCGTTGCCAGTTTTTGTTCACGTCACGTTAATGTTCGCGAATAATGTACGTTTATATACAGCGGCAGTCTGTTTCCTTCCTCCATAATGAAACAACAAACATACACCGTGTCGCGGACTCCCACCTTGTGGTTCTGTATACAGCATGTAATGCTAAACCCGGAACCAGACTTAAAACGCATTTCTCAATCCGTGGTTTCATCATTGGTTTCGGGCGATTTTGAAGTTCTTGGTGGAACGCTGGCTAAATTCATGTCCCGATTTCACACACAAAAATGGATACGGACGGGCCCACCTTTAAATAATCAGAAACAGTTTTGTATAATGCAATTAGGTTTTAACGTTGTCAGCGATCAGCGAACAACAAAATCTAGACCCGAAGCCAAACCAGTTATAAGACCGAAGTTTCACATCTTCTTTTCTGTGACGTGAGCTAGCAATGGAAACTGTTGGTTGGGTACCATACAGCATACTTTATGTCTTTGGATTTCCGTAATAGACTGGTGCCTTGTATTCTTTCTCTCTTGTGTTTGTTGCTTTTTTATTGTAATTAAGTGTTCAAATATTTGTGACTCGAATTGACTCGAGCTAAATACTTGACTCGACTCGACTCGACTCGACCACACTCTGTGACTCGACTCGACTCGACTCGACCTTGTTGACCTAATGACTCGACTCGACTCGAGTCACTTCTTTAAAATGACTCGACTCGACTCGAGTCACAAAAAGCAGTGACTCGTTACAACTCTGTTTCCTACTGTTCCACATCGTCGCCGTTTGGTTCATCTTCGCGTTTTTGCAACAGCTTATATTGGTTTTATCTCCACGTTTTCTAATCGAGGTTGTCCTCGATTTGACTCCGCTGTCCTGAATTACACAAAGGACATTCCTCACATATGCCCTCGATTTACACCATAAACAAACACACAAAACAAAGTCTCGCTGGTTTTTAAGGTCAAATTGCAGTTAGCCTCGTCAAATTGCCGTTAGCCTCAATATGCCATGGTCATCCAAAGTGCGCGCTGCGTAATAAAAAGACCACCGTGACTAGAAAATCGGACATGCGTGACGTCGGCGCTGTCCGATGATGGAAGGCCAGTTTCAGACCGGATAAGCAGGTTGTCTTGATTTATTTATTTTTATTTCATATTTTCGGACAACAATTACACATTTACTTAAACAAGAAAAATTGCCCTGGTCCAGACAAAAGTTTGTAAAAACTGTCATTAAAGATGTTTCAGACCCAAAACAAAAACAAAAACGGAAGATTATAATACTTAAATATTTACAATAAGATCAATAAAAATCCATTAAAAAAATCCATTTTAAAAATCCCCACCCAGATTTTTTGTTATATTACACAAACAAATCATAAAGAAACAAACAAAGGCACAAGTATAAGCAAACACAGGAGCAAACCCAGGGAAACAAACCCGCAAAAGACAGATTACACAAGAAAAAAAACACAGTAGCAACCGGAAAAAAAACTAATACAGTAGAACATACTAAATAAACCTAGAAAAAAATGAATCTACGAGCAAATCAGTAAAAGTGGCATCTGAGTAAAAACATTGGCATTGCAGGATGCAACAGGATATACAACATTGCATTATGCATTTGCTGCAGAGATAGACGGGCTGGGGGTATTTTACACAAATATTATATTACACTGACATGTTTAAAGTTTTGTGTTCATTGATGCTTGACAAAAAGTAATAACAAAATATTGATGTTCTACCTGTTGTCTGGTTCCTTGACCCTGCTTCAAATTCAACAGAGTAGGGATATGGTCAGGTCTGGGAACCAGGCTAGCTGGCTTTTAGTTTTACACGGATGTGTAACCAATGGCAAACAAAATGTGGACTATAACTACATTATTTTGTGGGCAATATTTGCAAAAAAAAAGTGAACGATCAGTCGACCATCGTTGAAAATTGATGCCACAAAAAAAAAATCACTTTTCTTGAAAACGACAGCACAACACGAATAATACACACGAGAGTCTTGGTTTAGATTGAAAGCCACTTGGCCAAGTAGAATACCCGCACACTTACAGTCGTGGTCAGCTGTACGTATAGACCATGCCGACAGGTAATTATAACCGCCGGGCAGCTCAAACATGACTGTAAGCATCTTTTGCATGCTGTTTGGCCAACATCGAACTGTCAAACGATTCATGATTTCAGGAGAGACACATGCGTTGCAGAAATGAACTGTACATGTATTTACTGAAAGTTGGCATCACGTGGTCTTCACTTTATGGAGGAAAAGCAATTGACCTATCGCCGTTTGCCGGATATGGCCATGAGCAACGGCCTCGATCAGTAGATGGATAAAAACACCGGGCGGGCAAAGGGTCAAGAATGGTGCAAGTCATTTGCCTTTGGACAGCTACTCGTGTCGCCACAACTTTGAGACATCTGTGCTTGACTTTTTCAGGATCAGCAGAAGCACAGAACTTGACAAGGTAAATCCATTTTTCTTTTGTACTTTCTTTTAAAGGCATAAAGGATCATTTTCTCACCATGAATTGCCTTCGTTTTCCTCTCAATTTCCAAGGAGGAACGTTGAAAACCTAACCTGTGGAAGGTTCCGCTCAAGCCAAAGACATTTATGCACAACCTTTTGATCATGAAGTCATGTTCATCCTAATCACTCTTCAATTCCAAAATCAGTCACTTGACTGATCGTTGCAAATCAAGCACAATTTTCAATGTCTTCTTAAAGCTATAGTCCATCATTTGTAAGTAGTGCATTTTGTTCGTTTGAAGCAACAAAAGTGTTCAAAATCTAATAAAGGATACTGAGCAACTAACCTGATGAAGTTTCAGCTAAGCTTCAGCTGTACATTCCGAGAAAAACAGCATTCTAAGATCTCAATTTCAAATCAAAAATCATGTTTTGAATTGTTTTGTAATTGCAGCTATACGCGGCGTCGCGCACTGATCCGACGAATTATAACAACCGCGCGCGCGTGTGCGTCGTTCCAATACTTGTGCGCGCTGCGCTGAATAACAAAACGAACTACTAATTTAAATTTTCCTACGGTGCTTCTTAAGAATCACCGTTGGAAATGCCTTCTTTCGTTGATTACTTCAAAATGACAGCTTCCCAGAAAGAATAATTTCACAGGGAGTTTAGTTCCCTTACCATCTTTCAACCAAGTTTGTTTTTCAACAGTAATTACGCCAGTTACTTTTCGGATGGCTGCAAATGATGGACTATAGCTTTAATGGCCACAATCCAGACGAAATAATTTCACGGGGTGTTTCGTACGACTATACGACGATCTTTAATCATATAGCTGTCTTTTTGTTACTAATTCGGTAGGTTACTTTTTGGGATAAAAGCAAATGCTCCGTTATGGAGGACTTCCGATGAAGCGCATTAGGGGCTTGCGATAGCCATGGTCACCACCGTTGGCCCGAGCGAGCCATGCGGTGACATGCGGAATCAAATAGGAGCCATGGGGGCTTGTAGTTTAGGGGTATATGTTTGGGATTTCCTTGACCACGGGTTCAGTGTCTTCCTGAGATCAAAACAACTTCCGTTTTCGTGTGACCTTGATGATGGTCTCAAGGTTGATTTTTCGCCAAAGAAAACCGATTGTCAGTTTCCAGAACAGCGTGAAATCAATGTGTATTTTGCTCCAAGGTGGTGTACAATAGTGCTGGTTTAACTGAAGGCATGTAATATGTATAGAACTAATGTCTCCTTCTCCCCCTTGACATTATGTTGTAAAGAGTTTTGCAGAGATTAACGGTCAGTAAATGATCCACTGTTAAAAATGCAGTGGTACATGTAGGACAATTCCTGCACTGCATGCATTTTGTTTTCGTTTGAAGAAACAAAAGTGTTCATTCTCTGTTTACAGGTTTTTCTTCAACTTTGAGAGTCGAAAAGGCGTTCTGGCCTGTGTTTGTCTGGACAGTGGCGGTACGAACTGAGCTCACTTGAGGTAAGTTATATTCGTGTAAGTTGACGCAATGTGTTTTCGGGGGGGGGGGCAGGTACCATCTTCCAATTTTGGTGCTGTCCAAACCGGGCGTTCGTGCACACTACAGGACAATAAATGGCGCTTTTCAGGGCGGCACAATTCCCGAGGTCGCGCGAAATTAAAAAAAAGCACTTGTAAAAGGCCGCTGGTAAAAAAAGGCACTTGTTTTAAACAAAAACAAACACTTGTCTACGAAAAGGCCACTCTTCACAAATATTAGGGGAAGGGTATTACGCTTGCGAAAAAAAGGAACTTGAATGGAAAAGGGCAGTCTTAACAAATCATTGGGGTAAATACGCCTCTGACTCCTACACCCCCACGCTCAGTCAGCATTTTAGTTCAAAAGGTCAAATTTTTCGACATGAATTTGATTGAGTGAACGTGAACGCGGGCCAACAGTGATTTGTGAAGAAAGAAAGAAAGTAAGGAAGTCAAAATTGAGTCATATACAAGTCCTCGTATGAGAATGAGAATGATAACGTTTCTCTGGCATTATTGATTTGTCTTTATGTTGAATGGCGTGGTTTAAACTGATGGGGCATCTGTTGGTCGCCTTATTTAACCTCCCATTGAAAATCAAAGCAAAAGCATTTTTAGAACACGCCCAAATCTGGATAGACTAGATGAAAAACAACTTTAAATTGATTGGCAAATGTTCCTTATCCTCAAAACTTAACCAAAGGTACTACTAATCACGACAGATTCGCTCCCCGTGAGAGCTCATCAACGTCAAGATGCCATCATCTACCGACTCCCTCAGCCTGGCCGAAGTGGAAGAGTTCCTTGAGAGCACCTTGCAGCTTCGGCTCCCTATGGACCGGCTGAAAGCAAACCGTGAGGGCTTCCTGCGTGACGTCATCACCAACTGCTATAGGCGGATTCCCTTCCAGAGTGTGACTGCGATAGCCACGCCCAAACCAGATAGGCGCGCGTTGTCCTTCCCAGAGATCAAAGTCAACATGATGACCCGACAGGGCGGCCTCTGCTGTGAGATGAACCGCTTCATAAAGCTGCTCTTGGAGACGCTGGGATTCGAGATTTACCACGTTTCATGCACCGGTTTTGGAAAACCGAACAATCATATGGCAAACGTGGTCAGAAACCTGAACCGACCGGGCGACCTTCATCTGGTAGACATAGCAACCGGGTATCCCACGTTCGGACCCATCCCTCTAAACTTTGAGAAGGAGTCGCCGATGTACAAGGACAGTTTCCTGTTTTATAAGTACGTGAAAGACGCAGATGGCAGCCTCCGATTGATGAACAGAGTCTCCCCGGATTTTAACGACTGCCCGCCGGAAAGCGTCGTCGACGAGTGGTACACGTTCATCGAGTTCAACTTGGAGTTCCAGGATTTCGAGTTTTTCGCGGACAGCATAGAGAACGTCCATACAGTGGAGAGCGGCCCGGAGGCCCTGGCGCCCTTTTTGGTCAGCTTGAGAGCGGTAGACTTTCGCAACGGGAGGCTCTTCGCCATCAAGGATACCACAATCATGGAGGAAGACGCCAGCGGTAGGGTGAACAAAAAGCGCATATCGTCCCCACATGAGTTGCTGGAGGCGTACAAGGTCCACTTTCCACAGTTTCCCACAGAGACTGTACAGCAGGCTATACGTAATGTCCAACTCAAATTTTAAAGCTTAGGCATAAGTCTGTCAATCGGGTCACCTCATTGACATGAGGTTTGCTGTAAAACATGCAAAACTATTATTGTGGAGGGCGGCAAACACAGGATTTGGTCAGAAGAGCATGATACATTTTTGTAATCCAGCATTTTCCCCAGCAAAATTGGCCAGCCCACGTAACGGTGAAATTCAGTAATGTAATGTTCAATCGCTTTTTCTTAGGTGTTATAGTTTTTTCATTTGATTTTGACCATTACAACTACAGCTAGTAGGAAACATACTTAAACTTTCACAATCGTTTTCTTACGGTGGCTCTCTACAAAATGGATAAATATATTGTTTGACAATTTGGTGTTGCAAGGGAGATATGGTGAGAAACGCATATCGTGACAGTCAAAAAAGTTATGTAGCTGCCAAGGTTTCAAACAACATTGGAATTGCGCTCTACAAACATAGTGTAAATCATGAAATAAATGTGCGATTGGCCAGTTTTAAACACTCTGTTGGAGATCGGTTTGTGTCGAGATGCTGATAATTATCCAAATTATAAATTTCCAATGATTGTGTTCAGCAATTGTACCTCAAGTGTTTCGAGACACCCCTCTAGGGATTTGATGGTAAGTCCAGTCTCGCGAGTGTCGCAAACAACTCCTTATATGTATATTGCCGCCCTTGGCGCACAACGCAGCTGTGCCTGTGTAATGTGAATTAAGTAAATTCATGAAATTCTGGCTCACTGTTCGTATCGCACATGCCTATACGTGATGATTGTGAATGTTTAACCAATAGGTTAAATAGGTTAAAAGGCACCGGATTTCACAGGAGTCAAAATTGTAGTGAAATTCCTACAGCAGCTGTATATATTATGTGCAGTCCTGGCCGAGGAAAACAAAGTCAGTTAAGTCTTTTTTTGTTCTGAGTTCTGCCCTAGTGGCCAAGGCATTTTTGAGTTCTATTGCCCATTGTGTTCAGTTCGTTGGACTAGGCAGGGCACGGCATTCCATTTTACGCGTCGGTATATAAACCAGAAGCGCATGCTTTCACCACCCCACTCATTCGCTGTGTAGAGACTTAGCAGTGTTATTGTCGTCTATACTCTACAGTTCCAGTCGCCATTTTTATGCCATATGTGTCCGAATACGGGAATAGGAACCATAATAGGTAGTGTTTGTTCCTTACAGTGATTGTTCCCGTGGAAGGACACACTAGTTTTTGTATATACGCCTGTAAATAAATATCATCTACCAAACCAAGAGAAGTTTGACGAACAACCAGGAGTCCAGAAGAAGCCGCTGCAAGTTTAGAGCGCAGACTCCAGATATTAATTTAGGGCAAATATTTATAATATAACTTAGTCCCTAAAAAATTTCATGTGATACTAGGAAAGTGTTTAAGACAAGCCAGCCGGTCTTTATCAACCGTTTAAAACCGGCCATGTGACGGGCTCTCGACCAATATGAATAGGTAAACCATGGAGCTATTTTAAACAAGCTGAGTACCCGATCGTAGATCGGGTAGGGCTTATTTGTGTTGGGGTTGAAAATGTGGGGAGTAATGTAAATCGGGGATTTACTTGAGAAGACATTCAGTTATGGAAATGCAAGAGATAGAACATAATAAAGTAATAGCCATATATTAGCTGATTAGGCAAAGAGATTATCAATATGTAACAGTGATTCAAATTCAATTCAAAGCTTCAGAAAATTCACTTCTAAGCTTTGTTGGGAAGTAAATATCTGGGAAAATTGGCTTTGGAAGAGTGAACAATAATAACATTGTGGTGTTTAGCTCAGCAAACAAAAACGGGGAAATACGAGCTTGCTGTTTGGAAACTGGGCCTTACGTGGGATTCTTGAATAAGTTCAAGGAAACACCCCCCCCCAAAAAAAAAATGTTTGTAATAATTATGTCAGTGTCAAAATGTTTTCTTTCCCATTAATTTTCTTTCTAATTATTTTGAGATTTTCCTTGAACTTTTTCAAGTCTCCCACGTTAGGCAACCCTTCACTAATATGCCAATAAACAGACACCTCGTTTTCCCGTTTTTCTTTGCTGCGCTAAATGTCACAATGTTATCATGTTCACATGATTTTCCTTAAAGTTTTAATAGGGTAACTGTGCCAGTAAGCAACCTGGTGGATTTGAAGCTCATCAATACTGATGTTTGGCAAGACTACTTGAAGATATCTGGAGACAAAGTAAAATGCGCGCAACTTTTGGGTATGATAGGAGCGATTTTGGATCGATACTTATATCCCAATAATTATTCAGTCGCTTATATGCGTTAGACAATGGTATTTAAGTAAGGATGTGAAGTAGAATCACCCAAAAAAAGTTTTTCAAAAATAAAAAAATAAAAAATATACCCAAATAAGGGCAAAAATATACTACACGGCAGGGATAACAGATTTATGCAAATTAGGTATATTTAGGGTCGAAATTAACGGTGGCATCCACCCACATGTTGTCTGTTATGGTTCAAAGAAATGATCTAGCATGGATGCCAGCTATTACCAAAAATGCCGTGAAATTATTGTCCAGGAAACTTTTCCACATTTGGCTGGCCTACTATCTTTGGGAAGTGCTTAATTATTATAAGTATTATTATTATTATTATTAACTTGGAGTTCCGGGATTCACATTCTTTTTCCAAACATGGAAAGCATACAGTGGAGAGCGGACCAAAGGCCCTGGCGTCCCTTTTAGTCAGATTTAGGGCTGTCGACTACCGAAACGGAAGGCTCTTCGCCATGTAAACTCTAAATGACAAAAAGCATCGAGACCGTCCTTGTAATGTGAGTCACCAACAACCTTTGTTTGAACTCTTCCCCGTTAACTCGGTTGTCTCTCTTCATTGCACCTGACGAAGTAGCAATGAAGCAATGAATTTTTAGGAAGACCTTCCATATTTTGTACGCGATCGTCGCTGAATTGTGGACCTTTGGGAAATATGGACCCTATTGCCCTCTACTGTTCAACCCTGTTGAATGCAGAAACAACTCTCACACACAGGAAAATGTATGGTGTATCGTGGATTTCCTACTGTTCCACATCGTCGCCGTTTGGTTCATCTTCACGCTTTTGCAACAGCTCCTATTGGTTTTATATACACGTTTTCTAATCGAGGTTGTCCTCGATTCGACTCCGCTGTCCTGAATTACACAAAGGACAAGCCTCACATTATGTGACCTCGATTTACACCATAAACAAACACACACATCAAAGTCTGGCTGGTTTTTGAGGTCAAATTGCAATTGGCCTTCATACGGTCATCCGAAGCGCGCGCTGTGTAATAAAAAGACCAAAGCATGACAAGAAACCGGACATGCGTGACGTCGGCGCTGTCCGATGATAGAAGGCCAGTTTAAGACCGGATAAGCAGGTTATCTTGATTTGTTTATTTTTGTTTTATATCTTTGGACAATAATTACAAATTTACTTTAAAAATAAAACATTGTGATGGTCTAGACCAAAGTTTGTAAAAACTGTTATTAAAGATGTGTCAGACAAAAAAAACCCGGAAGATTATTATACAGTATAAATATTTACAATAAGATCAATAACAATTGATAAACAAAATCCATTATGAAAATCCCCCACTCGGATTGATTTTTTTTATAAACAAACAAACAATTTATAAAGAACCGAACAAAGGCACAAGAAGGGCAAGTATAAGCAAACCCAAAGAAAGAAAGATACGCAAAAGACATATTACCCAAGAAAAAACAGTAGCACCCGAAAAAAATTAATACAGTGATAAAGAAGTAGAGCATACCTAGATCAACGTAGAATTGAATCTACGAGCAAATCAGAGAAAATGTGCATGTGAGTATAAGCATTGGCATAATTATAGGCAGGATGCCTAGTTTAAAGGTAATTATACAACATTTGCTTCTGCTATAAATTTTAGAGATGGACGGATTTGGGGTATTATTACACATGCATGTTTTAGTTTTGTGTTCATGGATGCTTGACAAAAATTAATAACAAATGATATTCTTGTTGTCTGTTTCCCTGACCCTGCTTCAAATTAAACAGCGTCGGGGAATCGTCAGGTCAGGGAACCAGACTAGCTGGCTTGCACACGGATGTGTAAGCAATATGGCAAACAAAATGTGGACTATAACTACATTTGGTAAATTGCAAAAAAGTAAACGATCAGTCGACCATCGTTGAACATTGATACCAAAAAATACTATGCGATACACTCGAGAGTCTTGGTTTTGTTTGAAAGCCACTTGGCCAAATAGAATGCCCGCATACTTACAGTCGTGGTCAGCTGTACGTATAGACCATGCCAACAGGTTATTATAACTGCCGGGCAACTCAAACATGTAAGCATTTTTTTGCATGCTATTTGGCCAACATTAAACTGTTTAATATGTCCACACTTTGAAACGATTGATAATTTCAGGAGAGACACATGCATTGCAGAAAGAACCGTATTTGCTGAAAGTTTGCATGACGTAGCCACGCCCCTCGGACAACCCTATGGAATGTGTGTACTCTAAGTTTTGTTTGTCTCAGATGTTGCGCGTTCCGCGTCCATGTGTATACCATATAATTGGACAATATTTCACAAGCTGCGTTGACGCGATTGTAACGCGATTCTGCCTCAATAGGTTAATTTATAGCAAGGCGGAAAATAAATGTAACGGTGATTTATAACGCCATGTTTATCACCAATTCTTTTTTCCCTTTTTTATTTTTATCTTGTATCCACATAACTAACGTTTACTTCCTCTGAATAATACTAACACTTAAAGCGATTTGTCCCCAAAATACTATTAAAGCCAAATTTTGCAATCGATCCCCTCGGCGTGACGAACCCTCGGATCAATGACCCTAGATCGAGCGGTAGTAACTCGTACCAGAAGAGCAGCCTTGACCGCTGATTTGTGTCAGTTGGATATGGCCATGAGCAACGGCCTCGATCAGTAGATGGATAAAACACCGGGCGGGCAAAGGGTAAAGAATGGTGCAAGTCATTTGCCTTTGGACAGCCACTCGTGTTGCCACAACTTTGAGACATCTGCGCTTGACTTTTTCAGGATCTATCATGCAGTAGCACAGCAAACTTGACAAGGTAACTCCATTTTTCTTTTGTACTTTCTTTTAAAGGCATAGGATCATTTTCTTTCCATGCATTGCCTTCGTTTTCCTCTCAATATCCAAACAGGCAGGTTGAAAACCTAACCTGTGGAAGGTTGGAACCGCTCAAGCCGTGCGGAGTTTACACTTTTCGAGAAAACACCGAAGACAATTATGCACAATATTTTGATCATGAAGTCATTTCCGTCCTATAATCACTCTTTAATTCCAAAATAAGTCAATTGACTGATCGTTCAAATCACCCACTTTTTTTTTTTAACCCTTTCAACTCAGCCCTATGTAAAATCGATCGCCGGCGATGGAAAATTTCTGAGTATTGTATTTTGTGTTTGCCGCCCTATTTTGACTAATGCTTGATACCATTTTTTAGCTTTATAGACTGGTTACCCAACGGTGTCATTTGTTTTTGTATCTGAACGTTACGTTTTCACAGGTGAAGTGAAAAAGACGCCGGACCTCTGTTGTGACCGTTCGCGTTCTTCGTCATGTACATGTACAGTGAATTCAAGTACGCTCTTTGTCACTTCTTTTGCCCTATTTTCTGCCTAAATCTGACCGGAGAAACTCCTAAAAAAAAACTGCAGATAACAAAGAACAACCCAAGAGAAACTTGGTTGACAAAGATGTTTTAAATCTTCTTGATTTGGGCGACGAAAATGATGAGAAAGGACCTTGACAGCAGTGTGCAGACATTCTGAACGACATGCGATGTATGTAGTAGGCCTACACGTACAGTGATGCACGTAATATCTTCCCAATATTTTTCGTTGGCATAAAAGCCATGATAATCATGATATTTGAACAATATTCTAGATGCTATGTCACTATTTATGCAAGGAAACATTTTCCAATAACTCAGTGGAAGGCATTTATATGTATTTTTATACAAAAAATAATATTTTTTTGTCTCATGGAATGGTGAATAAATGATTGCGCGAAATACCTCAAAATTCATACATTTTGCACCAAAACCGCACTATTTGTGTCATTTTGGGTCGGTTACTTTGACAACCATAAATGCATATAATTGCTCTCTGAGGAGTTTACTCATGAAGTGAGAGTCGCATTTTGTAGTGATGCATTCAAAAGTCTCCTAGCTGTTTGTTTTCATAATTGTTTTGCCAAAAATCCACAAAAAAATTATTAAAACAACCAAAAATTTAGGTTTTTAAAATGGCCGCCATTGAAAGGGGGGGGGTCAATTTTTTTCATTTTTGTCTCCAAAATTGTCGATTGCCCAGCTCACAAGCTTTCAGTTGGTATATAAATTACCCAGACAAAATAAAAAATACTAATGAAAAAGGTCCCAGAATTTAACTTAGTCAAAAAACCTCAAAATTAGGGCTGAGTTTAAAGGGTTAATGGCCATCCATCCAGACGGAATAATTGTCACGGGTGTATATAGTACGAGTACGACTATCTTTAATCCTTGTCATCTTTTTGGTACTAATTCGGTAGGGTAATTCGTTTGGGATGTTCTGTGATTTGGACTGCCGATGAAGCACAGTATGGGATGTTATCCTTCTAATCCTGTAGGGTTGCAGTCCAGTAATTTAAACGTTTAAAAAAATAAACTTCCATAGATCCCATTGATAAATGCTCCCACTTCAGAAATTCGAACAAACACACTCACAACTCTCCCAGGTGTTCGAGACACACATCAAATTCAGCTTATTTCATCATTTGTCATTTTCTTTTCACTTTGCGGGGGTTAACTGACGACTTTTAGGATTTTCCATCCGAAGATGATCACCCCTTAACATGGTCCTATAGCCCATCGCCATTTTGAAAAACGACGCCTATACACTCCATTGCAAAATAGAGCGCTTTTAGGGCTCCAATTTCATCCAAATTGGACAGAACACCAAGCTCACAGTCATGTGCACGGCTTCCACCCATATCTGTTACAAGCCGAAGAATTGTCAGAAACCGAAGAATTTGAGAGCACGGAAATCGTGATTTGGCCGGCGTAGGCAATTTTGGACCGATTTACTGGCATGTGCATGTGGGATTCAGCTCGATTCATAGCCTTGATTATTCACTTCCGGGTTCAATGTTTTTCTTTACTTTGCATTGCGAATCTTAGTCAAATACGGGAGGGGTGAGAGGATTTGCAAATTATTCTCTATGAATAATGTAGTTTTTCAACGACAAATCCTGCCACAGATCAATGACTTTTGGTAGCCCAAAACCGGCTCGCCCACGAAGCGACCCATGGGAAACAGAGTGGCGCGCCCAACTCAAGGGCCAATCGTGCAAAATCACGACCCTGTATCGACTAAATAACCATGCATGCGGAAGTCGTTTGGGAAAAGAAAATTCGCGGCCGGGGCCGGACTCTCACTTTGGGGCATTGCGTGTACGCATAGAGTATTATACGACTGCGGGTTTTGGGGCAATGTCATGAATAATTCAGTTTTTCCTTTGAATCATTGCAAGACTTAGGTTCTCGTTCTATTTTCCCCTTAATTTAAAATTATCTCAGTGATAAATTTGGAGAAGAAATATAGCTGATGAAAATGAGCAGCGACGACGTGGATTCGAACCAGGGATCTTTGTATCCATAGCTCATCTCGCTATCCACTGGGCTACTGTGTGGTAGCTCGACGACAACCGTTCTTTAAAATGCTTTAATGTATTGTAACTAGTTGAGTAACTAACAACAATGCTGTTGATGTCATTGTCCGTTCTCATGGATAAACATGAATTATTCATGACATTGCCCCTAACCCTCCTAGGAATAAAAATTAAGCGGTCGGGTACGGGTATGGTACGAGTACGGGTAGGCTATGGCCGGCCACCGCCTTGCACTCAAGGCTAACCGTTCGGCGGCAAATACACGCGTGGCGCATATCGTCTAGGTCAAGCCACTCCCTCGAGGGCATCCGGGGAAGGATTCAGCATTGGCGGAAGGGTGACTTTAGCGTACCGAAGAAGGGGGGTGTTCATAGGCATGTGCTTTTTAAAGGGGTCCGCTCATAAGTCCGACGCCTCATAGCCTAGGTCTGACGCCCCATAAGTCCTGAATGATAACGTGTCTGTAGCAATATTCTTTGGAGAGACTTTACAGTTAGGGATCATGATTGGTTTGTTTTTATGTTGGATGGTTTATTTAAACTGAAGCAACTCTGCTGGTCCACTTTTCAAACTTCTATTAAATATAAAAAAGCAATATTTTTAAAACAATTCAAGATTTGGATAGACCAGACAAAAAATAATTAATTGATTGGCAAATGATTCTGATCCTCAAACTTTAACCGAAGGTATTACTATTCACGACAGATTTGCTCCCCGTGAGTGCTCATTAAAACCAAGATGTCATCGTCTACCGACTCCCTCAGCCTGGGCGAAGCGAAAGAGTTCCTTGAGAACACCTTGCAGCTTCAATCACCTATGAGCTGGCTGAACGAGGACCGTGGGGGCTTCCTGCTTGACGTCATCGCCAGCTGTTATAGGAGGATTCCCTTCCAGAGTATGACTGCGATCGCCACGCCCAAACCAGAGCGACGCAGGTTGACCTTCCCAGAGATCAAGGTCAACATGATGACGCGGCAGGGCGGCATCTGCTGTGAGATGAACCGCTTCATAAAGCTGGTCTTGGAGACGCTGGGATTCGAGATTTACCACATTTCATGCACCGGCTTTGGAAAACCGAACAATCATATGTCAAACGTGGTCAAAAACCTGAACCGACCGGGCGATCTTCATCTGGTAGACATAGGAACCGGGTTTCCCTTGTCCAAACCCATCCCTCTGAACTTTGATAAGGAGTCGCCGATGTACAAGGAAGGCTCCTTATTTTATAAGTTCGTCAAAGACGTAGATGGCAGCTTCCGGTTGGTGAACAGAATCTGCCAGAATTATAACGAATGCCCGCCAGAAAGCGTCGTCGATGACTGGTACACGTTCCTTGAGTTCAACTTGAAGTGTCGGGAATTCCAGTTTTTCGCGGACAGCATGGAGAACGTCCATACAGTGGAGGACGGCCCAAAGGCTTTGGCGCCCTTTTTAATCAGCTTGAGGGCGGTAGACTTCCGCAACGGAAGGCTCTTCGCCATCAAGGATACCACCATCCTTGAGGAAGACGCCAGCGGTAAGGTGAACAAGAAGCGCATATCGTCTCCTCAAGAGTTGCTGGAGGCATACAAGGTCCACTTTCCTCAGTTTCCTGTAGAGACTGTACAGCAGGCCATACAGACTGTCCAACTCAAATTTTAAAGCTTAGTCATCTGTCAACCGAATCACCTCATTGACGTGAGGTCTGCTGTAAATCACCAATGCAAACGATGATTGTGGATAGCAGTAAACACTGGATTTGATCAGAAAATCATAAGTATATTTTTTTTTTGTAATCCAGTATTTTCCCCGGCAAATTTGCCGGCCCACGTAACGGTGAAATACAGTTACGTAGTGTTCTATCGCTTTTTCTTAGGCGTTTTGGGTTTTTTTTTTCATTTGTGTTTGACCATTACGACTACAGCTGGAAGGAAACAGACTTAAACTTTCACAGTCGTGTTTCCTACGGTGGTTCTCTACAAAATGGATAATACATTGTTTGACAATTTGGTGTTTCAAGGGAGATATGGTGAGAACGCATATCGTGACAGTCAGAAAAGTTATGTAGCTGCCATAATGTTTCAAACAACATTGAAATTACGCCCTACAAACATAAAGGGAATAAGTGTGTGCTTGGCCGGTTTTAAACACTCTGTTTGAGTTCGGTTTGTGTCGAGATGCTGAAAATTATCCAAATTATAAATTTCCAATGATTTTGTTCAACAATTGTACCTCATGTGTTTCGGGACACCCCTCTATGGATGTGATGGTAAGTCCAGTCTCGCGAGTGTCGCAAACAACTCCATATATGGAGATTGCCGTGATGTGACGCACAAAGCAGCTGTGCCTGTGTAATGTGCATGAAGAAATTCATAAAATTCTGGCTCACTGTTTGTATTGCACATGAAACCAATAAAACATTAAAAGGCACCGGATTTCACAGGAGTCAACATTTCATGAGATACTTGAAAAGTGTTTAACCCTGCGCAGAGTGACATGTGCACCTTTGGTGCACAGGTGACCGATTTTTTTTTTTTAATAAAAAGAAAAATTGAGGGCCAATGACGGTCACCTTCCATCTAATCCTCATTCAACCCTTGCCAAATAAGCTGGTTTAATGAACTTTGCAGCCAGGGCTTCACCCAGGCTGTGTCAACAAACTTTCGACCAGGCCTGCTGCCAAGTCTCATTGAAACATATGCAAACACCTGTAACTTGACACAGCCATCTCCCTTCATTTCCGCAAACCACACCCCCAGTCAAATATATTTTATAAGTGCTCTGTCTGGCAACTGCCTGGACACTGTCTGACACGTGGCTTTTTGTTGTTTGGCATGAATAGGGTCTTGCGTAGTGCGGGGAAGTACCTGTGGCCCAAAGGGCCACCGTTGGCGAGTTCTGTAAACGCTGCGCAGAGTTAAGACCAGCCAGCCGGTCTTTATCAACCGTTTAAAACCGGCCACGTGACGGGCTCCCGACCAATATGAATGGGTAAACCATGAAGCTATTTCAAGCAAGCTGATCACCCGATTATAGATCGAGTAGGACGTATTTGTGTTGGGGTTGAAAATGTGGGGAGTAATGTGAATCGGGGATTGACTTGAGAAGACATGCAGTTATAGAAGTGCAAGAGGTAGAAAATGAGAAATTAATAGCTGTTATAAGCTTACTAGGCAAAGATATTATCAATATGTAGCAGTAATTCAAATTCATTTCATAGCTTCAGAAAATTCACTTTCAAGCTTTGTTGGGAATTATATTTTTGGGAAAATTGGTTTTGGAATAGTGACTGGTGTTAAAAATGAAATCTCAAGAAATAAACTATATTTAAAGTAGCCCCCCCCCCCCCATTAATAAAATAAAGACAATAAAGAAAGTGTCTGTCTGGTCAGACTTGGCAGATGATTGTATCAAGTCGCCCCGGCCATCTGGCCGATTTTCCCTAAATCTCTGATACCCTTCACTGCGCTTTTTCCCACTGACAAGTTGTTTAAACCTGCAAATAATACAACATTTACAACTGCACCCAACTGGCGGGTGCCGCGCGAAACCCGCTATTACTCCAAAAGATTATACTCATCATGATGCTAATTATACTCACGCGATGAAAGCGTGTATTGATGGTCTGCGTCTGGTAGGCGTGTGTACCATCTACAACCAAGCACACGACCCTCGATACTTTTGACAGAATGGACGGTGTGGTGTTTTCTCTCCCGGTGATGTCGGCACTCTTTGGTAAGCCAAGTTATGAATAAAAAATCGAATTCCTTTTGAAGCTTTTATATAGAATTGTTTGTATATACCCGAAAAGTAACCTACCAATTTATTATCAAAATATCGTTCTGGTACTGAACAACCCGTTAAATTATGCTGTCTGGTTAGTAGCTGTCAATTAGAAGAATCAAGGAATGAAGGTGCTTTGTATCAATCAGTCAGTTGACTGGTTTTGCCAATAGAGTGATATAGATGGAATCGTCTGTCATAATCGAAGGCTTTATGTATGTTGTTTTTTACAGGTTTTTTTTTACTCGAAACTGTATAATATCTAATGAGCTTGAACTTTAGCAGGTTATGGATTTTCAATATTCGTTTTTTAATGATTTTGAGTGATTTTGTTATTGGAAATAAACACAATGCAAACGATCCGATCTCCCCTTACGACATGTGTTGCACATGTTGTGTTCATGTGGTGCAGTGAGCGTTCTGTAACAGAAAGAGGTATCGTCGTAGCATTTAATGGTTTGTAACACAGTGATGCCTCTGTTCTAACGAAATGATCAAATGTTTAATGTTCTGAATAGAATGTAACGATTGTCATTGAAAATATGCCTGAAAATGACAAATAAGAGCAAATCGAACACTGAAGAAATTAACTCCGAAAATCCTTTGTTTAAGCGATCGTCAACTTTTTTTAAAAATTGTGCGATAACGGTCCAAATTGTGGCAAAATATAGTCGAAACAGCGAGTGTTTGACAAATTACATAGTTGAAAGTTGTACATTAATCTGAGTACTACATTATGGTATGACTGCTTGCATTTTGTTCACTGTCCTACCGTCGTTGAATTCATCACGTTATGTGGTGTAATTTAGGTGTGCAAGAAAGCAGCAACCCTTGGTTGTGCTGAAGAGCGCCCTCTTGTAATTTATATTCATGAAGGTATTTTCACCAGACAGCAAGTAGGGCGCCCTCAGGCAGATCTGTTTCCTATAATATTTCCACACTTCTATTCAAGTATTTTCCCAGCAGAAAATTAACCCATTTTTCAATTATAACATAACCAAGTTGACTACAATTCCATCTACAGTTATTCTTAATTCATCCAAGATAATCCCTGCGTGCTTGATTTAAAGTATTATGTATATTTCTGATGTTTTAATGGGATTTTTTTACGGCGATTTGTAATTCGTTGTGATTACCCATTTATATTGGGGGTCAAAGGGTTAAGGATGATCGGGATAGTGGGAGGAATTGAGCAGCCCCTCTCCCATGAAATATCCCATACGTTCAGCGTCTCCAACAGCCTCTCTTAATCAAGCTCTTACTGCTTGGCTTCTTGTGCCGACCCCTGTTCATAAAAGATGGCAGAGGTGTGAAGGCGAGACTCTGGCGCCTAAAAACCAGATTATCCTCTGGGGAGGTGAGGCTCATTAGCCTTGGAAGGCAGCCCGCCTAGGAGAAGAAAAAGTCTTCAAACCCCCAGCCATGGGTGAAGTGGTAACACTGGTTGCTGGCAGCAGGGCGGCTGAGATGGTTCGAGAGCGTGGACAAAACGTCCATCCCGGTCTCACCGTCACGATGTCTGGCGGACGATTCCAAACTTGGGACAACGGCAGAGGTCAACAATCTCCGATGTCTTACCACTCGACCACCGAGCTTGCAGAATCGGTTGGCTGGTTCGAATCTGATGTAGGAGCGGGTTCCGCAATGAAACTATTCATAAGATGGGTTGATGTAAATCTATTTTGGGTTTTGTCCTTCAAACAATAGGAATATCATTATCTGGTGAAAAAATAATAAATTATACAAAATTCTATTGACACCGGGTAATGCATATTATTCGGATGGGCATAATAAAATTAAGGGATAGCGCTAGCGGCATATGGTCGAGAAAAGGTACAAAGCCTCTGTAGAGAATATATCAATAGGAATATCATTATCCGGTGAATAAATAATGAATTAGGGCCTATACAAAATTCTACTGACACCGGGTAATGCATATTAGTCCAGCGGATATGTAAAAAAAAATGTTTATATTCATGCGAGAAAATGTTTTAGATGGGTCGCCATCACAAATTTACCCTTTTAGGGGCGTGGCACCCTATTAAAAAAGGGGCGGGACTCATCATGCCCGCAGTGAAAACGGTTGTTCCCACTTGTCACAAAAGCAGAAAACTTCACAAAGACATAATTATAAAGATTATAAGTGTTTTCCAGATTTGGAGCCACCACAAAAGTACCTAGCGCTAGCGGCATATGGTCGAGAAAAGGTATAAAGGCTCTGTAGACAACATATGTGTTTGTGATGAATTCGTCATTTGATACTTAAATCAGCGATTTCCTTGATCTGTGAACACTACACTTACAAGGTAAGTTTGCACGTGTAAGTACACCAGTGTTTCATAGGTAGATGGCAAACTTGTATGTGTCCCCTGCCAATGTTTGTTTGCTTTGTTTTTGTTTTTAAAGGACACTCACCTAGCTGCAACAACATAGCCCCAGCAGTAGTTTGCTTATACCGTTTGGCGGCAAATGCCTACGGCGCATACCAGCTTTTGCTGGTTCCAGCTTTGGCTGAAGGGGAAGTTTAGCTTTCAGGGAGGGAAGCATAAATTATTTGTGTGGTTTTTTTTGCCAGGAGTGGGGTGGTTAGACCCCCCCCCCAGTAGTTCAGCCATTTCCCTGATTTCCCACTGGCAGACCATCCGACATACATTTCATTGGGTGACGACCAGGCAACAGTAGTTGTTTGTGAGGAAAGTAGAAAAACAAAATAACTCAAAATTTAGTTACATATAAGTCATATAAATATAATTTATCATTTTCTTTCAGTACAAAATTAGCAATTATGATGTTTTTCTGTGGGCACGGCAGAGAGATATTTGATTTATAAACATGCAAATTCAACCAAACTACAACCCACTCACAAGGATAACGTTTCTGTGGCATTTTTTTTGGTGGGACTTTGGCTCGTGGTTAGTTTGTCTTATGGATTTGCGATTCTGTTGATCCCCCTTACACAGCCTTCCGTTTCAAATTAAAAAAAAAATCTAGGCCTGTTTTTTTTACAACACGCCTTAATGTAGCTAGATAAAGACTACATAAAATCAATATTAATTGATTGATAATTTTCCTCCATAAACTTAACCGACTTTATTTATGTTACTGCGTTCGTAGATTCGTTCCCAGTGATTGCCAATTAACGCCAAGATGTCATCGTCTAACGACCTCATCAGCTTGGCCGAAGCGGAAGAGTTCCTTGAGAGCACCTTGCAGCTTCAGTTCCCCATGGGCCGGCTGAAAGAGGACCGTGAGGGCTTCCTGCGTGACGTCATCACCAGCTGCTATAGGCGGATTCCTTTCCAGAGTGTTACTGCGATCGCCACGCCCAAACCAGATAGGCGCGCGTTGACCTTCCCAGAGATCAAGTTCAACATGATGACCCAGAAAGGTGGTTTCTGCTGCGAGTTAAACTACTTCATCAGAGTGCTCTTGGAGACGCTTGGGTTCGAGGTTTACCACATTGCATTCTCCGCGTTTGGAAAACTGAACAATCATATGGCAAACGTGGTCAGAAACCTGAACCGACCGGGCGACCTCCATCTGGTAGACATAGGGACCGGTTATCCCTTGTTCAGACCCATCCCTCTGAACTTTGACAAAGAGTCGCCGATCTACAACGACAGCTTTCTGTTTAATAAGTTTGTGAAAGACGCCGATGGCAGCGTCCGATGGGTGCACAGAGTCTACCGGGAGTATAACGACTGCCCATCGGAAAACGTCGGCGACGAATGGTACACGTTCATGATGTCCAACTTGGAGTTCCGGGATTACGAATTTTTTATGGAGAACATGGAAAACATCCATACAGTTGAGAGTGGACCAAAGGCCCTTGCGCCTTTTTTGGTCAGCTTGAGAGCGGCAGACTTCCGCAACGGGAGGCTCTTCGCAATCAAGGATACCACCATCTTGGAGGAAGACGCTAGCGGTAAGGTGAACAAGAAGCGTATATCGTCCCCTCAAGACTTGCTGGAGGCATACAAGGTCCACTTTCCACAGTTTTCCACCGAGATTGTACAGCGGGCTATACAGATTGTCACGCTCGAATTTGAAAGCTAAGTTTGTCAATCGAGTCACGGCACTTACTCATTGAAATTTGCTGTAACATAATGTGATGCAATCAAGCTAAATGGGTCGTTGGTCGGGCATTTCCATTTGGAGATTCAGGCCAAAAATTAACAGGGCCACTTCATCACATTACTTCATCACATCTCTTGGTGTTCCGACTTTCATACTTTTGAACTAAAGATGATACTAGCATGCGGTTTTACAGCAGTAGAATACCAATGGAAAACGACGAGAGTTATTCTAGAGGCAGGGAAACACTGGATTTGGTCAGAAAATGATATACAGTTTTGTGATCCAACCTTTTCCCTGGAAAAGTTGCCCAAGGTGAAATTCAGTAATGTGATGTCTCATTACAATTTCTTTTGTTGTTGTTGTTGAGGTTTTTGTTTTTTCATGAGTTTTAATATGAGGCTTACAGCTGGGAGGAAACATACGTTAACTTACATGATCGTACATAGCAGCGGGTAACGCATAAACTATTATAAGATGGAATTTTTTTTTTTGCGCCGGGGTGATATTATTCAATTATTCAAGGGCAATTCCTAATTTGAATTACATGATCGTGTTTCCAAAGGTTTTTCTCTACAAGATGTGTTGTAGATTGTTGGACAATTCGGTGTTTCGTGAGAGATTTGGGGAGAAATGCATATCTTGATATTCATTGAAATTGGACAAATCGTAAAAAATGTGTACCTGGCAAGGTTTTAAAAAAAAATGCACTTTAACCGGTTAAAGCATTTAATTCATACTGATACTTCATTAACTTTATTTAACTCGTTTATCGTTTCTTATTTTTACTAAACTCGTTGATTGTTTGGGGCAATTCGGTTTCGCAAATTGGTAGACTGTTCCTCTTATATACAAACGAGAGTTGTTTGGATTATTTCAAAAGCTGGTTATCTTGACAACACGGTTCATTTACTCGCTAAATTAAATTTGTCATATGAAGACATCTATGAAAACGTTTGAAGACATCCATGATCTAAATGTGGGGAATTATGTATGTTTAAACTTATGAAAGGTTCGATGCCTAATAGTGTTCGTTCAACCATGTTATTATCCGCCGATGTTCATTTATATTAGGAGAAGTTCATCTCGAAGTACTTTGTATCAAATACATAATCAAACAACTTTGCTTAAATGTGGACGCTTACAACACGGCATCAAATTCTGGAAGAGCCAAGTAGATACCCTTGGACAGTCAGGGTCATAAATATATTCACACACATAAAACACACCTCAAAACCAAGTTGATGGCCGTGAGGGCTTTCTGCGTGACGTCATCACCAGCTGCTATAGGCGTATTCCCTTCCAGAGTGTGACTGCGATCACCACGCCCAAACCAGATAGGCGCGCGTTGACCTTCCAAGAGATCAAGGTCAAAATGGTGACCCGGAAAGGCGGTCTCTGCTGCGAGTTAAACTACTTCATGAAGGTGCTCTTGGAGACGCTTGGATTTGAGGCTTATCACATTTCATGCACCGTCTTTGGAAACCGAGCAATCATACTAGTATGGCAAACGTGGTCAGAAACCTGAACCGACCGGGCGACCTTCATCTCTTAGACATAGGAACTGCGTATCCCTTGTTTGGACCCATCCCTCTGAACTTTGAAAAAGAGTCGCTGTTGTACAAGGAAAGCCTCCTGTTTTATAAGTACGTGAAAGACGCCGATGGCAGAGTCCGATCGATGCGCAGAGGCTACCAGGAGTATGACGACTGCCCGCCGGAAAGCGTCGTCTACGAGTGGTACACGTTCATGGTGTCCAACTTGGAGTTCCGGGATATCGAGTTCTTTTTTTGCGGGCAGCATAGAGAACGTCCATACAGTGGAAGACGGCCCAGAGGCCCTGGCGCCCTTTTTGGTCAGCTTGAGAGCGGTAGACTTTCGCAACGGGAGGCTCTTGGCCATCAAGGATACCACAATCATGGAGGAAAGACGCTAGCGGTAAGGTGAACAAGAATCGCATATCGTCCCCTCTAAAGAGTTGCTGGAGGCATACAAGGTCCACTTTCCTCAGTTTCCTGTAGAGACTGTACAGCAGGCTATACGTAATGTCCAACTCAACTTTTAAAGCTTAGGCCTAAGTCTGTCAATCGGGTCACCTCATCGACGTTTGATGTAAAACACCAATGCAAAACAATAATAGTTAATGTGGAGGGCGGCAAACACTGGATTTGGTCAGAAAATTATATACATTTTTGTAATCGAGCATTTTCCCAGGCAAGATTTGCAGGCCAAGGTGAAGGTTAACATTCAGTACTGTAATGTCAATGTTGAAACAACATCGAATTATGCTCTACAAACATAATGTAAATTATTGATTAAAGTGAATGGGTAAAATAATTGAGTATTTTTTTTTCATTACTTAACACCAAAACAATAATCAGCACCACTGGTAACAAGATACAAGATAAGATTCAAGATGCCGGTGATGCCCATTAACAAGGTAAAAGTTGCTCAACAACAAGTAAAAGTTGCAGACTGTGAATCTTTGTTGTTTATGCTCCGAGTTGGTCTGGTTTGCTGACCTGACAATTTCCCCCTACGCCCAGACGTCTAAATTGTAAGTCAGGCAACCTCCGCTCCAAAAATATACATGACGACATTGACAACACGGCTACGTTTCCAATTCGCTTTATCATCTATAGCTTTTAAATTTTCCGGTCAAATTTTTCAAAAACATTACCTGCTTCAAATGTCTGTAAGAAAACATGGACGAGTGTTCACCTGTAGTCTTAAAAGTTAGGGACCCAAATATCATCTTAGAAGGCGCACCCAAAATGGAGACCACGCCAAGTTTTGGAAAATACCGGTAACCGTCGCCAGATTCAAATACGCAACAAAGATCGCCCCTCGCACGGTCCTAGTTTGTAATTAATGCACCAAATCGTCATTGAATTTCAAGTTTCTTGATGCAATGATCAACTTAATTTTAAATAAGCAAGGTAGCCAAATAAAACCTATTTTATACCCAGAAATACGCGGGCACTATCTGAGATTGTCGACAAAATACCTTCGGCAAACTTCGATCATTTTCACACAAAAAGGAGGCATTCCTACTTTTTCCAAAACTTGTGACGAATAATAGTGCGCGCGCAGTGCTAGCGGTTACCTGATCCATCTGGAAAAGTCAGAATCTTTTGGTCTTGGAATCAGACTAACCCTGAGTAGGGCAAAGATTACGCTGTGTGAGGTATGCGCGCGCCACGTTGTACGGTTTGTTCAAGATGGAGGACGTTCGCGAGACTTCGACGGTGTGGGGGTTGGCAGAACTCACCGGGTGCGTTTCAAAATAAAAAGAAAATATTAAGAGGGGATCCATACGAGGTTGCCATCCAACTAGATGTTGAAAGTCATCTTACATAAATTGGCTGGTCTTACCTTTTTTCTTTTTTTTCTTTTTTTTTTGCTTTTTGGTTTACTTTTTGTAAAGCCCGGTTCATACTCGGCGCGAAAGTGAACGCGAATTTGTGAAGTCACGGCATGTATTCGCGCTGCGAATTTGTAAAAGTTGAGCACATTTCAACTTAGGCGAATTTCGCAGCGAACGTTTGATGACGTCAAATTCGCTTCGCATTTGCATTCGCGTGGAGTATGAACCGGGCTTAAAGCGCTTAGAAACAATGCGTATGAAGCGCTATATAAATGTTAATTATTTTTTTATTATTGTAACCTTATTTTCATACTGACCACACTTTTCGTGTGGTATGTGCAATTGGTCACGACTGTATACGTCTGCGGGAATTCAGTTTGGATGAGTGGGTTTGAAAACGTCGTATTAAATATATGTATAGTACTAATCTATGCACAAAGGGTCACCTGATTAGCAATGCTGCTGTGCAAAATAAAAGAAACGAAGGCGCACAGTGTGACCGGCTAGAATAAACTGGCAATAATTTGCAGCTATTTTATAATTATACGGAGTGGAAGGTCACTTTGTCCCATGCTCTGCAGCTTTGTGCGGGTAGGCGGAAGTAAAGCTTATCACTGTTATTTCGGCGGTGTACTATATGAACCTAGCAACCAGTTGTGTAAAAAAAAATGAACAACTCGTGTAATATCTTACACAAGTTATGTAAACAACAGTTTACACAACAGGTTGCTAGGTTCATATAGTACACAACCGTTTGATATTTACACAACCGAAAAAGTTTGTCACCAGCCAAGGCAACCTGCCCATCAATTCGGAAAGTGGTCTACCATCATAGCGCCCCGACGTGTATGTCCGGTTCTTAACTCTGGCTAGTTTGTTGGCTTCGGAGAAGAGCAATCTACTATGGGTAACCTTGTACCTATATAAGTTGACCTATAGGAGCTGCAACGTATGCAAGATTTCTGGCAGAATTCTGCAAACATGGATATTTGACAGAAAAAAAAAAGCTTCAATCTTTTCAAACAGACCGTCACATAACGGGAAAGGTTGGCTGGTCTAGGTGCTAAGGTTCACTGGGAACCGGACTTTGTCCTGACGCCACCGCGTTTAGCCTGAAATTTATGCAATTTCATAACATCTTTATGTTACTATAGATTGTTTATAACGTATTTTAAACCTTACTTAAGGCTATACTACAACATCTATGTGTGATTTTAAGTGTTTATAGTGTACATGTATTTTGAGTAAATCTGGAGAATTTGGCAATTGATCTCACGTCTTTTAAATCTCTGTATGTACTGGGTATATAAACAGATGAAAGTTACAGGTGTATTGGGATTTATTTATGGTTCTTGGGGAGTGGGGTGGGTTTTTAGATGGTTTGTATTTTAAGAACAATTACCTTTTAATGGTCAAGGGACAAGCGATGTCACACGTCATTTTTAAACAAGATAATACAATTTTTTAACTCGGGATTTATGTTCCATTTTAAATCTGTTTATCAATACAGCGTCTGTTTTAATTTAGGGTTTTAATTTTGTGTGGTTTTAATTTCTTGTGTTATTGTTAGTAATGTATTCAGTATGTCTTTTTTTGTGGTTGTTTTTGTAATTTTTGTCGTTATTATATCATGTTTTTATGTAATCCAGGGCCCCCAACGAGAACAGTTCATTGAAAACTGATGGGGCTACCCTGGTAAAATAACACGAGAAAAAATAAAACATCAATAAATAAATAAATAGTGTGACCGGCTAGAATAAACTGTCAATAATTTGAAGCCATTTTTATAATTATACGGAGTGGAAGGTCGCTTTGTCCCATGCTCTGCAGCTTTCTGCGGGTAGGCGGAAGTAAAGCATGAAGAATAAATGATCCGGTATAGTTTGTCACCAGCCAAGGCAACCTGCCCATCCATTCGGAAAGTGGTATACCATCATAGCGCTCCGACGTGTAAGTCCGGTTTTTAACTCTGGCTATTTTGTTGGACTCGGGGAAGAGCATTCTAATACGGGTAACCTTGTACCTAAATGAGTTAACTTATAGGAGCTGCAACGTATGCAACAATTTCCTTTTGTCTTGTTATTTTCATAACTTGGCTTATTATGATGAAAGACAATAAACAGCTGCTGTGAAAAAAATACAAAATTTAATGTAGATTTTGAAAATATTGCAACTTCGTCACTATAATAACAACATATACTGAAAACAGTTTCTGATACTGTACTTTACAACTGAGTGGTAGAGAAAAAACCCGAAAATCCTTTGCTAGAGTAGTCAGTGTTCAGTTCATTCCAATAGGTCCATAGACCCCCTAGAACTATTAGGGCATGTGATCGGTGTATACGCAAAAGAACCCATTCAATGGAGAAAACACTGTGCATCCAGTGTCTTAATTACATAATAAACAATACTAGGATCATGTGATTCATTCATTCATTCATTCATTCTTTATTTTCCACATAATTGGTGTCTACGCAATATATGTATGTACGAAAAGAAAAGTAAATGTGGATGGAGGTCCCCAAAAAGCAACTGCTTGTCGAGAAGGGATCCCTTTTAATATCAATTAACAATTGCATGAACAATTTGCATTACAACTTAATACACATACAATAAGACAATAAATAAATAAGAATTTGGCAGGTTTTTGATGAATCTGACAGATTTTGGAATTGCATTTAGCAGAATTTGGCCATGACCTTACGGTCACCCTGACCCTCATGCTTGACTGTATTCTTGGCGAGAGTGGTACGAGCAAACGATTGATGATATTTGTTACACTGTTTGGTAAAATGCTGATGCATTTCTTCATTTTTTGTAAACATAGAATAAATGAGGTTAGGTTATTTATTATGAATAAGTTGGTGCATGAATGTCCAAAGCCGAAGAGAATAAATATCATTTACTGTAAGAAGAATAAAAAAAGATTAGCATGTATATGTGCATAGATCTACATGTCTTCAAACTATTACTACATGTATCACATAAATAGAAAGGTAAATACAAATGTATTGGGTGTCTTTAGCTTCAACACTTAGTGCAATAAGTATGGCCTTTATAATGACTAATAACGCTTTAAACGTGTACTGAATGTGTAAAAGTGGTTCGAGCACTATGCATGTGTTTATAATGTGTATATATCAATGAGAAATCACAACGAGATTATAAATCGCCGTAGAAAATTCCCATTAAAACATAAGAAATATACATAATACTTTAAATCACGCACATGAATTATCTTTGATGAATAAAGAATATCTCTAGACGGAATAAGAGTCAACTTGGTTCTATTATAATTGAACAATGGTTCAATTCTTTGCTTGGAAATAGAAAGTGTGGATACATGTGATCTGCCTTTAGGGCGCCCTACTTGCTGTCTGGTGATAAGGCCTTCATGAATATAAATTACAAGAGGGCGCTCTTAAGCTCAACCTATGGTTGCTGCTTTCTGACACACCTATGACACAGCATACTATGCACCTAAATTCGTCACCGTTTTCACGAAGAGCCCCATACGTGGATTTTGAAGAAAAAAGCGTTTTCGAGATACTCGCCAAAGAAGTTTCTCTTATTTTAAAATCGCAACAAAATACTGCTTTGCAACAACTTTGTGCAGTCAGGAAACATTCACATGATCTTATGAGTGGTAAAATTTTACGTGAACACAGTAATTTGAAATAACACAATAGTTAATAAGCGGAAGTTCATGAGTAAAGATTAGTAAAGATAAGTGTCTCTTCGTGAAAACGAAAATTCAAGTGTTGTACATTTTGGCCTTTTTTGTTCAATGTGTTTTGAAGGGGTGCGCGTGTGTATGCGCGCGCAGCGGAGTATGTAACAAACATAATGTGGCTCTTCGTGAAAACGAAAATCTCAGTTGACCAACTAATACTTCGTTTTTCCGTGCAATAGGTTTTGTAAGCGTTCAAAGGGCCAAAATATATGTGGCTCTTCGTGAAACGCAAAATGCAATTATCGAGATGTCTTCCCCTCGCATCCTTAATGTAATTAGGAAATTAATGGTGTTTTACTTACAGAAACATTTCAAAATGGTTAAGTACAATGTTTTAAAGCAAAATAGTGAAAACATCGAAAACGAAAAAAATTGTAATTTTTGACATATGTGTCTATTCACAAAAACGATGACGAATTATTGTAGGACTTTTTGATATCGTGAACTGAATTTTCAGCAAAATATCACAGTAAATAGAATGCTTACAAATATAAAGGAAATGCCTTATGTCTGGTTTGACTGGTACAAATGCCAACACGACCGCAGATTTGTGACGTCGCACTGCAAATTCGCAGAGAACGTTTCCCGATGCAAACAAAAAACTCGGCAATCGCATTCGCGTGAAGTGTAAACCGGCATTTACTCGAACAATTATATCATTAAGAATAATTGAATTGCCGATATGTTTTTCCACAATGGGAGGTTTTTGAGTCGTTGGTGGTAGCAAACAAAACTGTTCCTTTCAATTGTTTACTTAACGTTAAAGCTAAAGCGCGCGCATGCTGAATATGACGCAAACAATGGACAAAAGGCCGCTGTGTCTGCTGCCACCAACGTCTTAAATATATCCAATTCACTTCAATATTTTTGAGTTGATGTGTTTGTAAATTTTATATCACGTATAGCATTTCATGATTTTAAAATCGAACAGTGCGTAGAACCAATATATAAAAGTTCGATTAAGAGAACATGTATGTTTGAAATACAAATAGGCGCTACATCTATCCAAAAGATATACATTTTGTACAAGGCTAATGTTATTTTTTAGCACATAGTTCGCTTTCACTTTTCGTGATGTTATTTTTTGGTCAGATAGGCATACATAAACACATTCTGATTGACTGACTGACCCACCGACCGACCGACTGACCGACCGACTGAAGGATTGATGGATTGATTGATTGATTAATTGATTAATTGATTTAATGCAGGGGCGTAAATGCCGGGGGGACTGGGGTATAGATCGTCGCTTTGCTCACAAAGTGACCAAAACCTCGAAAATCGATAATTATTCGATTTTGAGTTGTTCTAGCCATTTTATTATAGTTGTCTCAAGGAACAATTTGACCAAGTTTCAAGGCAAAATGTTGTTTACTTTCTTAATTATTGTAAACAAACAATTGACAAAAAAGCCTGAAATCGGTGATTTTCATTTTTACGAAGTGTAAAAAAGTGTAAAATAGTCTCACGAAGTGACAAAAAGTCACCTCGTGAGCAGGGCCAAAAATTATACATTGGTCTACACGCGGCAGGATGGGAGCGTACACGCGCGCGCGAACGATGTTGAAAAAGAACAGACGCGCGCGCGCTCAACTGTCGTGACGCGCAAAAGTAACAAGTTTGTTGCGACGAAAAAATACAAATAAGTAAAGCCTCCGCGATTCATGATCCCACGAAGTGACAAAAACTGTGTACAAAGTAATTGGCAAAATATGGGAGCCAAAGTATTATGTTTTCACGAAGTGCAAAAACGTTTTATTAATGAATTACTGTTTAATTACGAACTATTTTTGACAAACAACTATGAATTAACAAAGAGCAAATCATATCCTATCGGACAATGCAAACATTTCCGAATTATGTTACTGCAAAGTGGTCGAAAATGTCTTTTGAAAAAATAAATAACTTCAAATGCGATTATCTCAGTATGAACTTTGTCAATGTTTGAGGTTTTTGTCACTTCGTGAGCAAAGCGACGAGATACCCTCCCCCCCCCCTTTTTTTTAGACCGGGGGATGGGCTATTAAATCATCCTCCCGTACTTTTTCGTGATGAGGAAAACAAAATGCGGATTTTGAGTTATTGTTCGAACATCTTAACAACCCAAATGTATTCAATAGCACTACAAAATGGAGAAACAAAGTACAAAGGCTTTTAAAATGCGCCCATTTGATGTAAGCGCGAGTATACATGTTGATATACATCTATATCCTGAAGAACGTCCCCTAGTGTATCGTTGTGTCCAGGCCCCCCCCCCCCCCCCCACCTCCCAATTTTCGAATTTCCACTGCCGGGACATTTTTGGATTTTGGTCATCCCCCATCTCCCCCTCCCCCCCCCCCGAGGTTTACGCCACTGATTGATTGATAGATTTTTCAGATATATTAGATAAATACAGCATATACCATCAATCTTAACATTTTCTACATGCCTCCTTTTTTTAGTTGTATTCCATGACCATTCGTCAGCGCTGCCCAACAAAATCACCTGATTGATGCAGCTGAATTAATCACGGCGACATCCAAGCACCTCCAATCGCAGGGCAAAGAGAATACCATTTTTATCAGTGGGCTCAATACGCACTACCGTAGCCTCCACACTCTCACCAAACAGGTTAGTGACCGGGGTGTAGGTATCATTGTTACCAATGAAAACCTGAAATGAAAACCAATACAATGAACGCAAGTTGGTAGCCGGTTGGTAACCATCTGGTTACCAGTTGGTAACGAGTTGGTAACCAGTTGTTTTAGACCAAGACTATCTAAAGGGCGGGAAATATTAACGAACGGGGTCGTTGTTCGAAAGACAAGTTTAAAAAACCGTGATATTTTATTACATGTGTCCAGGGTAAGACCATTTTTTTCAGTTCAAAAAATCATGCCACATGGGCTACGATTCGGCTGGGCTCCATGAGATTCTAGTTCAGCTGCATTGCTCTTTTTTTAACAAAAACCTCTCATGACTACCCTTTCTACAAGATAATGTGTAGCATACCTCTTATCTGAATATGCTTTATTGTCAATATGATAATCAGGCACTATTCAGAATGGCTAAATGGTTGCATAAGTATGGAACCGAACATAGCCGTACAGAAGAACTTATTAAACAAGCAGGAGCGGATCTAGCTTTCATGATACGGAGGGGGGGGGGTAATATTAATGTGGGGTAGGTACTATGTAAACACCGCAATCGTGGACCTAGGACACAAGGGTTAGGGCACAAACAATACGTCCACGATTGACCGTTAGTCCACTATTTACATTCGCGTACAAAACCAATGAGAGCTGTTGCTAAATAGTTTAAGTACAAACAAGGGAATGAGGATAAGGGATAATAGGGGGTCCACGATTTCCGGTGTTTACACAGATGAAATGCACGTCTTGCACAAGGTCGGATCCGGATGCTTGCCCTGGGGGAAAATGAACTGTACGATGCTTTCTCCTGCATTCTAAGGCAATTTGAGAATACCTTTGGGAAATTTAGCATTCCGTTTATTATTTGTGGCTCCATTTGACTACTTTCATAACAAGTAAGCGGCTGAACGGGGGTAGAGAGTAATGGTTACGTTGATAATATGTTTCATTTTATAAAAGTTACATATAAAATTACCTTACAGCAAGACTAAGTGAAAGAAGATTTATTTTTACCTTGATGTTTCCGTTTGCATCTTTCAAGTGTTCATAGTCAGATGAGGGCTGCTTCTTATACGCCACCTTGTACTGCTTGATATAACTGCCGTAGCCGGAGCCCTGTGTGATGACCCCAGATAGCACTGTACTCTGGACGAGGTCCACCTCGACCCATGGATTGGTATCGCCACTGTACACAAAGTGAAGGGAGGATGAGGAACAATGAAATAACAGTACCCCGCACATAAGGGCGTATTCATCCATTCAAACCGTGGACGAAAAATTCCAATAAACGAAAGAGAACAACATCGTCCACGATTCTTAGCATACGTCCGCGATTGGGGTCTTGTACCAAACATATGGGAGTCTTCTTAAAAAGTTAAAGAGTACAAACAACAGAGGGACAATAGGACGTTTACGATTACGTTAGTGTGGTTGTGAGAATGGATCTAAAAATCGAATAGAGTTATTGAAACTCGTTACAGTGTTCATGTCAGGTAAGCATACTGGTTTGGCTTCGGCCTGAGATGTGTAACTTTTAATACTAAAAAAAATATATAAAAAAAAAACCTCAACTGGTGCAATTCGTCGTCGTTTTCACGAAGGGACGGGCTGGTCAAAATTGACCATGTTTTCGATTTCGATTTTTTTTCTCTACAGGGTGTCCAGATAAAAAATGTGCATGAAAAAAAATCGCTGATTTTCTCAAAAGTTGGTCAGACTAGCTAATCAAATCTTACAGCATTTTCAAGCCTAAGTTCTTGTTTATACCTGGTAAAAAAAATCAAGAAAATCCAACCATGCAAACCAGATATATCTTTGATTCGGTAAGGCTATGTATTTTTCGAGCTGCACAATGTAATTTCAACACTTAGTATTTGCTGGTATATACATGTACCAATTATTGGGTTTTTGGTGTGTGTTGCTCGAAATATTGCATGGCCTTTATGTAAAAAGATTTCATTTGTAAACAAATAAAAGAAGAAACAGCAGAGCAAGAGGGTGTATGTTTGATTGTTCATCGAAGAAGATTATTCAAAAGCACACGGTTACTGCTGTAATTGCAAATTACTCGAGCGTCAACAATGTATAAACCCTTTTCACGTTCTGAATGAACGATATCTCTGGTTTGCATTGATGGATTTTCTTTAAATTTCAACCAGTTATAAACAAGACCATAGGCTTTAAAATATATCACATAAAATTAAAATTTGATTAGTTAGTATGTCCACCTTTTGAGCAAATCCTTCATGCACAATATTTATTGGGACATGCGCTGTATACAAGCAAATAAGTTTGGAAATTACATTGTGCAGGTTGAAGAATAAATGGCCTTACCAGATACAATAGTTTATATCTCTGGTTTGCATTGTTTAATTTTCTTGATTTTTGCACCAATGAAGACCATAGGCTTGAAAATGCTATAAAATTTGATCAGCTTGTCTGACCAAAGTTTGAGAAAAATGGCGATTTATTCGTGCAATATTGTTTGTTGCGACAAAAAAAAGAGACACGAACATGCCTGCTTGTAATTGAACGCGTACCTAACGTATGGCACGGAGAGTCGTAAAAGTAGGTCAACTGCGATTTTTGTTTTCAAAAAGGGACGGATATCTTTGTTACATTCTCAGCTGCGCGCGTAAACAAGTGCACCCCTTCCCTATAGAAAAACACATGGAACAAGAAGGTCATAGCTGTGGAAAACTGGGATTTTCGTTTTCACAAAGGGACGGGCATCTTTACTCACTAATATTGGCCAATTAACCACTGTGTTAAATGTTATTACCGGGTTTAAATTAAAGTTTACCTATCAACAAATTTTGTGAAGTTTTCCTTACTGCATAAAGTTGTTGCAAAGTAGTAGTTTTTGCAGTTTTAAAATAGGAGAAACTTCTCTTGCGATTATCTCGAAAACGGTTTTTCTTCAACATCCACAAGCGTGTCCCTTCGTAAAAACGGTGACGAATTAGATGTTTATTAATTCATCCCGTTCAGGAGCGTTTTGTGGCATTGACATGATGCAGAGTGAATAAAGATATGAGAGTGGAGTGCAGGGTGTGGAATTTCCCGTTGGTACCCACTATGCAGATAACCATCTGTTATTATTGTTGAGGCGTGCAGCACTGGCAGGAAAATACGCAGAGTTGAAACAACTGGATGCAGTGATGCGATCATCTGGGATTGTCCCATCCTCCATACCTAGGGGTCGCGGACTGGAACACCCTGTTGGTAATAACCGAGTAAAATAAACGAAGCTGATAGTGATACTAGTAAATATATGTGCATGGACTGATACCGTGTGAAGGTTAAAGGGACATTACGACCTGAAATCCCCGAAAATTTCATGTTTTGGATTGTTTACTAAGCCTGCACTATTTAAAATATCTAGTTGAAAGGAAACTAAGCTAATGTCTTGTTCCCGAGAAATTAACAGGGAAAACGGTTGTTTACATCGTACACGTTTTTTTCTGTCTAGTCGTTTTCATTCCATGTACGATACACGTTGTCTGTTCACTTTAATTACACGCAGCACCAATGCACACATTGGTTGTAAACAACCCGGGTTTCTTACACGTCCGCAGAAGGTAAACACTTTACGGATGGATTCACAACGAGCAATGAACAGCCCGACTTGTTTGGATCGCAAAAGTGGACCCCGACATTCGTTCTCGCACGAATATCACAATAATAGCACAAACTGGCCAGCTTTTAAAGGATAGTTGTATGGATGTTTGTATTCTACTTTAAAAAGTTCTTTCAGAATAACATCATTTTGTTCAAAAATGCGTTTTGTAGTCCAATTAGGCGTATTCCAGGCCGTAGTGTCCCTTTAATTTAAATCCGAAGTTTTTTGTTTTGCAATAAACGCAGCACTTTCAAGACACTTTTACCTTATAAATCTGAATGATAATAAGTTTTTGAAAATATGCACAAAATCTAAATATCGCACTGAAAAAATATGTTCCGATTGGTTAAAGACATTAACGATCTAATTTAAGAACCACCGAAGTGACGTCCGGATGCTTCATTAACCTTGTTTTGTTTTAGTCATATGGAAACGAGTTACCGTGCGGCTTTAGAATCATACTTCTCACCTGTATTGTTCCCTGTCAGCGCACAGTTGAAGTAGGCTTGAATTTCGTCAGAATCCTCGCCGAGGAAAAGCTCGTCCAGGTAGTAGGGCGCCCCCTGGCGGTATGACGAAGCGGGGATTTGCATCCCACCGAGACGTACAGCGGTGCATTGGCACGGATCTTTGTACGGTAAGAACCACCGGGGTGGGGTACCAGATTGTGGGCTGTACTCTGACCCGATGAGGCAGACTGGATGACATGAGACCATCACTGTAATGTCAGTGTGTGAGGAAATTATAACACCATGAACGTTTTTTTTTTTTTAGGTTTTTAGTTGTTATAGATTTGACACCGTTGAAGGGCGCAACATGTATTTGGTTGGGGGCGCCTTGATGGACACCCAATGACACTAGGGGGCGCTGTTATGATATAGATGTACATAAAGTGTATACAAATTGCAAAACGTGTGCTTCTATAATGAAGGAGCGAACTGAAGGGTCAACAAAGTGAGAGACCTTCTGAGCACATGCCCTGAAAATATATATAGAACAGTCTCAGAAAAGCGACATAATATTCTAACAGAATGAGGTTCTCGGGATGATGCCAGGTTTAGTCCAAGGGACGCCAAAAAATCATTTTGATTTCTTTTTCTTTTTTAGGGGGGGGGGGGGGGCAGGTGCGTGGGAAACCACATCTCCTGCCAAACTATAGTGTGTGTATAATTCATCAGTGTTTTCCAGTGCCTTGTTGAGAATAAACCAGGTTTCCCAACTCAATCAGTTCAAGCAAAATAGAATTCAAATACTTCATTAAATAATCATCAACAAGTTAAAGGCTTAGAGGATAATTGAAAATGGAGGGGAAATTATTGACAAACATATCACAATATAAAGGGCCCATTACCCACAACCGGGTCTTAGGTTGTAACGGTCACTACACACATGTAAGGCTCGGATAACTTCACGGGATGAGATTATTGATTCAGAATGAACAGTTATGCTTGATCTATTTCGAGATTACGATAATTGGGAATCACATTGATGGTCAGCCATCTTTGATTATATCCCAGCATGCTTTGTTCATGCAGTTATGACGTCACGAACGGTAGTACTCAGTCAAGTCGTTCGTATCAGTCACCATGTCATGTCGTTTTCTATTCCAGTCGTATCAAGCCCGTTATATTGTAGCCAGTTTGTGGGAAAGTATAAAATACGTCACTTACCCCCCCCCCCCCACCCCCCGCTGCTGTCGATTAGTGTAGTAATTTTGGTTCCAATTGTACAAGTCTCCTGAGCTCCATACTTGCTAATTTTGTAAAGTAAAAGCACTAGATGGCATTTTAGCAAGAATGGTTCCACATGACAGAACAGAGACAAAGCCATGCTGATTACCACACACAAACAACCTATGAGGCATATAGCTTTGCCTTGTTCTAAACGCAAAAATGGTGCAGACCATTTTGACAACCAATAAGAATCGTCCACCTTCAACGCGCCAATACGTATAGCCAATCAAATATCGCCACTGCGCAGCACACGCGGTATCTATGTGATATCTATATACCATGTAAATTCCTGCCTAAAAAAGTGAGATTTTCGATTTGCAGTGTTTTTAAATGTTCATCCCTCGATTTGTTCAATATTTATTTTAAGGTATGAAACACTCTGATTCCTGAAAATATCTACAGAGGAAAACGTTTAAAATTACGTTCTTGAAAATGTGATTTTTTAGAGAAAGTTGTATAATTAATAATGAATATGTTTTATTTCATGTTTTATGTCATTATGAAGTAGAAAAATCCACATTTTGCACGTCTATCCAACTTGCATGTCTGCAAAAGAGGTGCACGGCTGGGAACAGAATCATCCGGAAAAAAATTATCGGATATTTTTCCAATAGTTTGTTAAGAATCCAATGATACAAATGTTGTGTTATTTAAAATTGAACGTATTTATTGCCACATTGACGTGATGATTTCAACGACTGCAGGACAGTGAGCGAAACGCAAGCAGTTATACCATGTAGTAGTAAGATTAAAGTACAACTTTTCAACTATGCAATTCGACAAACACTCAATATTTCGACTTTCAGATATCTTGCTACAATTTGGACCATTCAATTAAAAAAAAAAAATTACCAACGCTTAAACAAAGGATTTTCGGAGTTGATTTTTTTCAAATCTTTTTCTTCTCATTTCTTGCATAATCTTAATGACACTCTTTATTTTCTAGTCAGAACATTAAACAGATGGGTCATTTCGTTATAACAGATAGAACAAAAAGTTCAATGCTATAACATGCCTCCTTCTGTTTCACAACGCTCACTACAGATCGGATCAATTGAAATTACGTGCATTTTGTTTTATTTCCAATGATAACACCACTCAAAATCATTAAAATACGAAAAATGAAAACCCAACCTGTTGAATTTAAGCTCAGTGGATATTACATTTTCGAGGAAAAAAAACAGTGACAAAAAACATACACAAAACCTTCGATCACGACACACGATTCCGTCTATAGCACTCTATTTGCGAAATAAGTCAACTGACTGATTGATACAAATCACCTTCATTGCTTTATTTCTTGTAATTGACAGCTTCTAGTCAGACGGAATAATTTAACGGGGTGTTTAGTACCAGAATTCGATTTTTCATTTATAACTTTGCTTACCAATGAGTGCCGACATCAACATGAGAGGAAACACCGCACCGTCCATTCCGTCAGATGTAGCGAGGATCGAGTGCTTGATTGTAGATGGCACACACGCCTACCAGACGAAGTCATCAATACACGCTTTCATCGCGGGAGTATAATTAGTATAATGATGTTTATAACCATAGGGGTAGCCAGCGGGGGGGGGGGGGATTCTGTCAGATGTAGCGAGGATCGAGTGCTTGATTGTAGATGGCACACACGCCTACCAGACGAAGACCATCAATACACGCTTTCATCGCGGGAGTATAATTAGTATAATGATGTTTATAATCATAGGGGTAGCAAGCGGGGGGGGGGGGGGGTGTTAAGGGGGGTATCCCCCCAATATTTTGTAAAGACTGCCTTTTTCCATTCAAATTCCCTTTTTTCCACGGGCTTACCCCCAATAATTTGTAAACAGTGCCCTTTTCAAAAAAGAAGTGGTGCCCTTTTTGTGGCATCTGCCGTTTTGGGAGCCTTTTTCAGAATTTCGCACATGAACCGCCCTGAGAAGCACCATGTATTGGCCCTTTGTGTGCATAATTGTCTGTTTTGAACAGCGCCCCCATCAGTATTGCCCCCATCAGATGGTCAGATCCCCCCCCCCCCCGTTTTTTTGATTTTACGGAGGCCAAGTGTCCGGAGAAGAAAAAACTTGTCTACATTTCACAACGGATGTGTGTGCAAGTGCCCTTTTCAAAACAATTACCCCCCCCCCAATAAAAACGACCGTGCTACGTCCCTGATAATCATGTGACGTATGGCGTCTGGTTGTACGTTCTGATGTAGCCTCGACAACGGCGGTCAAGCTTGTTCCCTACACAAGCTTGTTCCCGCTACCGCACACCGTTTCGCGACATTCTAGTTGTACTCTACCATTAGCAACAACGACCCTTCCTTGTACTTTGTGTGCACGTACGTACGCCCCACACACGTCCCCACACAGTAAGTCGAGGCGGGTGACAGCTTTGACGCAACGGTATGTGCTCCATATGATAATTAGTACGCGCTATAGTACAGTCTTCTCTCTTTGGATAATGGCTGACCAAAAAAAATAAATATTTATTTACTGCATAATGCAACTAAATGTTATTACACCTGACGGTCTGTGGTAATAATTTTGTAAAACACCCCATTAAAATCTGAAGAAAAAAAAATATGCATAGTTTGGGTGAAAATGATAACAAAATTACACCTTTAAAAAGCGGCGAGCGGTACAAACCGCGCACCGGCAAATAATGATTTCAGCGTGCACGGATGGCCACGTTGGGGCCGTCCAATGACAGAGGCACCGGCCCGGCTTGCGCCATGCGGTAAAACACGCTGCGTTTTCTCGGTCAGCGGCAAAAAGGCGCTCACGCTATTGAATCTCTATCGCTGTCAATAGGGACATGAGGAAAAAAATTATCTCTTTTTCAGCTTATTACGTAAGGCTGAATTTAAATTGTACGTAGGACTATATACGTCGTACATACGACTTATATGTTAACAGGGTACGACATATGTGTCTTACGTATGACTTATAATGTCGACAGGGTACGACATATATGTGTTACGTATGACTTATATTTCGACAGGGTACGACATATATGTTGTAGGTAAGACTTATATGTCGACATGGTACGAAACGACTTTGTCGTATATACAAATGAATCAATACCTCGTATGTAAAACATATGAATTTTAACCCGTACGTACGAGTTGTATTCGTATGTACGACATATGTTGGATCTTGTGCGTACGACTTGTACCCGGTATGTACGACGAATGAATTGTAACTCGTATGACTTGTATGTCATATGTACGACTTACATGTCATACGTACGACTTACATATCGTAGGTATGTCGTAGGTATGACATGACGGTCGCACTACGAATTCAAATACATACGAATTGCCTGTAAAGTATCAAAGTAAAAAAAAAAAACCGATGGCTAGTTTCTTACAGTTAGTTCGTACAATGGGGTGGATGCGACATGACTCATAGGTACGAGTTAACCTGCATGTGATTAAATGGGTACTATTTGACCAAGGTACGAGTTGACCTGTGCCCTACATTTGCTGTCTGAATGTCAAGGGCAGGTACGGTAGCGGCGTATACGATGTTGCTCCGACAACAGCATCGGCGGATAAGTCATTCTGTCTGGAACTGTCCAATTCGCAATACATTGGAAATGGTATCATCACCTTTAATTTTGTTTAACAAGTGTTCATTCATATGGCAGCATATTTGATTTGTTTGGGAAAAAAATGGAGAGAGAGTTAGAAAGTGGGATTGAAACACCTAGACTGTTGCCAATATTTTTGAGTGAACCAACATACGTGCACGGTGTATACTATGCTAACATGAATATGTATGTAGCGCGTCAAAGTTTACAGGCTTTGATTGGATATCGTGTTATATATGGCAATCAGGAACTCTTTCCCGAATTCGGCCACACACACACACCGTCGTTTTTTGCTATGCTTCCGAGGATTGGCTTTGTGTTTTCCTTTGTCCCTGTAATATAACACTCTCCCATAGACTAAGCACACAAACCTGCGTTCGAGGACAATAGGCACCTTCCTTCGAGGATCAATGGCCCCTTTGTGCTCCTTTTGTTGTCTGTCCTCAGGCGTAATGCCATGCAGGAACACCCAGACACACCCACACACACATAAGGAATTTGCCACGGTTGCGTCAAGGCTATCATCCGCCTCGACTTAATGCACGGCTGTGCTGGAATTTACTACCTTAAGGAGACATGCACACAATAGGAAACAAAAGATTGTATACGTCTCCGCAAGAACATTTCTATAGATGAATACGTCTCCACAAGAATTTCACGAAATAGATATATGGATTTTACTCAAAAACTAGGAATTTCCAAGGTAGGTTGATCCGTCGCAAATGGAAGAGTTTTAGAAAAATTTTAGTCCAAATTTCAGCCCAGGAAATTAATTCTGGTTAAAATAAGAGCATTTTGAAACTTTAATTTCAAACACGAAAACTGTACTACACGAGAACAAAGAAATGTCTCCACAGGAATACAAATTCCAGAATGGGTGTTTACGAATGTGTGTGGGGCGTACATACGTGCAGACAACGCGCAAGCAAGTGTCGTTGAGGCTATTAAACAAGTACTAGTGTGCACAGCGCGGTGTAAGCTAAACAGCCTTGATCAAGGCTAGTTTTGATGGTGCGCGCTTTGCTGGGAAAAGCGCTGTTGTTAAGGAGAGTCACTATGGAGGGGGAATCGAGCGGAGATTACAGCTGAAAATGAAGAGCTGGAATAACCAGCAGCAATTGACTGCTACAGAAATCAATTGATAGGCGCATTATTTAACTCATTAAACATGTACAATCTCAAATATAAGTTATAAAAAAGAACATTACAAAAACATCACTTGAAACATATAGTTCTTGAGATAAAAACGAGTGCGAGTGCACAATAAGCTTTTGCCGTGTTGAATGAAGTTTTGCATGAAAGTCTTGCATGGAATATACCAAAATGATCCCTGCCAGAGCTTAAAAATACGTTGCCGAAAAATGCGACGCCGCTGGCACATATTGAACACCATACTTTTGGTCCATTTTCTGGGCAGACACACAGACAGACAGACCAACCAACCACCAAGTGGCATGTAGAAGCTCCTACCAGACCTTAACAAATGATCGCTTACTCTGTCCCTCGAGTGGTCGATATTTGCGCCTTTTCATCTGGAAGAGTCCATTAGCATGATGAGATTCAGCTGCAGTAATTGCTTGAGTTCGCGTCGGTGTGCCATTTTGTAGATCTCCTCAACTAAAGTAATTGGAACACCAATACTCTGTGACACTGCGTCAACTACACGAGCTACTTTTCTGTTGAGGTCTACAGTAGCATTCCCATTCCAAAAGGTAATAGACAGTTAAGATCACTCACTTAGACAGCACGATCAAACGTTTTAATACCCGACAACTTCTCAAATGGCGGAGAAGGTACAAATATGAAACATAATCGCAAAGCTAAAACAGGAGGCAATTTGATATTAGATTTATTGTATCCTTCAATGAAACGAAGATGGCTACCTCTTAGCTTGTGTTTATGGCAACTGGGCATCCAATAAACATCGCACCGAACTATTAATACTTGTGAATTGTTAATTTGTTTTCTATATTAAATACTTTTGCATTTTCGTCATCCAAACACAAATAGGCCCACTTTATTTGATCCCGGAGAGTTTGAATTAGGGTTATTTTGATTAACCTGTACAGATTCGGTTACTAGGGATCGCAACGGTAAAATCGTGTACAATACTTGTCCAACACTGTACTGACATTAATTAATGCAAAAAAAAATATGCACGCGCGCGCCAATCTCCATATCAGAAGTTGTTAACGACTCTCGCGAGACTGGATATGCTACATAAAGGGGTCCCTAGAAACATGAGGTAAAATTGTTGAAAAAAAAAATCATTGTAAAATTATAATTTTTGACTTGTTTTGACTTTCCTCTTAATTATCAGGATGCTGACCTGGCGATAGGTTTGAAATAGGTCTGGCTACACGTACATTTTAAAAAGTTGTAACAATGGTGTTCACATTATCTATCAATCTGTTCAAGCCTCATAAATATTAATCCATTATGCTGTGCAGTAAAAATGTGCAGAAATGCCTCCTTCAAGAGTTATTAATTAATAAATATCACCATTTTTGCCGGCTTCCATTGGTCACGCGAAGTCACGCGGAGTGACGCTACTGAATATGCTAATAAGCGTTCGTCATTGTTTCCCTAAAATCAGCCAACCAGAAAACCATGCACGTGAGTTAAGTTGGTTGGCAAACAATCCTAGTCGAAATTTACCTTGGAGATAGTTCAAGGCGTAACGCAAGCGTTTGAAGCACCATATTCAGCTGAAATTCGGAACATAGGCCCTACTTAGATAGGGGATTCTTAGAAATTCTTTAGGGTCAGCTTTACCAGCAACCGGAATGGACGTTTTGGCATCGCTGACAGCGATATTTTCAATGACAAGATTGAAGAAGCCAACTTTTCAAAATCCCAATTAGTAATCAACCCGCGCAGTCATTTTTAACTGCTCGTATATTAACACTGTGTACCAGCTTATACCAACATCGAGTACAGGTACATGGTTTACATGTACACATACATGTGCATACCCTTCTTGTTGTGATTAATAATGTACTGTAGGCTATAGGATAATTTAAAATATATATATATATATATATATATATATATATATCCAATGAAATCGTCTTCTATCACAATTCACAGTGCTCGATACATCTCTGTAGAGCTATAAACATGCAATAATTTATGCAATAATTTATTTATTTTATTTATTTATTATAATTGGTAACTCTATTACCAATTTTTCCAATCTGAATTTATTGCATATATATATATATATATATATATATAAATATAATTTAATATATTTTTAAAATTAATTTTGTTTTACTGTCTATATTTGTTTGTCAAATAAATAACAACAATAATAACATGTGCGCATATTTTTTTGAGATGCATGCCACCGATGTTGAGTTTCGAGTTTGTATCATGTTTTTAAACACGCAATGATTTAGGTCCACCGTATACAATAAAAAATATCCTGCCAACATACCTTGCAAACGCATGCTGATTTATCTTTTCTGGACGTTGTGATAAACTCAAACTCTATTACCAATTTTTCCAACTATACTCTTATTAAATTCCATGATTAAAATCTCCACTGATGGGTCTTATCCCGGCAAAAAGCGACCAATTGTGCTCGTACGATCGTCACTGAAAAGTAGTTGCAGTACACACAACCACACATCCACGAGGTGCACACAAATGACACACCATTGAAAAACACTTTTAGTCTGGTCCTCAAGTACTCCACTGCGCACACCGCATTGATGTCTATCAGGTGCTTGACCGCATTGCTTATTAGACTTGTCACCAGTCCATCCATTATCGCAACATTTCGCCAGAAGTTTTTGGGCAAAAACGATACTTAACAAGTATTTTTTTTTTCGTTAGGTAGACAATTGGAAATTCGTAATTTTTTAGTGGCAATTCGTATTTTCGTAATTTAACAAACAAATCGTAATAATTACGAAAAATTCGTAATAGTTGGCAGCTATGCAAGAAGTTTAGAAATTATTCTTCCTTGATAATTTAACTTTTCAACCATACTGGGCATATTTTCTGAGAAACACAACATTCAAAAGGCAATGTGTTTTGTGGTGCATAAATTTCACTGCTCTGTTATTGCGTCTTAGTACGCAATCGGATGAACAATGGCGACGGTTAGGGCCTCGCAACCACACGTCTGTGTTAACTCCCAATTAAAAATTAGCAAAATAATCACTCGTTGGGAATTTAACAAATGATCTCCTGCATGCTTGTGCAGTTGTGTTACCACTCGACAACTGAGCTTGCAGGATCCGTTCGTTTGGACAAAATCAGATGTGCATGCAGCAGCGGGTACCGCAATTAAACTATTAATTAGATGGAATATGCGTCAGGTTGATGTAAATCTTTATTATGTCTTGCCCTTCAAAAAAAAAGGAATATCATTATACATGTAAATGAATTATGAATAATATGAAAAAGATCTGTTGACCCCTGGTAATGCATATTACTCGGAAGGGCATATTCAAGTTATTGGATAGCGCTAGCGGCATATGGTCGAGAAAAGGAATAAAGGCTCTGTAGACAAGATAAGTGTTGGTATTGGATTTGTCATTTACTAGTTCAATCACCGATTTCCTTGATCTTTCAACACTACACTTACAAGGTAAGTTTACACGTGTGTGTTCATCCGTTTTGGATAGGTAGATGGCAGCTTGTATGTATCCCCTTTTTGTTTTATTTTGTTTTTGTTTTTAATGGACGCACACCTTCAACAATATAACCCCAGTGGTTAGCTTATAACGTTTGGCGGCAAATGCACAGGGACGCAAAGCTATCAACTCATATCCGGGGCGGATCCATTTTTGGCTGATGGGAAATTATCACTCAGGGGAGAGTTGGTGTGGCAGGCATCGATTTTGTTTTTTGTTTTTTCTCCAAGGAGTGGGAGTGGATAGATACTTCCCCCGTAGTTCAGCCACTGCATATGCTACTTTTCCTGCTTTGCAATCGGCAGACCATCCGACATACAATTTATTGGGTGACAACCGGGCATAACTACTTGGGAGGAAAATTAAACCAAAAAAAATCACCTCATAATCGAGTTACATATAAGTCATTATAAAGTATCCTTTAGAAGTACCATTTTTTGTTTATCATTTTTTTTCAGCACAAACTGACCAATAATGTATTTACTGTGGAAAATGCCGAGAGACATATTTGATATAAAAACGTGTATATTTCACCAAACTAAAACCCACTAACAAGCATAACGTTTCTGTGACCATTTTTTTTTCTTCGGTGGGACTTTTTAATTTAGGGCTCGTGGGAAATGGTTGATTTGTCTTATGACGTGGATTTTGCGAATATGTTGATCCCCCTTATACAGCCATCCGTTTAAAATTAAAAGAATATCTAGGCCTGCTTTTTTTTTTTACTACACGCCTAATTGTTTAGAGAGATAAAGACTAGATGAACACAATATTAATTGATTGATCATTATCCTCCACAAACTAAACCAAATGTAATACATGTATGTTTATTGCTTCCGTAGATTCTTTCCCAGTGATTGCCAATTAACGCCAAGATGTCATCGTCTAATAGTAACGACCTCCTCAGCCTGGCCGAAAGAGGACCGTGAGGGCTTCCTGCGTGACGTCATCACCAGCTTCTATAAGAGAATTCCCTTCCAGAGTGTGACTGCGATCGCCACGCCCAAACCAGATAGGCGCGCTTTGACCTTCCCAGAGATCAAGATCAACATGATGACCCGGAAGGGCGGTTTCTGTTACGAATTGAACCACTTCGTCAGGGTACTGTTAGAGAAGCTTGGATTCGAGGTGTACCACATTGCATGCACCGTTAAAGGAATGCCCCAATGTCATATGGCAAACGTGGTCAGAAACCTGAACCAACCGGGCGACCTTCATCTGGTAGACATAGGAACCGGTTATCCCTTGTTCAGACCCATCCCTCTAAACTTTGACAAAGAGTCACTTGTGTACAAGGACAGCTTCCTGTTTTATAAGTTTGTGAAAGAGGCCGATGGCAGCGTCCGATGGATGCACAGAGTCTACCGGGAATATGACGACTTCCCGCCGGAAAATGTCCTGGAAGAGTGGTACACGTTCAATGTGTTCAACCTGGAGTTCCGGGATATCGAATTTTTCGCAGAGAGCATGGAGAGCGTCCATACAGTGGAGGGCGACCCACAGTCCTTGGCGCATTTCTTGGTCAGCCTGAGGGCGATAGACTTCCGCAACGGGAAGCTCTTCGCCATCAAGGATACCACCATCTTGGAGGAAGACGCTAGCGGTAAGGTGAACAAGAAGCGCCTATCGTCCCCACACGAGCTGCTGGAGGCGTACATGGTCCACTTCCCACAGTTTCCCACAGAGACTGTACAGCAGGCCATGAAGACTGTCACACTCACATTTGAAGGCTAAATTTGTCAATCGAGTCACGTTACTGACTCAATGAAATTTTCTGTAACTAAACGACGATATTTACTCGGTTTGATCAGTTAATTATCTCAATTTGAGTATCCTGTCAACGGTTTATTATTAAATGGACACCTGCAATTTTTAATGTTGGGATCTAGGGATTTCCCACTCTATTGCATTTAATCAACGTGTATTTCCATAAGCCTAAATGCTACAACTTTCATAAAATAATGTAACAAAGTGAACTAATAAACAATATTAGTATGATTATACATGTACATGTAGATGTAGATAGATTAGAGAGAAAGAAGAAAAATAAAACAATAGGTAGTTATTTGGGCTTGTATTAAGCTGACTTGACAAAACAAAACCAAAATGACAACTCAAAACATGCATAGGTAGACTAATAATGGGACAAACATAATTTCATTACACATGAGATGAATGTAAATACTGAGGGACAGAAAGTCAGGTAACCTTTAAACTTTATTTGCCTATGATCACGAGCTGAATTATAAAACCCTTGTCTCGACGACACTCCCGTCAGCCGGAAGTGACTTAATACATTGTATACATTTGTATAAATTGCACTTGAATATATTTGTATACATCGCACTTGTATCGTCGATACATTGCACTTGTATCATTTTGCAACGTATTGTTTTCGGAGGCAGTTCCCACGCTTGACTCCTGCAGCTCGTAAGCATGGTGACCGTTGTAGACAATTTTCGGCTATATTTAAGATGAAAAAATTGTGTGACACAAAATTTGACAGAATGGATTTTTTGTTTGGCAGATTTCTGGCAGAGTTCTGAAAACTTAGTAATTTGAAAGAAAAACATAGTAAATTAGGTTTGATGACCTAGGTGCGAAGCGCGTGGCGTTTTCAATAACATCATTATAATATGATTGATTACAGCAGCTGCTATAAAGTTTTGTGTAAGTGCTGCTATACTGCGTCATCCCGTATATGGTGTTTTAATTATAAATCTGATTTGCCAGCTTGGCATTGTGGATCTCACTATCTCAATCTCATGGGAAATATTTGTATAATTACCTGTTCATCGAAATGATAATGACTAATTATTAGTTTATGGCAAATAAATGCGAAATTGCAACATGCAAAGTGATAGATAAGCAACTGAAATTATGTGCATAGCAAATCGAGACAGACAATTTATGTGCCTTGTTTTCACAATCTAGAATAAAACAAGATGTTTTCCAATGTACCTGTCAAATCCCTCTATTTTTAGTCTGTCTTTTACAATGTGTAGCTCCGAAATTCATATTGACTTAAGCCTCCCCATTTTTTGTTTCAACGACAACTTTTCTATAAATAAAATAGTGGTAACGTATCTGTTAGGTTGTTAAAACACGTTTTAGAAGGTTAACTTTCAAGTATTTATGTCAAAAAATATGGTTTAGTTAAAAATCAGTACTGTTTTGTTCCATGTCCTGGAGCTATTAAACTTTACAATTTTGAGCAGATTTCATATATTCATTGTAATTGATATTTTGAAAAGTCCTAGTTCCAACTTGAGCAACTTAACGAAGAATGAGCCTTGATCAAAGTAAACCCAATCAGGAAAATAAAAACAACTCGTCGCACACGCTCTACACGATTAAAACAAAACTTTGAATCTCCTTTTTTTTTCTGTTTGTATTCATAACCAAAGGGTACAAACTTAAAGTAAAATACGCATCGCCCACCAGGCCAACACAATAGTGCAGTTATAAACCAGACATATCGTCGGCGGTATATGATGGTAGGCCACCTTCAGAATTGATAGGCATGTTGCCTAAGCCATTAAACTATCGAATATTCCTTTTCATCATCATAACCATCAGAACTATCTCCACCTATACCCGCACAAATCAGCAGAGCCTTGGACAAAGTGACCTTCCACTCGGTATAATTGAAATAACACTTCTAATATTACGAGTTAATAAGCCATTTTGGTATTACAAAATAGTGTGGTGCCAACAAGATTCGACGATTTTTTTCGGGGGGGGGGGGGGAACGCGGCAGATAAAGGCACAACAAGGCTATGAGGGACGTGGTAGCCGAATCTGCATTCTGAGTGATTGTTCGTGCAATTGAAAAAAAATGGAAACTTTCGTTCGAGCAAAAGTTTGGACAAACAAGACACCTGAAACACTTCGCTTTCCAAACTTGTTGTTTAATGTTACCATACAGAACACGACGATCTCTTCAATTTTGCTGGTACCCCGCTATGCCTTTGCACGCATACGATGAAATGTTTATCCCGAAAGAAAAAGCGTCAAATCTTGATGTGCACTTGCGCAGTTGGAATACCGAAGTGACCAATATGAAGCTCCCTAACAAGCCCCACAACGCAGAGATCTGTATACAAAAAAGCACAGAATTACACTAGTTTATGAAGCGATTTCGAATTACAAAACGCGTTTTTATTCATGTTAATACATGTTCAAATATTTAATCATTTTATGACTTTGCATTTACTTTTACGTGGCCAATTAAGGGTGCTTCAAAATGGCGTCCAGTGACTTCGTCCCCCATGACACAAGCGTTATCCAGTCAGTAAAGCAGAGATCAGTGAATGCACCATTTTCTTGAAACACCACCCATCCTTTGCCACATATCCTTTGCCTCTTTTCTTAATGGCAAAACTTCCCATGCCAATGTTAAGCTATGGACATCAAAGTTTTTGTTGTTTTTTGTTTGTTTGTTTTTATAATGGCAAAGCGCTGTAAGTTTACTTTTAGGTCGGGTTTTTTTAGTCCTAAATTGGAATAAAATTGTACTCAAGTCGGCAAAAGAGCTGAAGTAGTTGTCATGATCATATATCTAAGAACACATTGTTTTGCCATCAAAGTGAAGCATGCATGTATATGTGATAATAATGCGGCAAACGAAACTAAATTCGTAAAACTACCAAGAACTCTGACGTCAAATTTTGCAGGAAAGTAAAATATAATATCTGCCATGATCACACAATTTGACATTGTAAAATCCAGTTATTTACCAAAAAAGGCAGTAGGTTAAAGTTTAAACTCAATTTTCTCAAAGTTTGAGAGTTTATATTTTTTTTTTGAGTTGGGCTGCTTTGTCATGAAAGGGCTGGACTATTCGCGACACAGACCTCCCTGTTTGGTTTTTTTTAACCCATAGTATGTCAGCAGTTTTGATTTATCAAAGAGTTTATATTATTTGATTATCGTCCTAAATTTGAAATGTTTTTAAAATCTACATTTGTTTTTGTGTTTCATAATTCACAGCATGTGTTTATTGCCTTTGATCTAATAAGCCAAGTTTAAAAAAAGAACTCGTCGAGCTATACAACATATGGCTCCTATTTTTTAAAAAGAACAACTAAAATTTCGCCGTTTTTTCAGGTCAACTGGCAAGTCTCATTTAGCCCAAGGTCACCCAAAGTAATTTTCCCCGACATGCCAACAAAATAGCCCGAGTTAATGAAAACGGATATACACGTCCGGGTCACATGATGGCGGACCACTTTCGACTGGTAACGAACTACCGGGAATTATTATTTTTCATGATCGTAAGCAATTAAACTTCCTCCAACCCGCACAAACCGGCAGAGCATGGGACATAGTAAACTTCATTTCGGTGTAATTATTAAACACTTCTAATATTGCAAGTTTATTTCAGCTGGTGACACCGTGTACGTACCGCAGTTCGTTTTATTTGTGCAGTAGCCTAGCTAATCTGGTGACCTTTTGCAGATAGAGTGGTATATATTCAACAGGACCTTTTTCAAAGCTACTCATCCGAATAGCATTACCGCAGACTTACGTCGTAGCCAAATGTGCGTATAGTTGCATACAGAGGGAAAGCAAAGTCAAGCGGAAAGAAAGGTAAGATAAGCCACACCGTGGCGTCTACTATAGGATATACATGTAGTTGTAGGCATATGGCGAGCCTGTATGGATCCACTCCCATGTTTTACTGTTGACAAAAGACATGTACCTTTAACAAAATAAGCCCGATATTGAGTGAGTGACCATGTCGATGGTCATGCATTCCCTCATTACTACCTATACAGTTGTGAACTACGTGAAGGACCGATATATCTGGTGGACTTCGGCCTGTTTGAAATTGATTGGGTGCAGGCTCTGAAACAAAGACTCGTGAATAAAGAAAAAAGAAGTTAAAGTCATTGGCGTGACTAGGGTTAAACTTCTGCGTTAAGCTGTGGGTGCATAACATTTCCAAGGGAACCTTTTTAAATTCATTTTTTTTAAACGGGGTCACCCTCGGGCACGTATCTGAGCTCCCCCCCCCCCGCCCCCCTCCCCGGTAGTTACGCCACTGGCCATGGGCCTCAGTTATGAGTCGGCCATATTGAGTTGAAAGTGACGCCTCATAAGTCCGAAACAGCATTTGTCCATTTACGGACTTACAAAGCGCCGGACTTATGAGGCGTCGGACCTATGAGGCGGATTTTTTGCCTAATAAGTCCGACGCCTCATAGGTCAGAAATTTTGGACTGATGCGGCGTCGAACCTATGATGCGTCGGACTTATGATACTGCCCCCATTAATAGATTGCAAATTAGGAACAATAAAATCACACCAACACTGTTGCCTACAGTGTTTACCAAAGTGTTCCATACGATCGAAACCAAAGTGTTCTATATACGACCGGATAGAAGAAATAGTGAATGTGGTGAACTTTTCATCGAACAAACAGTACAGAACCTGCAATATTATACTTTGATATGTGTCAAGATATTTGATAAATAGACGTATGCAATGCATCAAGATACATCCCAAAATATCAGGGATAATATTTTTGTGGCATAATTCTTTGGTGGGACGTTTCATTTTAGGGGCTTGTTGTTGTTGATCCATTTGCGACCTTTCATTCAGAAAACGAAATCTTATCCAGGCCTCTATTTTTTTTTAAAAACAAGCCAACGAAATTGGTAGGTAGACCATCCTTATCCTGGGTACTCAACCAAAAGTACTATTATTGCGTCAACAGATTGCTAGTCAATGCCAAGATGTCAAGGTCTAACGACACCATCAGCCTGATTGAAGCAGAAGATTTCCTTGAGAGCATTTTGCAGCTCAAGTTCCCAATGGACCGACTGACAGAAGACCGAGCCGGCTTCCTGCGTGACGTCATCGCCAGCTGCCATAGAAGGATTCCTTTCCAGAGTGTGACGTCGATAGCCACGCCCAAACCAGAGAGGCGCGCGTTGACCTTCAAAGAGATCAAGGTCGACATGATGACCCGGAAGGGCGGCCTCTGCTGCGAGTTGAACTACTTCATGAAGGTGCTCTTGGAGACGCTTGGATTCGAGGTTGACCACGTTGGGTGCAGCGTCTTTGGAAGTCTCAACAGTCATCTATCAACGGTCGTGAGGAATTTGAGCCGACCGGGCGACCTGCATCTGGTAGACATCGGCAGCGGGTATCCCATGTTCGACCCAATCCCACTGGTCTTTGACAAGGAGTCACCGTTGTACAAGACAAGCTTCCTATATCATAAGTTTTTAAAAGACACTGACGGCACCCTCCGATGGGTGCATAGAGCCTACCGGGATTATTACGATGGCCCGCCAGCAGATGTCGTCGACGAGTGGTACACGTTCATGGTGATTAACTTGGAGGTCCGGGATATCAAATTCTTTTTCCCCAACATGGAAAACATTCATACAGTTGAAAGCGGACCAAAGGCCCTGGCGCCTTTTTTGGTCAGCTTAAGGGCGATCGACTACCGAAATGGAAGGCTCTTCGCCGTCAAGGATACCACCATCTTGAAAGAAGACGCCAGCGGTAAGGTGAACAAGAAGCGCATATCGTCTCCTCAAGAGTTGCTGGAGGCATACAAGGTCCACTTTCCGCAGTTTCCGGCAGAGACTGTACAGCAGGCTATACAGCAGGTCACCCTCAAATTTCAAAATAGTTCTGGAAAATGAGTTAATAACATCAATTAAAACAGGTACGCAATAAGAGTTGAAAATTGGATTGAAAAGTAAAATCTGAGTTTTAATTATTTATCCATGATCATTCCTCCCGCCACGCGCGATCACAATTTAAAATATTACATTCTATGTTCTGAACTGTGAACATGTAGACGGTTACAATGGTGTTGACTTTGAACCGATGGCGTTGACGTTGAAATGCACACCCAGATTATATTTTCTACTAAAATCGCAAATTTCGAACATTTCAAACTCAAGATTCTAGGTATGAATCATGTGAATTATGTTTTGAACAAGTAGGTTGTCCCAGGCTATTTTCAAACCTGTTGTCAATTTTTGTCATTCAATTTTTGTCATTCAAATTTACGAGTTCGAATACTCACAAACGTCCAGCAAATTCAAATGTGTGCACATACAATGTTTAAATTCGCTCTGTTATCACACGATTTCATATTTTGTTCAAGGAACTCAAACCATGAGCTCCCAGTTTCGCCGAAGGTATATTCAATTTCGTCTCATCTAGGCCGTACCGTAAAGTTCAGAAGACAAACTCGTCTTTGTTATACCACTCAGTTATATCGTTATTTTGTTCAATTCCATCGTTCTTTATAAATTGCGACAGCTTCAGTAGAAGCCGCCGCTGGCTTGCTGGATCGAGCACCTTTAATGTTTACTATCCAATGACTGTATGGAATGTGGTTTCTACACAATGTAATTTGAGCCACCCGACCCTCACAACCAGCCCATTCACCCCTGATTAACCTCTGGCATGTCTGGAGTATCTCTCAGGCCCCAAACAGCCGTTAAAACCACAGACATAACCCCATTTGACATTCCATTTTGGTCACAGGGGTGATCGAAATAATCCCAATGTATATAGTGCATTTGTACACAAGCCTATGTAAATGTGCACAAGCACACAGGGTTTTCCCGCCAATTTTCAACCCCTCCAGTATGATCACAAGACTGACACCCCCTCTGAAGGATGTAGTATGGTCCATACTACGATCTGGTGATAGATGGCCCCGGGTGTGTTTACCACGTGGCCAGGACAATATAAAACATAAAAATGTGTAGAGTCAATATTCCCTCCTGAATCCGGGTAATTAATGTTCCATTTTTTTTTTTTTGGAGGAGGGTGCTTTCTTGTTATTCAGAAATGTACATTTTGTTTCTTTTCATTTGATAGTTCTGAAAAACACATTAGACTCAATTTAAGGCACTCACAAAATAATGTCACACGGGAAATTAATGGGCATATATATTTTTTTCTTATTATTTTCATTTGTCTTTACTTTTAACGCTTATAGCCCATTCTATTCGTTTCTTTATTCAACAGTAATTGAAATTCAAGCATTAGTTAAAATTTTGATTGATTGATTGATTGAATAAATACCGTTCATTACTATGCACGTTTGACCCGCAGACACGTACGTCTCCGTGTAGTTCGTGGCGTTGTCTGCTTCTCATATGTAGCTACTGATGTGCAAAGTTCACATTACGCTTACGCTGTGGGTGATATACACGCATGTACATGTAAATCCGTACAACCAGTACCTGCCGTGTGCACGGGGTTATTCTATGGAAGACGGATCGCTGTGCATTTGAGGTTTGCGTCTACACTGCAGCCCCTCTTGTCTCTCGAGCTAGTATTCGACTATTTGAGAGTGTCCGGCATATTGAGTAAGAAACCTCACTGTTATTTGGGGTTTTTTGCACAAAAACAGCAATATAGCAGCACCTAAAAAGAATAGCTTAATTCTTGTAATTAAGACATACTTTCAATTGATTATAAATGCTTATAATTGTGGTGTATTATTGTCTCAGGTGGCTATTTTCGCTCGATATATCAATGACTAAGAACAGGGATAAAAAAAAACATCGTACATTGCTTTTCTGTTTCAATCCAGACATGGCAGGCAACCTAGCTTATCCGAGGCGACGCAGTTTCTTGAGGGCGTCCTGCAGATGCACTCACTCAAGTTTCTGACTTGTTAAAATGTGCCATGAGTAACATACCAGTAGACAATGAAATCAGATAATCTGTTTACTAGATACTTGAATCAATATAGAATGATTTGCTGTTCATGCGTTTGGTTCGTTTCGTATAAATAACACCACTCCAAATCCAAAATGGTATGCTCAAATCTTTATTACACTTTCGAGAAAACAGTATACACACACAAAATGTTAAACTTTTATACGAAACACAATTTGGTTTTTAGCGCTCTTTATTTCCAAACGATCAATGTGGTTTCTTCAAAACGACAGCAACCCAGACTGAATAATTTCAGGAGGTGTTTAGTACCTATAAGGTGTTAAATCCAAGAAGGTTTTTGATAATATATATCGCTAGGTTACTTTTTGGGGCAATGCAAATTGTCATAATTAGGCCATAAAAAAAATAATAAGTCAGTCTCTGGTCAGCGCGCGCGTCGATTTTAATCATGCGCGTCAATCTTTTTTTTTCCAAAATGTTACGCGTAGCTTCAACAGCGCCCTCTATTGCCGCACCTCCTCAATTTGTTTTACCAAAGAGCACCAAGGAATGGGAAATTGCACCACGGCAAATGATCGAGAGCACCAAAGCAAATTATGAAGGACACAAATGTACACGAGGACACAAAAAAGCAAAATAGAACCCCACCTTGTCTGTACAATCCAAGCTTGAAGAAAAAAAAAAAAAAAAAAAAAAAACCGCGTCGCCGCGTCAATTCCGGAACTTTGGTCTGACCAGAGACCGAATATTTTTTTTTTTTTTTTTTTTTTTGGGGGGGGGGGCCTTGTATGCCTTTGTTTGCGTTATGAGTAACTTGTGTACGCACATGATCAAACAGATAGCTTTCGACTATGACCTTCATCAAGTCTGTGAAAGAAATCGCAAAAATCGGAGTTGTAGAACGTCAGCACAAAGTAAAAAAGATCTGCAGTTGATGAATTTCAGAGATCATGTTCATTCGTCGTGTGGGAAGTGTCTATTATAATTCGTTATAAGGGATCACAAAGTTTCGGGAAAAGAAGGTAGGTTTTATTGTTGGTTGGCGGGGTAGGGTGAGAAAACATTTAATTGGTGTGGGGAAATGTACGTGATGTTGGATGAGATGTTTGGTTATCTGGTTCGATAGATGTAATTGCCAGCTACAATTGAACACTTTTCATCAATTAATGTTATTTACAGCATTCTGTCTAATGTACAACGTATATACATAAAGGTACATTAAAATCAAAACAAACAAGAAGCTCTACGTATTTTTTTTTCAAAGTTTCTTTCGATGACTGCGTTGTCCGATACTGAGAGCCACCGTACGTAGGACTACAAGGGATGGTCTCGGGGTCGGGAATTATATTTTAATTTTCAGCGGGACCTGGGTTATGTCACAAATTATGTTGTACGTTATTTACACATAAAATGGTCATTTACACTGTACCACACACTACTACGTCTACTTCCACCAACTACTGAACATTGCAAATCTATAACGAAACAGCACAAGATTTAACAATGTATACTACTGTATTTCTGTGTCAGCACTACAAAGGCCGGAGTCTATCGACACGATACTGTACATGTATTTGCACGTTTGACCATTGCGAAATTGTTTGCCCGGCAGACACGTTCTACTATTGTTCACGGCATTGACCTCTTATAGGCCGATATGTTCGTAGTACACTTTACACTTAGTTCATGGGTGATATAGCTAGTATATTTACCGTATGCATGCACCGGGTCATGCTACGGCAGACGGATCGCTGTGTCATTTGTCTTAGAACGAAAAGCTGAGGTTTGTCTCTCGAGCAAGCTAGCATTCAACCATCGTAGAGTATCATCCGGCCGTTCAAGTAAGATATGACTTCACTGCTATGGTTGTTTTTGCATAAAACAATAGTTGGGGCCGAATTTGTAAGTACACGTGGAATTATCATGCGTGTTACAACTGATTATTCAGTAACCAACGCGTAATAGATCACCAACCCGTAATTAATGTCACATAAATTGACCGACTACACTGTCAATCAGTTGTTGCTGTATTACCGGTCTTGACTAATAATGTAACAAAAATTGAGTGATAAACATTCATTACAGTATCCGTCATTGTTTGTTACTCAATCAGTTTGTGATATTATCCGTCCATTTGTTTGACATAATCGGTGATTATTGATACATTATCAGTTAGTTACTACATTATGAGTTGTAACAAAGGCCCATGTATTTCACCTGGGAACATACACTCAACCAAAGAATGGACAAGGACAAACGACTGAGGTCAGAGGTCACCTCAAAACTGTTTTGGAGGTCTAGATTCATAACATTCATAACAATACTGTTCTTTGCACTATTGAGGCTTGGGTCACGAAGAAATGGCGTTTTGACGAATTAATATAGGTTTTCCGGGCCAATTTCCTGAAATGTTCATTCACTCCTGGAAATCGGTCAGTCATTTTCGTCTGAATTTGAGAGCACGTGTTGAATCCAATTTCAATTCAATGAAAGTTCAATCGTTTTCATTGTCCATGCATTCGGTTTTGAGAAACAGACGGCCAATTACGTTACCTGGGCATTAATTTACGCAAGCATGCCTTTTCTTATTTGATTGACTGTTAATGAAAAAGGAAACCGTAATTGTATCTGGTGCCGATGGCATTAAACTTAAAGTGAAATAGAATGATGAAGGCTTGGAATCGCCCTCTAAAAGCGATAAAGAAGTCTTGTACACGAATCTGAATGAACATAAACGAAAGGTGCTGCTCAATTACTTAATCGATTGAACTGAAATGGAATCCAGTGCTCTGGTAGCGAAAATGAAACGCGTGTTCAGAGCGATTATCAAGTTCAGTCGAAAATGAAAGACCGATTTTAAGAAGTGAATAAGCATTTGAGGAAGTTGGCCAGGAAATACCTATATGACAAATAGCAGTAACTAAAGATATCCTGAGTTCATTGATTTCAACAGGTGTATCACCAATTTAGATATGATGTCCCCACATCTGAATATTTTAAGTTTTAATATAAGTTTTAGACTTGGCTCATAAAAAAATATGGTATTTACATAAGAGACATGAATTGTGAAAAAAAGAGTTTAAAAAAAAAGCTCTTACTAATAGCTATAAACAAGTTTAAACATGTCATTGACCCCTCAAAGGTCACCAAAGGTCAGACTTGAAGTGCGCTCACGTCTGATCATTAATTTCCAATGCAATGTATGAAGACCTATGGCATAGACTTGGGTCATAGGAAATAAAGTTTGAGAACAAACGTTATGAATAGAGCATGTAAAATTCATTGACCTCTCAAAGGTCACCAGAGGTCAACTATGAAATGGTTGCCTGTCTTAAAATTTACTTCATGACATGAAGAACCAACATGCGGGGTTTTATGTTTTTATCACAAATTGCACAATCCCTTGGCATATTGGGGCATTGCCGCACCACTATGTTGTGTATTGTTGTTCAGATCAGAACAAGCATGCAAATCATACCCGAGCGTCTCTTATGGATATTTTTGATTGATCTATCACTGACTTCAAAACAGGGATAAAAAGCATGGCACATTGCTTTTCTGTTTCAGTCCAGAAATGGCGTACAATCTTAGCTCAACCGAGGTGACCCAGTTCCTTGAGTGCGTCCTGCAGATACAGTCACCAATGGAAAGTTTGGCCAGAGATCGGGTCAGCTTCCTGCGTGACCTCATCGCTGCCTTCCTGTCCAAGATTCCCTACCAGAGTGTGACGTCGATCGCCACGCCCAAACCAGAAAGACGCAGGTTGACCTTCCAAGAGATCAAGTTCGACATGATGACTCGGAGGGGTGGTCTGTGCTACGAGATGAACTCCTTCATGAAGTTGCTCTTGGAGAAGCTAGGATTCGAGGTTTACCACATTGGATGCACCAGCTTCGGAAAAACGAACAATCATCTGGCAATAGTGGTCAAGAATCTAAGTCGACCGGGCGACCTGCATCTGGTAGACGTTGGCTGCGGGCATCCCACGTTTGAACTAGTCCCACTGGACTTTGATAAGGAATCTCCCTTGTACAAGACAAGCTTTCTGGTTCATAAGTTCGTGAAGGATGCCGATGGCAGCTTCCGATGGATGCACAAATCGTACCGGGACTTCGACGGCCCATCGGTAATTGTCGTCGACGGTTGGTACATGTTCATGAAGTTCAAATTGGAGTTCCGGGATATCGAGTTCTTTTTCCCCCACATGGAGATCGTCCATACTGTGGAGATCGGCCCCGAGGCCTTGTCAATCATGTTGGTCCAATTGAAGGCAGTAGACTACCGCAACGGGAAGCTACTTGCCATCACCGGCACGTCCAACTTGGAGGAAGACGCCAGCGGTAAGGTCAACAAGAAGCGCATAACGTCCCCTCAAGAGTTGCTGGAGGCGTACAGGGTCCACTTTCCACAGTTTCCCGTGGAGACTGTACAACAGGCCATACAGACTGTCAACCTCAAATTTGAAAAATAACTTGGTGAATCAAGTTTCGGACTTGTTACAACGTTAACACATATCAATACAAATGAATACAGTTAATCTGTTTATTTACTTACAAGCTTACAAGGTTCACTTTCCGCAGTTTCCGGTAGAGACTGTACAGCAGGCTAAACAGCAGGTCACTCTCAAATTTCAAAAATAGTTCTGGAAACTGAGTTCATAACATCGATTAAAACAGGTGTGCAGTCAGAGTTTAAAATTGGATTGAAATGCAATGTCTGAGTTTATATTATTTATCCATGATTATTTCTCCTGCCACGCGCCATCTAATTTATAAATACTACATTCTTTATTACTTCGCGGGAAAACTTTTGGTCATAATTATTCTGTTCTGATAAAGGAGTCTATTAATCACCTCAAAAATTCTTGGTTGGTGCTCTCGCAACGTAAATATGTCCCGGTTAGTTTTACACCACCCAGCCATATGGTTGCGAAGGGCGATTTCCAAAGGTTACGTAACACTTTATTTTGAATGAAACTACATGTACACAGACATGTTGACGTTGGCGAGTGAAATATTTGTAAATTAACTTCTCCCGTTTGAAAGACCGTATCTTATTGCAACTTTCAGGATTTATTTCCCCTATAATGATCCAAGTATGTGCTAAAAGTCGTTGTGATATGTTTATTACTTTTCGTTGAAATTGGAAAAAAAGGCCTCTTCGAAATTCCTTGGAGATGGTTGCAGGTTTAACACTAGCGTCCGCAACAACAGATTTCGCTGAATTTCGGAATATACTTAGATGGTATAAGTGTTCAACTACTCGTGAAATAACAACTTGGGTAAATTCCTAGAAATTGGGATAAATACATACATTTGGGGGAGTTTTCGAACGATTTCTTCCAGACTTGAACGTCAGCTTTGACAGTAACCAGTATTGACGTTTCGGCATCGATGACGGCGATTTTTATCACTGACATGAAGTTTAGAATTTCTTCTCCAGTTAGAATGTAACATTTCAATCATACCGAGCATATTTTCTGAGAAACACAACGTTCAAAAGGCCATCTGGGGGGGGGGGGGGTTGGTTCACGAATTTCAATGCTCTGTTGCAGCGTCTTAGTACGTAATCAGGTTAGCTTTCCTTGACAACGACCGACGCTTTGCCTTCGCGACCATATGGCTGCACTGACTGATTTATCTTGCTTGGATTGTTAAAATTAGTGGGTTGACGGTCGATTAGGGGTTATCAGCATACAGTGTAGGGCTATCGAGCGAAATTAAGTCAATCACTTCTCATGGGGGTCATAACGTGAGTATAATTCGCATTTATACAGGGCTTGACAGGTTGTGATGGGGCCCTCGCGTTACCTTAAATGTATCTTTCACACGAGTGCATTTTATGTTGGCTGTTTATACGTTTAGGTGTCTAGTTGCAATTTTTGTTCGAAAGTTCCTGGTCAGGCGGTTGCATATACAACTTGGCATGTGCCCGCTGCTAATTATCGCCGCACAAGTGAGTGTCACTGCACCTAACTAACTCAAATGCCTTATTTCCTAAACGATGCTGTACTATAAAATTCGGTATTTATTAAAGTGACATTTTAATAGTACACTATCATCAGCTCTGAACTGTGAACAATTACGGTTACAATGGCGTTAACTTTCAACCAATGGCGATGACGTTGACAATGCACACCCACATTATATTGTCTAGTAACATCGCAAATTGTACCTATATAGGTGTCGAACATTTCGAACTCAAGATTCTAGGTATGAATCATGTGAATTATGTTTTTAATAAGTAGGTTTTCCAAACAATTTTCAAACCTGTTGTCATTCAAATTTACGGGTTCGAGTACTCACAAACGTCCAGCAAAATCGAATGGGTGCACATCATAAGAAAACTTTAACCATGAGCTCACAGTTTCGTCAAAGAGTATTCAATTTCGTCTCATTTAGCACGTTTCGTATTGTTCAGAAGAAAACTCGTCTTTATGCCACAGTTTTATCGTTATTTGGTTCAATTCCATCATCCTTCATTCAATGCGACATCTTCAGTAGAAGCCGCGCTGGTAAATTAAGGTTCCATTTTGTTTTTTTGTTTTGTTTTTGTTATTTTTTGCTTCCTTGTTATTCAGAAATGTACAGTTTGTTTCTTTTCATTTATTATTCTGAAAACACATACGACTCAATTTAAGGCACACACAAATAATGTCACGCGGGTTATTGAAGGACATATATATATATACTTTTATTTCCCTTTGTCCTTACTTTTAACGCTTATATCCCATTATATTCGTTTCTTTATTGAACAGTAATTTAAATTCAAGCATTAGTGAAAATTTTGATTGACTGATAGATTGATTAAAAACCGTTCATTAAAAATCGAAGGTGTCGAATGTTTTCACATGTATTTTGAGGAACTAGGGATTTTTAAGTGCACGTGTATATAATTATACGTAATTGACGTACCAGAAAAAGATTAACGTATGGAAACACAAACACTTCAGATATTTTTGCTATTTTGCCTTATGGTTATAAAGGAAATAGGATGGCCGCGCAGTTTCTTTCGATGACTGTGGTGTCCAATAAGAGCCACCGTAGGACTACAAGGGATGGTCTGGGGTTCGGAAATTCTATTTTAATTTGCAGGGACCTGGGTTATGTCACGAATTATGGTGTAAGTTATTCACACAGAAAATGGTCATTTACACTGTACCACTAATGTACATTGCTAATCTATAACAGAACAGCACAAAAATTTAACAATGCATTTACTACTGTATTTCTGTGTCAGCCCTACACAGGCCGGAGTCTATCGACACGATACTGTACATGTATTTGCACGTTTGACCATGGCGAAATTGTTTGCCCGGCAGGCACGTATTTCTATTGTTCACGGCATACTGACCTCTTCTTATATGCAGATGTTGGTGTTCGAAGTAGGCCTACACTTTATACCTGGTTTATGGGTGACTTAGCTGGTAAATACCGTATGCATGCACCGGGTCATGCTATGGAAGACGGATCGCTGTATACTATAGGCAGCTGCTGATGTGGAAAGTTCACGTTACGCTTACACTGTGGGTGATATACGCGCATGTACATCTACATGTACATGTAAATCCGTCAAGTAGTATCTGCTGTGTGCACGGGGCTTTGCTACGGAAGACGGATCGCTGTGTATTTCAGGCTTGCGTCTACACTGCAGCCCCTCTTGTCTCTCGAGCTTTCAACTATTAGAGAGTGTCCGGCATTTCAAGTAAGGAATCTCACTGCTTTGGTTTTTGTTTTGCGCAAAAAGAGAAATATAGCAGTACCTCTAAATAGAATAGCTGGGTGGGAATGTGTCAGTGCATTATGGAAATTTTCATAATCGTTGGTTTATCTATATAATCATAGGGCAATGGCACTCCGATATTTTCCAATTGGGGCAGGTCACATACAATTAGTGGACACCCACGATGGGTTGGGTGAAACTGCCTAAATGCAAACCCTGTACATGTGTGCATATTGTAATCCACAAATCACGTTTGGTCACTCCAATAGAGGGTCGTGATTTTGCACCGCGAGGTCGCGGGTTCAAATCACGGTTTTGCACTCGATTGATGTTTTCTTTTCTAACCTGAGGCTTCGGATGATTGTTTTTTTTAAGGAAAATAAAGTCGGAATTACCTAATGTTCCAGTTTACTTTTCAGTTGTCTAAATTTATATTTTCTTCTCACGTTCTTATCAAAGTTAAGTCCAAAATACCATAGCGTATACCCATATGTGGATGTCGTTTGGGAGAAAAAAAAATTGCATCCTGTGCGGGGGATTTAGGGTAAAAAAAACTCTGTCAAAAAAAACAAAATCATAGAAATATCTTAAAAATAATCCCCCCCCCAGCTCTGACACCCCCCCCCCCCCTAATTTACTGGTAAAAATGTCCGCCTGTGCACAAAATACGGACAGAGCCAGCGGTTATGTACTATTTGTACACTATCTGTAATAGTGCTAATAAATGATTTTAACAGCGCCTCCATTGAAAGTATGGCTCGAGCCCCCCCCCCCCTCCCTTTTTACATTTTAAATTTCCCATACCTTCCTGACAAATGAGGGCGCTGTTGCTTATGATGTAATTTCAGGAAAGCAATGCTCACTTTAGGGGTTTTCTGTTCAAATTCTAAACCCAAAAAGTTCTCATTTAACACATTCGTGAGAAAACTTTCCTAACTGGCTTACTGTCATGTACCGAAACAACAGAGAATAATCAAAGAAAAGAAAATTTACGACAACAGACAACTTTGTTAAATTGTGTTACTGTAATAGCTGTTACAATTCTGCCTGGTATGACATCGCACTTTTGCTCATGAAAATGGACATTCGCATATTTAGCACACACAAAACAGAGAGTCACTAAAATGCCTATAAAAGTGGCACAGTGAAAATCGAAAATAAGGTTAATGGGACACAAAGGTGCATTTTCAACGGTTGCATTATCAAATACATTTTATTATTTACGACGCGTCGCAACCCGAGTTTCGACGTGTAAACACGTAGCAACTCGCGACGCGTTGAAGGATCCATTTCCCCAAACCTTGCGATGTGTTGAAATGCGTTGTAAGGTCCTTGACAACAGCTTTAAATAGGTCGCAAGTTACGACGTGACCGATGGTCACCACGAAATAAGAAGCGTCCTTTTCTTAGCTAGTTTTATGACATAAAAAAATACATGAAGGATACTATAATACCGAGAAAATGTGTTTAAAGTTGCAATAATGCATTGAATAATTATGAACTAGCTTGGAATATTTCAATTTAATTGATATTTAAATATTTAAATTCCAAAGTAGCTATCAGTTCACAGTAGGCATGTTTTCCGCTAAAACTGCATCACACGTTCGACCATTTGGAGCGGAGATCCGATGACTGTTTGTTGACTATCAGACGACTATTTACAGTATACTTAATAAATACGTGCAACAGTCACCGTATTGACTCACAGGACGCGTCGCAGCTGCGACGCAAGGTTGCTTCGATACGACGCGTCGCAGCGCTGCAATGCATCGTAAGTTTCGTGATATCGGATTCAGAAACCTAGCCATATTTCAACGTCCACAACGTATGTTAGAAATTAACACTGGATGTACAGAATGGTATATACTCATCTTTCTTCTACAAGGCTATATTCCATCTTAGTTATTTCTTGTAATTAAAACATACTTTCAATTGATTATAAATGTTTATAATGATGGTGTATTGCTGTCCAAAGCCAGTGTGCAAAGCATTCACCTGCGTCTCTGGTGGCTCTTTTCGTTTGATATATCAATGACTACAGAACAGGGATAAAAAAAAACATCGTACATTGCTTTTCTGTTTCAATCCAGACATGGCAGGCAACCTTAGCTTATCCGAGGCGACGCAGTTTCTTGAGGGCGTCCTACAGATGCACTCGCCCATGGAGAGTTTAGCGAGAGATCGGGTCAGCTTCCTGCGTGACCTCATGGCTGCCTTCCTGTCCAAGATTCCCTTCCAGAGTGTGACTGCGATCGCCACGCCCAAACCAGAGAGACGCGGGTTGACCTTCCAGGAGATCAAAGTCGACATGGTGACTCAGAAGGGTGGCCTGTGCTTCGAGATGAACTCCTTCATGAAGGCGCTCCTGGAGAAGCTAGGATTCGAGGTTTACCACGTTGGATGCACCATCAACGGAAAACCGAACAATCATCTGTCAACAGTGGTCAAGAATCTGAGTCGGCCGGGCGACTTGCATCTTGTAGACGTTGGCTGCGGGCATCCCATGTTTGAACCAATCCCACTGGACTTTGACAAGGAGTCGCCCTTATACAAGTCAAACTATCTGGTCCATAAATTCGTGAAGGACGCCGATGACAGCTTCCGATGGATGCACAAATCCTACCAGGACTACGACGGCTCTACGGGACGTGTCGTCGACGGTTGGTACATGTTCTTGCAGTTCAAATTGGAGTTCCGGGATATCGAGTTCTTTGCCCTCCACATGGAGAACATCCACACCGTGGAGAGCGGCCCTGAGGCCTTGGCACATTTCTTGGTCCAATTGAAGGCAACAGACTTCCGCAACGGGAAGCTATTTGCCATCACCGGCACGTCCACCTTGGAGGAAGACGCCAGCGGTAAAGTAAACAAGAAGCGCATATCGTCCCCTCAAGAGTTGGAGGAGGCATATAAGTTCCACTTCCCACAGTTTCCGGCGGAGACTATACAACAGGCTATACAGACTGTCAATCTCAAATTTGAAAAATAAGTCTATGAAGCAAGTTTCTGACTTGTTAAAATATGCCATGAGTAACATGCCAGTAGACAATGAATCAGATAATCTGTTTACTAGATACTTGAATCAATATAGAATGATTTGCTGTTTATGCGTTTAGTTCGTTTCGTATAAATAACACCACTCAAAATCCAAAATGGTATGCTCAAATCTTTATTACACTTTCGAGAAAACAGTATACACATAAAAAAAAGTTAAACTTTTATAACGAAACACAATTTGGTCTTTAGCGCTCTTTATTTCCAAACGATCAATGTGGTTTCTTCAAAACGACAGCAACCCAGACTGAATAATTTCAGGAGGTGTTTAGTACCAATAAGGTGTTTAATCCAAGAAGGTTTTTGATAATAATTCGCTATGTTACTTTTTGGGGGCAATGCAAATTATCTTAATGCCTTTGTTTGCGTTATGAGTAACTTGTGTACGCACATGATCAAACAGATACTTACGACTATGATCTTCATCAAGTCTGTGAAAGTAATCGCGAAAATCAGAGATCTGCAGTTGATGAATTTCAGAGGTAATGTTCATTCGTCATGTGGGAAGTGTCTATTATAATTCATTATAAGGGATCACACAAGTTTTGGGAAAAGAAGTTAGGTTGATTGTGTGTTGGAGGGATGGGGTGAGAAGACAGATTTAAGTGGGTTGGGGGAAATGTGATGTTGGATGAGATGTGTGGTTATCTGGTTCAAGTTGGATAGATCTAATTGCCAGCTACAATTGAACACTTTTCATCAATTAATGTTTTTTACAGCATTCCATCTAATGTACAACGTATATACATAAAAGTACATTAAAAAAAAAAAAAAACAAGAAGCACTATACGTATTTTTTTTCTTCTTGTGGGATAACAAGGAACAAGGCTTTTTAACCACAAAAGGAGCTGAATTGCCATTTTGTCGGCTGAGATGAGGCAAACCCGACGTAGAGGGCGTTCAAGACGCCCACAGACTGGCTGTCCGTCCACTCAAGCAGCGGTGCGCTTTCTGTGTACCTTCCTACCCAGATAATTGCGTCGATCTTGGTGACCAAGAAACCCCGCCGTTCATCCTCGTCGAAGTGGTCCTCAATGACCTTCGCGTCGTTATATGTATCACTGGTGTGATGGTAGATGAAACTCGTAGAGGTTGACGAGAGTGCTGCGAACACGGAAAACACGTGAAACACTGTTATATAATGGAGCCATAACATGTTATTCAGAAATATAGTTTGTTTCTTCTCATTTTATTTTCTGAAAAACACATTAGACTCAATTTAAGGCACTCACAAAATAATGGCATGCGGGAAATCAAAGGGCATATATATTTTTATTTTATTTCCATTTGTCTTTACTTTTAACGCTTATAGCCCACTCTATTCGTTTCTTTTTAACAGTAATTGAATTCAAACATTGATTACAATTTTGATTGATTGATTGATTGAATAAATACCGTTCATTAAAAATCTAAGGTGTCGAATGTCTTCACATGTATTTTGAGGATCTAGGGACTTTCAAGTGCACGTTCATATACGTAATTGACGTACCAGAAAAAAAGTTTGACGTATGAAAACACAAACACTTCAGATATTTTTACTATTTTGCCTCATGGTTATAAAGGAAATATGATGGCCGCGCAGATTCTTTCGATGACTGTGGTGTCCAGTAAGAGCCACCGTAGGACTACAAGGGATGGTCTGGGGTTCGGGAATTCTATTTTATTTTGCAGGGACCTGGGTTATATGTCACGAATTATGCGTACGTTATTCATACAGAAATGGTCATTTGCGCTGTACCACATTCTACTAATTCTACTTCCACTAACTACTGTACATTGCTAATTTATAACGGAACAGCACAAGATTTAACAATGCATACTACTGTATTACTGTGTCAGCCCATGGTCAGCCCTACAATGGAGTCTATCGACACGATACTATACATGTATTTGCACATTAGACCATTGCGAAATTGTTTGCCCGGCAGACACGTTCTTCTATTGTGCACGGCATTGACCTTTTTATAGGCAGATGTTGATGTTCAAAGTACACACTTGGTTCATGGGTGATATAGCTAGTATGTACCGTATGCATGCATCGGGTCATGCTGTGGAAGACGGATCGCTGTGTCATTAGTCTTAGAACGGAAAGCTGAGGTTTGCGCCTGTAGGCCTACTGCAGCCCCCTTCTCTCTCGAGCAAGCATTCAACCATCGTAGAGTATCATCCGGCCGTTCAAGTAAGATATAACTTCACTGCTATGGTTGTTTTTGCATAAAAAGCATGGCACATCTAAATACAATAGTTAGGGCCGAATTTGTAAGTACACGTGGAATTATCATGTGTGTTACAACTGATTATTCAGTAACCAACGCGTAATAGATCACCAACCCGTAATTAATGTCACATAAATTGACCGACTACACTGCCAATCAGTTGTTGCTGTATTACCGGTCTTGACTAATAATGTAACAAAAATTGAGTGATAAACATTCAATACAGTATCCGTCATTGTTTGTTACTCAATCAGTTTGTGATATTATCCGTCCATTTGTTTGACATAATCGGTGATTATTGATACATTATCAGTTAGTTACTACATTATGAGTTGTAACAAAGGCCCATGTATTTCACCTGGGAACATACACTCAACCAAAGAATGGACAAGGACAAACGACTGAGGTCAGAGGTCACCTCAAAACTGTTTTGGAGGTCTAGATTCATAACATTCATAACAATACCGTTCTTTGCACTATTGAGGCTTGGGTCACGAAGAAATGGCGTTTTGACGAATTAATATAGGTTTTCCGGGCCAATTTCCTGAAATGTTCATTCACTCCTGGAAATCGGTCAGTCATTTTCGTCTGAATTTGAGAGCACGTGTTGAATCCAATTTCAATTCAATGAAAGTTCAATCGTTTTCATTGTCCATGCATTCGGTTTTGAGAAACAGACGGCCAATTACGTTACCTGGGCATTAATTTACGCAAGCATGCCTTTTCTTATTTGATTGACTGTTAATGAAAAAGGAAACCGTAATTGTATCTGGTGCCGATGGCATTAAACTTAAAGTGAAATAGAATGATGAAGGCTTGGAATCGCCCTCTAAAAGCGATAAAGAAGTCTTGTACACGAATCTGAATGAACATAAACGAAAGGTGCTGTTCAATTACTTAATCGATTGAACTGAAATGGAATCCAGTGCTCTGGTAGCGAAAATGAAACGCGTGTTCAGAGCGATTATCAAATTCAGTCGAAAATGAAAGACCGATTTTAAGAAGTGAATAAGCATTTGAGGAAGTTGGCCATGAAATACCTATATGTCAAATAGCAGTAACTAAAGATATCACGAGTTCATTGATTTCAACAGGTGTATCACCAATTTAGATATGATGTCCCCACATCTGAATATTTTAAGTTTTAATATAAGTTTTAGACTTGGCTCATAAAAAAATATGGTATTTACATAAGAGACATGAATTGTGAAAAAAAGAGTTTAAAAAAAAGCTCTTACTAATAGCTATAAACAAGTTTAAACATGTCATTGACCCCTCAAAGGTCACCAAAGGTCAGACTTGAAGTGCGCTCACGTCTGATCATTAATTTCCAATGCAATGTATGAAGACCTATGGCATAGACTTGGGTCATAGGAAATAAAGTTTGAGAACAAACGTTATGAATAGAGCATGTAAAATTCATTGACCTCTCAAAGGTCACCAGAGGTCAACTATGAAATGGTTGCCTGTCTTAAAATTTACTTCATGACATGAAGAACCAATATGCGGGGTTTTATGTTTTTATCACAAATTGCACAATCCCTTGGCATATTGGGGCATTGCCGCACCACTATGTTGTGTATTGTTGTTCAGATCAGAACAAGCATGCAAATCATACCCGAGCGTCTCTTGTGGATATTTTTGATTGATCTATCACTGACTTCAAAACAGGGATAAAAAGCATGGCACATTGCTTTTCTGTTTCAGTCCAGAAATGGCGTACAATCTTAGCTCAACCGAGGTGACCCAGTTCCTTGAGTGCGTCCTGCAGATACAGTCACCAATGGAAAGTTTGGCCAGAGATCGGGTCAGCTTCCTGCGTGACCTCATCGCTGCCTTCCTGTCCAAGATTCCCTACCAGAGTGTGACGTCGATCGCCACGCCCAAACCAGAAAGACGCAGGTTGACCTTCCAAGAGATCAAGTTCGACATGATGACTCGGAGGGGTGGTCTGTGCTACGAGATGAACTCCTTCATGAAGTTGCTCTTGGAGAAGCTAGGATTCGAGGTTTACCACATTGGATGCACCAGCTTCGGAAAAACGAACAATCATCTGGCAATAGTGGTCAAGAATCTAAGTCGACCGGGCGACCTGCATCTGGTAGACGTTGGCTGCGGGCATCCCACGTTTGAACTAGTCCCACTGGACTTTGATAAGGAATCTCCCTTGTACAAGACAAGCTTTCTGGTTCATAAGTTCGTGAAGGATGCCGATGGCAGCTTCCGATGGATGCACAAATCGTACCGGGACTTCGACGGCCCATCGGTAATTGTCGTCGACGGTTGGTACATGTTCATGAAGTTCAAATTGGAGTTCCGGGATATCGAGTTCTTTTTCCCCCACATGGAGATCGTCCATACTGTGGAGATCGGCCCCGAGGCCTTGTCAATCATGTTGGTCCAATTGAAGGCAGTAGACTACCGCAACGGGAAGCTACTTGCCATCACCGGCACGTCCAACTTGGAGGAAGACGCCAGCGGTAAGGTCAACAAGAAGCGCATAACGTCCCCTCAAGAGTTGCTGGAGGCGTACAGGGTCCACTTTCCACAGTTTCCCGTGGAGACTGTACAACAGGCCATACAGACTGTCAACCTCAAATTTGAAAAATAACTTGGTGAATCAAGTTTCGGACTTGTTACAACGTTAACACATATCAATACAAATGAATACAGTTAATCTGTTTATTTACTTACAAGCTTACAAGGTTCACTTTCCGCAGTTCCGGTAGAGACTGTACAGCAGGCTAAACAGCAGGTCACTCTCAAATTTCAAAAATTAGTTCTGGAAACTGAGTTCATAACATCGATTAAAACAGGTGTGCAGTCAGAGTTTAAAATTGGATTGAAATGCAATGTCTGAGTTTATATTATTTATCCATGATTATTTCTCCTGCCACGCGCCATCTAATTTATAAATACTACATTCTTTATTACTTCGCGGGAAAACTTTTGGTCATAATTATTCTGTTCTGATAAAGGAGTCTATTAATCACCTCAAAAATTCTTGGTTGGTGCTCTCGCAACGTAAATATGTCCCGGTTAGTTTTACACCACCCAGCCATATGGTTGCGAAGGGCGATTTCCAAAGGTTACGTAACACTTTATTTTGAATGAAACTACATGTACACAGACATGTTGACGTTGGCGAGTGAAATATTTGTAAATTAATTTCTCCCGTTTGAAAGACCGTATCTTATTGCAACTTTCAGGATTTATTTCCCCTATAATGATCCAAGTATGTGCTAAAAGTCGTTGTGATATGTTTATTACTTTTCGTTGAAATTGGAAAAAAAAGGCCTCTTCGAAATTCCTTGGAGATGGTTGCAGGTTTAACACTAGCGTCCGCAACAACAGATTAAGCTGAATTTCGGAATATACTTAGATGGTATAAGTGTTCAACTACTCGTGAAATAACAACTTGGGTAAATTCCTAGAAATTGGGATAAATACATACATTTGGGGGAGTTTTCGAACGATTACTTCCAGACTTGAACGTCAGCTTTGACAGTAACCAGTATTGACGTTTCGGCATCGATGACGGCGATTTTTATCACTGACATGAAGTTTAGAATTTCTTCTTCAGTTAGAATGTAACATTTCAATCATACCGAGCATATTTTCTGAGAAACACAACGTTCAAAAGGCCATCTGGGGGGGGGGGGTTCACGAATTTCAATCTGTTGCAGCGTCTTAGTACGTAATCAGGTTAGCTTTCCTTGACAACGACCGACGCTTTGCCTTCGCGACCATATGGCTGCACTGACTGATTTATCTTGCTTGGATTGTTAAAAATAGTGGGTTGACGGTCGATTAGGGGTTATCAGCATACAGTGTAGGGCTATCGAGCGAAATTAAGTCAATCATTTCTCATGGGGGTCATAACGTGAGTATAATTCGCATTTATACAGGGCTTGACAGGTTGTGATGGGGCCCTCGCGTTACCTTAAATGTATCTTTCACACGAGTGCATTTTATGTTGGCTGTTTATACGTTTAGGTGTCTAGTTGCAATTTTTGTTCGAAAGTTCCTGGTCAGGCGGTTGCATATACAACTTGGCATGTGCCCGCCGCTAATTATCGCCGCACAAGTGAGTGTCACTGCACCTAACTAACTCAAATGCCTTATTTCCTAAACGATGCTGTACTATAAAATTCGGTATTTATTAAAGTGACATTTTAATAGTACACTATCATCAGCTCTGAACTGTGAACAATTACGGTTACAATGGCGTTAACTTTCAACCAATGGCGATGACGTTGACAATGCACACCCACATTATATTGTCTAGTAACATCGCAAATTGTACCTATATAGGTGTCGAACATTTCGAACTCAAGATTCTAGGTATGAATCATGTGAATTATGTTTTTAATAAGTAGGTTTTCCAAACAATTTTCAAACCTGTTGTCATTCAAATTTACGGGCTCGAGTACTCACAAACGTCCAGCAAAATCGAATGGGTGCACATCATAAGAAAACTTTAACCATGAGCTCACAGTTTCGTCAAAGAGTATTCAATTTCGTCTCATTTAGCACGTTTCGTATTGTTCAGAAGAAAACTCGTCTTTATGCCACAGTTTTATCGTTATTTGGTTCAATTCCATCATCCTTCATTCAATGCGACATCTTCAGTAGAAGCCGCGCTGGTAAATTAAGGTTCCATTTTGTTTTTTTTGTTTTGTTTTTGTTATTTTTTGCTTCCTTGTTATTCAGAAATGTACAGTTTGTTTCTTTTCATTTATTATTCTGAAAACACATACGACTCAATTTAAGGCACACACAAATAATGTCACGCGGGTTATTGAAGGACATATATATATATACTTTTATTTCCCTTTGTCTTTACTTTTAACGCTTATATCCCATTATATTCGTTTCTTTATTCAACAGTAATTTAAATTCAAGCATTAGTGAAAATTTTGATTGACTGATAGATTGATTAAAAACCGTTCATTAAAAATCGAAGGTGTCGAATGTTTTCACATGTATTTTGAGGAACTAGGGATTTTTAAGTGCACGTGTATATAATTATACGTAATTGACGTACCAGAAAAAGATTAACGTATGGAAACACAAACACTTCAGATATTTTTGCTATTTTGCCTTATGGTTATAAAGGAAATAGGATGGCCGCGCAGTTTCTTTCGATGACTGTGGTGTCCAATAAGAGCCACCGTAGGACTACAAGGGATGGTCTGGGGTTCGGGAATTCTATTTTAATTTGCAGGGACCTGGGTTATGTCACGAATTATGGTGTAAGTTATTCACACAGAAAATGGTCATTTACACTGTACCACTAATGTACATTGCTAATCTATAACAGAATAGCACAAAAATTTAACAATGCATATATATACTACTGTATTTGTGTGTCAGCCCTACACAGGCCGGAGTCTATCGACACGATACTGTACATGTATTTGCACGTTTGACCATGGCGAAATTGTTTGCCCGGCAGGCACGTATTTCTATTGTTCACGGCATACTGACCTCTTCTTATATGCAGATGTTGATGTTCGAAGTAGGCCTACACTTTATACCTGGTTTATGGGTGACTTAGCTGGTAAATACCGTATGCATGCACCGGGTCATGCTATGGAAGACGGATCGCTGTATACTATAGGCAGCTGCTGATGTGGAAAGTTCACGTTACGCTTACACTGTGGGTGATATACGCGCATGTACATCTACATGTACATGTAAATCCGTCAAGTAGTATCTGCTGTGTGCACGGGGCTTTGCTACGGAAGACGGATCGCTGTGTATTTCAGGCTTGCGTCTACACTGCAGCCCCTCTTGTCTCTCGAGCTTTCAACTATTAGAGAGTGTCCGGCATTTCAAGTAAGGAATCTCACTGCTTTGGTTTTTGTTTTGCGCAAAAAGAGAAATATAGCAGTACCTCTAAATAGAATAGCTGGATGGGAATGTGTCAGTGCATTATGGAAATTTTCATAATCGTTGGTTTATCTATATAATCATAGGGCAATGGCACTCCGATATTTTCCAATTGGGGCAGGTCACATACAATTAGTGGACACCCACGATGGGTTGGGTGAAACTGCCTAAATGCAAACCCTGTACATGTGTGCATATTGTAATCCACAAATCACGTTTGGTCACTCCAATAGAGGGTCGTGATTTTGCACCGCGAGGTCGCGGGTTCAAATCACGGTTTTGCACTCGATTGATGTTTTCTTTTCTAACCTGAGGCTTCGGATGATTGTTTTTTTTAAGGAAAATAAAGTCGGAATTACCTAATGTTCCAGTTTATTTTTCAGTTGTCTAAATTTATATTTTCTTCTCACGTTCTTATCAAAGTTAAGTCCAAAATAACATAGCGTACACCCATATGTGGATGTCGTTTGGGAGAAAAAAAAAATTGCATCCTGTGCGGGGGATTTAGGGTAAAAAAAACTCTGTCAAAAAAAAACAAAATCATAGAAATATCTTAAAAATAATCCCCCCCCCAGCTCTGACACCCCCCCCCCCTAATATACTGGTAAAAATGTCCGCCTGTGCACAAAATACGGACAGAGCCAGCGGTTATGTACTATTTGTACACTATCTGTAATAGTGTTAATAAATTATTTTAACAGCGCCTCCATTGAAAGTATGGCTCGAGCCCCCCCCCCTCCCTTTTTACATTTTAAATTTCCCATACCTTCCTGACAAATGAGGGCGCTGTTGCTTATGATGTAATTTCAGGAAAGCAATGCTCACTTTAGGGGTTTTCTGTTCAAATTCTAAACCCAAAAAGTTCTCATTTAACACATTCGTGAGAAAACTTTCCTAACTGGCTTACTGTCATGTACCGAAACAACAGAGAATAATCAAAGAAAAGAAAATTTACGACAACAGACAACTTCTTTTAAATTGTGGTACTGTAATAGCTCTTACAATTCTGCCTGGTATGACATCGCACTTTTGCTCATGAAAATGGACATTCGCATATTTAGCACACACAAAAACAGAGAGTCACTAAAATGCCTATAAAAGTGGCACAGTGAAAATCGAAAAAAAGTTAACGGAACACAAAGGTGCATTTTCAACGGTTGCATTATCAAATACATTTTTATTTACGACGCGTCGCAACCCGAGTTTCGACGTGTAAACACCTAGCAACTCGCGACGCGTTGAACGATCCATTTCCCCAAACCTTGCGATGTGTTGAAATGCGTTGTAAGGTCCTTGACAACAGCTTTAAATAAGTCGCAAGTTACGACGTGACCGATGGTCATCACGAAATAAGAAGCGTCCTTTTCTTAGCTAGTTTCATGACATAAATTACATGGATACTATAATACCGAGAAAATGTGTTTAAAGTTGCAATTGGTACATGCATTGAATAATTATGAAGTAGCTTGGAATATTTCAATTTAATTGATATTTAAATATTTAAATTCCAAAGTAGCTATCAGTTCACAGTATGTTAGTTTTCCGCTAAAACTGCATCACACGTTCGCCATTTTGTTTTACATTTTGAGACCATTTCGAGCGGAGATCCGACGACTGTTTGTTGACTATCAGACGACTATTTACATACTTAATAAATACGTGCAACAGTCACCGTATTGAATCGCAGGACGCGTCGCAGTTGCGACGCAAGGTTGCTTCGATACGACGCGTCGCAGCGCTGCGATGCATCGTAAGTTTCGTGATATCAGATTCAGAATTGAATCCATATTTGAACGTCCACAACGTATGTTAGAAATAAACACTGGACGTACAGAATTGTATGTACTCATCTTTCTTTCACAAGGCTATATTCCATCTTAGTTATTTTTTGTAATTAAGACATACTTTCAATTGATGATAAATGTTTATAATGCTGGTGTATTGCTGTCCAAAGCCAGTATGCAAAGCATTCACCTGCGTCTCTGGTGGCTATTTTCGTTCGATATATCAATGACTAAAGAACAGGGATAAAAAAAAAATAGTACATTGCTTTTCTGTTTCAATCCAGACATGGCAGACAACCTTAGCTTATCCGAGGCGACGCAGTTTCTTAAGGGCGTCCTACAGATGCAATCGCCCATGGAGAGTTTGGCGAGAGATCGGGTCAGCTTCCTGCGTGACCTCATGGCTGCCTTCCTGTCCAAGATTCCCTTCCAGAGTGTGACTGCGATCGCCACGCCCAAACCAGAGAGACGCAGGTTGACCTTCCAAGAGATCAAAGTCGACATGATAACTCAGAAGGGTGGCCTGTGCTTCGAGATGAACTACTTCATGAAGGCGCTCTTGGAGAAGCTAGGATTCGAGGTTTACCACGTTGGATGCACCATCATCGGAAAACCGAACAATCATCTGTCAACAGTGGTCAAGAATCTGAGTCGGCCGGGCGACTTGCATCTGGTAGACGTTGGCTGCGGGCATCCCATGTTTGAACCAATTCCACTGGACTTTGACAAGGAGTCGCCCTTATACAAGTCAAACTATCTGGTCCATAAATTCGTGAAGGACGCCGATGACAGCTTCCGATGGATGCACAAATCCTACCGGGACTACGACGGCTCAACGGGACGTGTCGTCGACGGTTGGTACATGTTCTTGGAGTTTAAATTGGAGTTCCGGGATATCGAGTTCTTTGCCCTCCACATGGAGAACATCCACACCGTGGAGAGCGGCCCTGAGGCCTTGGCACATTTCTTGGTCCAATTGAAGGCAACAGACTTCCGCAACGGGAAGCTATTTGCCATCACCGGCACGTCCACCTTGGAGGAAGACGCCAGCGGTAAAGTAAACAAGAAGCGCATATCGTCCCCTCAAGAGTTGGAGGAGGCATATAAGTTCCACTTCCCACAGTTTCCAGCGGAGACTATACAACAGGCTATACAGACTGTCAATCTCAAATTTGAAAAATAAGTCTGTGAAGCAAGTTTCTGACTTGAGTAACATGAGTAACATGCCAGTAGACAATGAATCAGATAATCTGTTTACTAGATACTTGAATCAATATAGAATGATTTGCTGTTCATGCGTTTAGTTCGTTTCGTATAAATAACACCACTCAAAATCCAAAATGGTATGCTCAAATCTTTATTACACTTTCGAGAAAACAGTATACACACAAAAAATGTTAAACTTTTATAACAAAACACAATTTGGTCTTTAGCGCTCTTTATTTCCGAACGATCAATGTGGTTTCTTCAAAACGACAGCAACCCAGACTGAATAATTTCAGGAGGTGTTTAGTACCAATAAGGTGTTTAATCCAAGAAGGTTTTTGATAATAATTCGCTATGTTACTTTTTGGGGGCAATGCAAATTATCTTAATGCCTTTGTTTGCGTTATGAGTAACTTGTGTACACACATGATCAAACAGATACTTACGACTATGACCTTCATCAAGTCTGTGAAAGTAATCGCGAAAATCAGAGATCTGCAGTTGATGAATTTCAGAGGTAATGTTCATTCGTCATGTGGGAAGTGTCTATTATAATTCATTATAAGGGATCACACAAGTTTTGGGAAAAGAAGGTAGGTTGATTGTGTGTTGGAGGGATGGGGTGAGAAGACAGATTTAAGTGGGTTGGGGGAAATGTGATGTTGGATGAGATGTGTGGTTATCTGGTTCAAGTTGGATAGATGTAATTGCCAGCTACAATTGAACACTTTTCATCAATTAATGTTTTTTACAGCATTCCATCTAATGTACAACGTATATACATAAAAGTACATTAAAATAAAAACAAACAAGAAGCACTATATGTATTTTTTTCTTCTTGTGGGATAACAAGGAACAAGGCTTTTTAACCACAAAAGGAGCTGAATTGCCATTTTGTCGGCTGAGATGAGGCAAACCCGACGTAGGGGGCGTTCAAGACGCCCACAGACTGGCTGTCCGTCCACTCAAGCAGCGGTGCGCTTTCTGTGTACCTTCCTACCCAGATAATTTCGTCGATCTTGGTGACCAAGAAACCCCGCCGTTCATTCTCGTCGAAGTGGTCCTCAATGACCTTCGCGTCGTTATATGTATCACTGGTGTGATGGTAGATGAAACTCGTAGAGGTTGACGAGAGTGCTGCGAACACGGAAAACACGTGAAACACTGTGTTATATAATGGAGCCATAACATGTTATTCAGAAATGTAGTTTGTTTCTTTTCATTTTATTTTCTGAAAAACACATTAGACTCAATTTAAGGCACTCACAAAATAATGGCATGCGGGAAATCAAAGGGCATATATATTTTTTTTTATTTCCATTTGTCTTTACTTTTAACGCTTATACAGGGTGTATCAAAAAAAAGTAGACTCTCCAAAAAGTAGTCACCAAATTTACAATTGAACATTTTCATGAAATGTCTTCGTTTGCATATGTTGGTATGGACGTCCTGCTTCGGTCCACACCAAAATTAATTGCATAATTTCATGCATGACTGAACACAGGCCCGTTTTCCGGTGGGCAATAAAATGTCCTTCCTCCAAAAAATTAAAGGGTTAAAATTGGATGAAAAGTCTTAAACTGTAATTTAAAATGTGAATTTTTGTTTTTCTCCGCCGCGATACTCAAATTAACCCTTTGTTTGCTGCTTTTTGCACTGGGGCAATGGATAGCCTTTCATGTGTTTGTAATCAAGCATGCCAGAGGGGCATGGCATGTTTTTACACCTGATGCGACATGCGAAGGAGAGCGCAAGTGTGCATATAAAGAAATGATGGTCACGTCGAGGACTAAGTTGATGAAAAACAGGGTATTAAAATGATTAAATGTGACTTGCTCCTCAAAATGTCCTCTCTAAGGATGCGAGTGGGTAGTGATCACTTGTAAACCACCGCGTGGCCCTCCGACTCATTCCCATACATCCATTGCCCCAGTGCAAAAAGCAGCAAACAAAGGGTTAATTTGAGTATCGCGGCGGAGAAAAACAAAAATTCACATTTTGCATTACAGTTTAAGACTTTTCATCCAATTTTAACCCTTTAATTTTTTGGAGGAAGGACATTTTATTGCCCACCGGAAAACGGGCCTGTGTACGTCATGCATGAAATTATGCAATTAATTTTGGTGTGGACCGAAGCAGGACGTCCATACCAACATATGCAAACGAAGACATTTCATGAAAATGTTCAATTGTAAATTTGGCGGGTACTTTTTGGAGAGTCTACTTTTTTTTGATACACCCTGTATATAGCCCACTCTATTCGTTTCTTTTTAACAGTAATTGAATTCAAGCATTGGTTACAATTTTGATTGATTGATTGATTGAATAAATACCGTTCATTAAAAATCTAAGGTGTCGAATGTCTTCACATGTATTTTGAGGATCTAGGGACTTTCAAGTGCACGTTCATATACGTAATTGACGTACCAGAAAAAAAAATTGACGTATGAAAACACAAACACTTCAGATATTTTTACTATTTTGCCTCATGGTTATAAAGGAAATATGATGGCCGCGCAGATTCTTTCGATGACTGTGGTGTCCAGTAAGAGCCACCGTAGGACTACAAGGGATGGTCTGGGGTTCGGGAATTCTATTTTATTTTGCAGGGACCTGGGTTATATGTCACGAATTATGCGTACGTTATTCATACAGAAATGGTCATTTGCGCTGTACCACATTCTACTACTTCTACTTCCACTAACTACTGTACATTGCTAATTTATAACGGAACAGCACAAGATTTAACAATGTATACTACTGTATTACTGTGTCAGCCCATGGTCAGCCTTACAATGGAGTCTATCGACACGATACTATACATGTATTTGCACATTAGACCATTGCGAAATTGTTTGCCCGGCAGACACGTTCTTCTATTGTGCACGGCATTGACCTTTTTATAGGCAGATGTTGATGTTCAAAGTACACTTTATACTTGGTTCATGGGTGATATAGCTAGTATGTACCGTATGCATGCATCGGGTCATGCTGTGGAAGACGGATCGCTGTGTCATTAGTCTTAGAACGGAAAGCTGAGGTTTGCGCCTGTAGGCCTACTGCAGCCCCCCTTCTCTCTCGAGCAAGCATTCAACCATCGTAGAGTATCATCCGGCCGTTCAAGTAAGATATAACTTCACTGCTATGGTTGTTTTTGCATAAAAAGCATGGCACATCTAAATACAATAGTTAGGGCCGAATTTGTAAGTACACGTGGAATTATCATGTGTGTTACAACTGATTATTCAGTAACCAACGCGTAATAGATCACCAACCCGTAATTAATGTCACATAAATTGACCGACTACACTGCCAATCAGTTGTTGCTGTATTACCGGTCTTGACTAATAATGTAACAAAAATTGAGTGATAAACATTCAATACAGTATCCGTCATTGTTTGTTACTCAATCAGTTTGTGATATTATCCGTCCATTTGTTTGACATAATCGGTGATTATTGATACATTATCAGTTAGTTACTACATTATGAGTTGTAACAAAGGCCCATGTATTTCACCTGGGAACATACACTCAACCAAAGAATGGACAAGGACAAACGACTGAGGTCAGAGGTCACCTCAAAACGGTTTTGGAGGTCTAGATTCATAACATTCATAACAATACCGTTCTTTGCACTATTGAGGCTTGGGTCACGAAGAAATGGCGTTTTGACGAATTAATATAGGTTTTCCGGGCCAATTTCCTGAAATGTTCATTCACTCCTGGAAATCGGTCAGTCATTTTCCTCTGAATTTGAGAGCACGTGTTGAATCCAATTTCAATTCAATGAAAGTTCAATCGTTTTCATTGTCCATGCATTCGGTTTTGAGAAACAGACGGCCAATTACGTTACCTGGGCATTAATTTACGCAAGCATGCCTTTTCTTATTTGATTGACTGTTAATGAAAAAGGAAACCGTAATTGTATCTGGTGCCGATGGCATTAAACTTAAAGTGAAATAGAATGATGAAGGCTTGGAATCGCCCTCTAAAAGCGATAAAGAAGTCTTGTACACGAATCTGAATGAACATAAACGAAAGGTGCTGCTCAATTACTTAATCGATTGAACTGAAATGGAATCCAGTGCTCTGGTAGCGAAAATGAAACGCGTGTTCAGAGCGATTATCAAATTCAGTCGAAAATGAAAGACCGATTATAAGAAGTGAATAAGCATTTGAGGAAGTTGGCCATGAAATACCTATATGTCAAATAACAGCAACTAAAGATATACTGAGTTCATTGATTTCAACAGGTGTATCACCAATTCAGATATGATGTCCCCACATCTGAATATTTTAAATGTTAATATAAGTTTTAGACTTGGCTCATGAAGAAATATGGTATTTACATAAGAGACATGAATTGTGAAAAAAAGAGTTTAAAGAAAAAGCTCTTACTAATAGCTATAAACAAGTTTTAACATGTCATTGACCCCTCAAAGGTCACCAAAGGTCAGACATGAAGTGCGCTCACGTCTGATCATTAATTTCCAATGCAATGTATGAAGACCTATGGCATAGACTTGGGTCATAGGAAATAAAGTTTGAGAACAAACGTTATGAATAGAGCATGTAAAATTCATTGACCTCTCAAAGGTCACCAGAGGTCAACTATGAAATGGTTGCCTGTCTTAAAATTTACTTCATGACATGAAGAACCAACATGCGGGGTTTCATGTTTTTATCACAAATTGCACAATCCCTTGGCATATTGGGGCATTGCCGCACCACTATGTTGTGTATTGTTGTTCAGATCAGAACAAGCTAGGCCAATCATACCCGAGCGTCTCTTGTGGATATTTTTGATTGATCTATCACTGACTTCAAAACAGGGATAAAAAGCATGGCACATTGCTTTTCTGTTTCAGTCCAGAAATGGCGTACAATCTTAGCTTAACCGAGGTGACCCAGTTCCTTGAGTGCGTCCTGCAGATACAGTCACCAATGGAAAGTTTGGCCAGAGATCGGGTCAGCTTCCTGCGTGACCTCATCGCTGCCTTCCTGTCCAAGATTCCCTACCAGAGTGTGACGTCGATCGCCACGCCCAAACCAGAAAGACGCAGGTTGACCTTCCAAGAGATCAAGTTCGACATGATGACTCGGAGGGGCGGTCTGTGCTACGAGATGAACTCCTTCATGAAGTTGCTCTTGGAGAAGCTAGGATTCGAGGTTTACCACATTGGATGCACCAGCTTCGGAAAAACGAACAATCATCTGGCAATAGTGGTCAAGAATCTAAGTCGACCGGGCGACCTGCATCTGGTAGACGTTGGCTGCGGGCATCCCACGTTTGAACTAGTCCCACTGGACTTTGATAAGGAATCTCCCTTGTACAAGACAAGCTTTCTGGTTCATAAGTTCGTGAAGGATGCCGATGGCAGCTTCCGATGGATGCACAAATCGTACCGGGACTTCGACGGCCCATCGGTAATTGTCGTCGACGGTTGGTACATGTTCATGAAGTTCAAATTGGAGTTCCGGGATATCGAGTTCTTTTTCCCCCACATGGAGATCGTCCATACTGTGGAGATCGGCCCCGAGGCCTTGTCAATCATGTTGGTCCAATTGAAGGCAGTAGACTACCGCAACGGGAAGCTACTTGCCATCACCGGCACGTCCAACTTGGAGGAAGACGCCAGCGGTAAGGTCAACAAGAAGCGCATATCGTCCCCTCAAGAGTTGCTGGAGGCGTACAGGGTCCACTTTCCACAGTTTCCCGTGGAGACTGTACAACAGGCCATACAGACTGTCAACCTCAAATTTGAAAAATAACTTGGTGAATCAAGTTTCGGACTTGTTACAACGTTAACACATATCAATACAAATGAATACAGTTAATCTGTTTATTTACTTACAAGCTTACAAGGTTCACTTTCCGCAGTTTCCGGCAGAGACTGTACAGCAGGCTAAACAGCAGGTCACTCTCAAATTTCAAAAATTAGTTCTGGAAACTGAGTTAATAACATCCATTAAAACAGGTGTGCAATCATAGTTTAAAATTCGATTGAAAAATGCAAAATCCGAGTTTTAATTATTTATCCATGATCATTGCTCCCGCCACGCGCGATCACAATTATCAATACTACATTCTGTATTATTTCGCGGGAAAATTTTGGTCATAATTATTCTGTCCTGATAAAGGAGTCTATTAATTACCTCAAATATTCTTGGTTGGTGCTCTAGCAACGTAAATTATGTTCCGGTTAGTTTTACACCACCCAGCCATATGGTTGCGAAGGGCAAATTCCAAAGGTTATGTGACGCTTTATTTTGAATGAAACTACCTGTACACGGGTGGCGGGTGAAATATTTGAAAATAATTTCTACCGTTTGAAAGACCGTATCTCATTGCAACTTTTAGGATTTAATTCCCCTATAATGATCCAAGTATGTGCTAAAAGTCGTTGTGATATGTTTATTACTTTTCGTTGAAATTGGAAAAAAAAAATAGGCCTGGCTACATGCAATTTTAAAAATTGTAACACTGGGGTGAGCAATAGCTATCAATCTTTTCAAGCCTCACCAATATTAATGAGGTTCCTATCCATTACGGTGTGCAGTAAACATTGCATAAAAGCCTCCATCACGAGTTGTTAAGAAATGTCATCCTTTTGCCGGCTTTCATTAGTCGATACCGATCGAGACCCACGCCATGTCACGCCTAGTGACGCTAATGAATATGCTAATATGCCCTTCATCATTGCGTGCCGGGCCAAACTCGGAAAGCCGTAGCGCTTTGCTAAACAATGTACATGGTTTGGTCGGCATATTTTTATTTATTTTTTTTTTTTTTTGATCCTCTTCAAAAATTTTCTTTGAGATGGTTCCAGGTGTAACACTAGCGTCCGCAACAACAGATTAAGCTGAATTTCGAAATATACTTAGATGATTTAAGTGTTCATCTACTCGTGAAATTACAACTTGGGTAAATTCCTAAAAATTAGGATAAATACATACATTTGGGGAGGTTTTCAAGCAATTTCTTCCAGACTTGAAGGTCAGCTTTGACAGTAACCAGAATTGACGTTTCGGCATCGATGACGGCGATTTTTTTTTTTCACTGACATGAAGTTTAGAATTTCTTCTTCAGTTATAATGTAACTTTCAATCATACCGAGCATATTTTCTGTGAAACACAACATTCAAAAGGCCATGTTTTGGGGGTTCACGAATTTCAATGCTCTGTTACAAAATTAAAGGGCATATATATATTTTTTTATTTCCATTTGTCTTTACTTTTAACGCTTTTGGCCAATTCTATTCATTTCTTTATTTAACAGTAATTGAAATTCGAGCATTAGTTAAAATTTTGATTGATTGATTGATTGATTGATTGATTGAATAAAATACGGTTCATTAAAAATCTCTTTTAAGTGCACTACTAGTTTATACGTAATTGACGTATCAGAAAAAGTTTGGCGTATGAAAACACATGAACACTTCAGATATTTTTTACTATTTTGCCTCATGGTTATAAAGGAAATATGATGGCCGCGCAGATTCTTTCGATGACTGTGGTGTCCAATAAGAGCCACCGTAGGACTACAAGGGATGGTCTGGGGTTTGGGAATTCTATTTTAATTTGCAGGGACCTGGGTTATATGTCATGATTATGCTGTACGTTATTCACACAGAAAATGGTCATTTGCGCTGTACCACATTCTACTACTTCTACTTCCACTAACTACTGTACATTGCTAATCTATAACGGAACAGCACAAAATTAACAATGCATACTACTGTATTACTGTGTCAGCCTTACAATGGAGTCTATCGACACGATACTATGCATGCATTTGCACGTTTGACCATTGCGAAATTGTTTGCCCGGCAGACACGTTCTTCTATTGTTCACGGCATTGACCTCTTATAGGCAGATGTTGATGTTCGAAGTACACTTTATATACTTGGTTCATAATAGGTGATATAGCCAGTATAAACGTATGCATGCACCGGGTCATGCTATGGAGCGGCGGATCGCTGTGTCTTTAGTCTTAAAACGGAAAACTGAGGTTTGCACCTGTAGGCCTACTGCAGCTCCTCGTTTAACTCAAGCAAGCATTCAACCATCTGAGAGTATATCCGGCTGTTCAAGTAAGATATAGCCTCACTGCTATTTGAACCGCTAGCGACGTTGAGGGCGGAAGAGAATATGTCAGAAGTTTAATCCGGCTGTGGCAAGGATGAACAGTGTAAGGTGAAGCAGAAACGGTAAGGTAAGGCAGGTTGTTTTATCCTCTCGAGTTTGGGCCAAGAAGGTCGCCGTTCAATTTGTTTTTCCCGCCCTGCCTGCCCACCCTCCCAAAAGGTTGCTTTCTTTTTGACCCCGGTTTCTACGCTCGAATCTTTCCACCCCATATCTCAGACTAAATCATTTCACTCTGGAGCCTGTACAAAGCAGCGGTGCTTATAGGTTACTACATGTATGCACGTTTGCCCCGCATGCACGTACGTCTCCATGCTGTTCGTAGCGTTGTCTGCTTCTCATAGGCAGCTGCTGACGTGCAACGTTCACGTTACACTTATGCTGTGGGTGATATACTGTACACGCATGCACACGTAGTATCTGCTGTGTGCACGGGGTTAATTTATGCCTAGCCCCATAAATGTGGCCTATTTACTGGACTGCCTCCGTAAACATAGGCCACACATCCACATGTACAAAAACGTGTCGCACTTTGCCAAATTTTGATTTTCACATTTAGGCTTAGTTTTTGTACATGTGGATGTGTGGCCTATGTTTACGGAGGCAGTCCAGTAAATATGCCACATTTATGGGGCTAGGTTATGCCATGGAAGACGGATCGCTGTGTATTTGAGGTTTGCGTCTACACTGCAGTTTATCTTGTCTCTCGAGCTAGTGTTCAACTATTTGAAAGTGTCCGGAATTTCAAGTAAGAAACCTCACTGCTATTTGGGGTGGTGTTTTTTTTTTTGGGGGGGGGGGGGGCGCAACAAGAGAAATATAGCAGTACCTCTATAGAATAGCTGGGTGGGAATGTGTCAGTGCATGAGGAATTTATCATAATCGTTGGTCAATCTATTATCATAGGGCAATGGCACTCCGATATTTGTTTTTCCTATAGGGGAAGGTCACACACAACTAGTGGACACACACGATGGGTTAGGTGAAACTGCCGAAATGCAAGCCCTGTACATGTGTGCATATTGTTATCCACAAGTCACGTTTGGTCAGTCCAATACAGAGTTGTGATTTTGCACCGCGAGGTTGCGGGTTCGAATCACGGTTTTGCACTCGATAGTTTTTCTTTTCTAACCTGAGGCTTCGGAGGATGGTTTTTTTAAGGGAAATAAAGTCTGAATTGCATAATGTTCCAGGTCACTTTTCAGTTGTCTAATTTTATATTTTCTTCTTCATTTTTTTTTTATAAAAGTTAAGTCCGAAACGCCATAGAGTACACCCATATGTAGATGTCGTTTGGGAGAAAAAATATCGCATCCTGTGCGGGGGATTTAGGGTAAAAAAAACCAGCCCTGTCAAAAGAACAAAAATCATAGAAATATCTTTTAAAATAATCCAACCCCCCCCCCCCTCCTGCTCTGACACCCCCAAAAATAATGTCTGCCTGTGCACAAAATACGGACAGAGCCAGCGGTTATTTTATGTGTTATTTGTACACTATATGTAATAGTGTTAATAAATGATTTTAACAGCGCCTCCTTTGGAAGTATGGCTCGAGCCCCCCACCCCCTCTTTTTTTTACATTTAAATTTCCCATACATTTCCTGACAAATGAGGGAGCTGTTGCTTATGATGTCATTTCAGGAAAGCACTGTTTACTTTAGGGGTTTTCTGTTCAAATTCTGAACCCAAAAAGTTCTCATTGAACACATTTGTGAGAAAAAAATTCCTCACTGACTTGCTGTCATGTACCGAAACAACAGAGAATAATCAAAGAAAAGAAAATTTACGACAGCAGAATATCAGAAATTTTGTTAAATTGTGGTGCTGAAATAGCTTTAACAATTCTGCCTAATATGCCATCACACTTTTGGTCATGAATATGGACATTCGCATATTAAGCCAAAAAAAATTGAAAGTCACCAAAATGCCTATAAAAGTGGCAAAATGAAAACTGAAAATATGTTTATTGGGACACAAAGGTGCATTTTCAACGGTTACATTATAAAATACATCACACGTTCGCCATTTTCTTTTACGTTTTGAAACCAAGTTGGAGCGGAGATCCGACGACTGTTTCTTAACTATCAGACGAATAGTTACTGTATACTTAATTAATACATGCAACAGTCACCGCATTGTGCTATAAATACACATACGACGTGTGAAATGGATCGCAGGACGCGTCGCAGGTTTCGAGAAATCAGATTCAGAAACCTAACCATATTTGAACAACCACAACGTATGCTGGACGTACAGAATATCAAACAAATTGCAATAACGATTGTTCATTATGCCCATCCATCTGATCACCAGACGATCGCAAGTGGGACAAGTGCGTTTTTATATACTCATCTATCTTCCACATGGCTATATTCCATCTTAGTTATTTCTTGTAATTAAGACATACTTTCAATTGATTATAAGTGTTTATAATTGTGGTGTATTGCTGTCCAAAGCCAGTACGCAAAGCATTCACCTGCGTCTCTGGTGGCTATTTTCGCTCGATATCCGGGGATATCAAAGACTACAGAACAGGGATAAAAAAAAATCGTACATTGCTTTTCTGTTTCAATCCAGACATGGCAGGCAACCTTAGCTTATCCGAGGCGACGCAGTTTCTTGAGGGCGTCCTACAGATGCACTCACCCATGGATAGTTTAGCGAGAGATCGGGTCAGCTTCCTGCGTGACCTCATCGCTGCCTTCATGTCCAAGATTCCCTTCCAGAGTGTGACTGCGATCGCCACGCCCAAACCAGAGAGACGCGGGTTGACCTTCCAGGAGATCAAGGTCGAAATGACGACTCGGAGGGGCGGCCTGTGCTTCGAGATAAACTACTTCACGAAGGTGCTGTTGGAAAGGCTAGGATTTGAGGTTTACCACATTGGATGCACGTTCATGGGAAAACCGAACAATCATCTGTCAACAGTGGTCAAGAATCTGAGTCGGCCGGGCGACCTGCATCTAGTAGATGTTGGCTGCGGGCATCCCGTGTTTGAGCCAATCCCAATGGACTTTGACAAGGAGTCGCCCTTATACAAGGCCAGCTATCTAGTCCATAAATTCGTGAAGGACGCGGATGGCAGCTTCCGATGGATGCACAAATCATTACAGGACTACGACGGCCCACCGAGAAGTGTCGTCCACGATTGGTACACGTTCTTGGAGTTCAAATTGGAGTTCCGGGATATCGAGTTCTTTGCCCCCCACATGGAGAACATCCACACCGTGGAGAGCGGCCCTGAGGCCTTGTCACAATTCTTGGTTAAATTGAAGGCAGTAGTCTTCCGCAACGGGAAGCTATTTGCCATCACCGGCACATCCAACGTGGAGGAAGACGCCAGTGGTAAGGTCAACAAGAAGCGCAGTTCGTCCCCTCAAGAGTTGGCGGAGGTGTATAAGGTTCACTTCCCACAATTTTCTGCGGAGACTGTACAGCGGGCTATACAGACTGTCACACTCAAGTTTGAAAAATAGCTTTGTGAATCACGTTTCCGACTTGTTAAAATGTGCAGTGAGTAACATACCAACAGAAAATGAAATCAGTTCATCTGTTTATTAGATACTTGAATCCATATAAGATGATTTGCTTTTCACGCATTAAGTGTCGTATAAATAACACCACGCAAAATCCAGAGCAGTATGTTTAAATGTATGTTACACTTTTTGAGAAAACAGTACACAAAAACAAAAATGTAAAATATGTATTACGAAACACGATTTTGTCGTCAACAAATTGTATTTCCTATCGATCAGTGTGGTTTCTTCGGAACGACAGCAACCCAGATTGAATAATTTCAGGAGGTGTTTGGTACCAATAAGATCTTTAATCCAAGAAGGGTTTTGGTAATAATTCGCTAGGTTACTTTTTGGGGGCAATGCAAATGATCATATTGCTTTTGTTTGCGTTATGAGTAACTTGTGTACGCACATGATCAAACAGATACTTTAGACTACGAACTTTTTCAAGTCTGCGAAAGTAATCGCCGAAATCGGAGTTGTAGAAACGTCAGTAAAAATAAAATAGTTGTAGAAACGTCAGCACAAAGTATAATAGGTCTGCGTTTGATGAATTTCAGAGACAATTGTTCATTCGTCATGTGGAGGTGTCTATTATAATTCTGGCGATTCACAATGCAGTGGGCCACCAAGAGTTTGCCACAGAGAGTTCATTTTTCCCAGTGCATATATTGTGGGAAATGGTCGACAAATTTGCAGCGCGGGACATTTAAAATTGTTAGTTTTTCCGGTCAGTAGTTTCGTAAGCGTATGATTTGAGGATATGTTGCCCTTTTCTTTTCTTGCTATCAATATTGTGTTTTTGTAAGGCGGCAGAACGCTATGCTCCAATTCATAACATATTAGATCAAGTTGTCTGCTGACACTCATTCAAATGGGCCATATTTTGTCGACCGTAAACTTGAAAAATGGACTCCTCGTGGCAAACTCTTGGTGGCGCACTTCATTGTGAATCGCCCAAATTGATTATAAGGGATATCACAAAGTTTCGTGAAAAGAAGGCACATGTAGGTTGATTGTGTTGGAGGGATAGGGTGAGAAGACTGATTTAGATGGGTTGGGGGAAATGTGATGTTGGATGAGATGTGTGGTTATCTGGTTGGATAGATATTGAACACTTTTTATCAATTAATGTTATTTTCATCATTCTGTCTAATGTACAACGGATATACATAAAGGTATATTAAAATCAAAACAAACAAGAAGCTCTACGTATCTTTTTTTTCTTCTTGTGGGATAACAAGGAACAACGCTTTTTAACCACAGAAGGACGTGAATTGCCATTTGGTCGGCTGAGATGACGCAAACCCGACGTACAGGGCGCCCAAGACTTCCACAGACTGGTCGTCCGTCCACTCAAGCAGCGGTTCGCTGTCTGTCTGCCTTCCCAGCCGGATGGTTTCGTCGGTCTTGGTGACCCAGAACCCCCGTTGTTGGTTCTCGTCGAAGAGGTCCTCAATGACCCTCACGTCGTTGTATGTGGCACTGTCGTGATGGTAGATGAAACTCGTAGAGGCTGCTGAGAGTGCTGTGAGCAAAGAAGTACGTGAAACGCTTCGTTATAATGGACCGATCCAGTAAGCACCGCCCCATGGTATTCTGACCAATCACAGCCGTGATTTATGTCCGACATGCTTGCACAAAAGTCCGACATGCGTGCACGCGCGTATGATGCACGTGGCAGCAAAAATGCAGTGTTGCATTGGAGAGGAGCACCTGTTAATTTGCCCACGTGCGCAGTGGGAGGGGCTTACTGGATCGGTCCATTAAACCCCAACTGGAGGTCCTAGAGTGCTGCAAAAATGTTTACCTGGAATAGGGTTTTGTATTTTTTTTTATTTGGTTGACCTGTCCCCCTTGCCCCTCCATCAATCGATTTATATCGGTCAATTTGAGGTACGCAGTAGTTCATCCTCGTACGACCAAGGGCGGATCCGGGGGAGGGGGGCCAAAGGGGGTCATGCCCCTCCCCCCAAAAAAAAGAATCTAGTTTTTTTTTAGTGACTTCGAAATAAAGGTTAAAGTGGACATTGCCTCAGATCGCGCAACAGAACATCTAGAATCCAAAAAAAATCCGGGCCCTTAAGCGGGCCCTGACCCCACGCCGTATTTTTATTTATTTTTTGACGCACTCTTTGGGGACCACGTTTTTTTAGGCCCCCCCCCCCAAAAAAAAAAAAATAATTGTCTTCTGGATCCGTCCTTGAGTACAACGCGAAGTGGTGATGCCCAAATATCGACCGTCGGAGTCGGAGGGAGTACTATCTGCATAGCTATACATGTCTGCGCCCATGAAAATACGCGGGGACGCGCTGACAATAGGCGTAGCCGTAGCTCTGGACGCCCGTTTCGGACACAGCCTAATACTGCGCGGCCCATCGTCTGTCTCCCTGACCTGTCGACGTCTGTTATCTAAAAGCAGGTAGTTATCACTTCCAAAAGAACGTGACATAACATCGCTCAGGCTTGGTACTACGCCTGGGATGAAATTATGCAAATGCAAGCGTCGATTTAATGAATTTATAATTTTCAAGACTTGACACAAGGAATAGTTATAAAAAATAATATCAACGAAAATGCGATGGGAAAACTTCAGGCACTTTTGGAAATGGGACAAATCCTGCACTCGCTGTCACTTAAAATTATGTCACCAAAATCTCGTCAGGATATGCCTGGGAACCAGTCTACACGAATGGCAACCGCGCACGCTAAGTGACGTCTTTAACCAAGATCCTTACTTAACGTGTAGACGGCTTCGGCTACAGATTCTCCACCGGATAGAATCAGCTGGATTGTGCTGCCTGTCTGGGCCTTGAAGTTCAGCAGGAGCGAGGCGGGGTCCAGGGGCTTGAATGGGAAGCGAGCATCAGTATTGGCGTTGGTCTCGTAGGTAGGGCACACAACTACAAGACAAAAACCGAACCAGACTATTACTGAAAGCAATTCTACCCATACATCAGCAACACACACAAGTGTGAATTTGCCTACAATCGGGGACCCCTATTATCCCTCTTTTGTTTGTAGAAACACTAATCCAACACTACAACACTGGTGTAACATGTAATTAATTTGCATATTACCTGAACATTTCAGGCCCACATCTTGTAAGTGGTCACAAGCAGTGACGTCATGCCAGCTTCCGTGACGGCATTGATTCAGGTGGTCCTCGCAGCCCTGGCAGTCCACGTGGGTCAAGTGGATGGCGCCCTCTCCCGGTCCAAACTCAAGTGAAAAGTCTGTGGAATCAAACATTAATGCAATTTCAAGTTAAAATGTCGAATGTCGAGTTGTTACAACCAATGTGTTAGGCTTCTTACATCTAGTAATGTAGTAAGTAACCAACGAAAAACGTATCACCAACCGATAATGTTAACACAATTCACCGATACTGATACTATATTACTAACCAATAATGTAACAAAAGTTTACTGATAGTGCAGTACATTCTACTACACTATCGGTCAATTTGTGTTACATTATCGGTCAGTAATACAGTATCGGTCAATTATTATTGATACATTATCGGTTGGTGATACTTTATCCGTTGGTCATTACATTATACTCGGCTTCCACCCATCTTTTTAACAAACCTTCAAGTTCATGGCGCACAAAATGCTCTGATAGCAAATTAAGGGTATACAAATCGTGATTTGGCCATCGTAGGCCAAATTGGGCTTTCTAATTTCTGGTATGCAACCAAGCTTGTGCTGGGATTAGTCTAGTCTAACAAGACCACACAAAATAAGAGCGCCCTCATCTGGCACAATACTTACGTGGATACTTCTTGCAGACAACGCCTTTCTTCTCGGTGCACTGCTTCACCGCCCACTCGCCGCCGGCGTGCTCTATCGATAAACACTTGTGCTTGTCGGCGTCTGGCACGGCGTTGTCCAGAACCGACTCCCGGAAACCAGGGAAGCTTCCATCCGTCCAGTGCAAAGACTGGAGATAATCGCCTGTAAAGGAGCAGTAACAAGAGCGGGTACCAGTTACTCGAGCGTTGGTGACATCAAGAGTGTTTTACACACGGCGATTTTTTAACAGTCAGAGTTTTGTTTTTTTAATAAAGCAAAATAAAAGTTTGACTAAAACGATTTTTTTTAGGTTGACGAACAGAAAAATGAACACATTACATTATATTATTTGTATGTAAAAATAGAAGTACTAAACTGAAAATATACCAAAACAGAGCATTCCAAATTGTTGAGAATGAAAAAAAAATGATAATGATTTCCATCAGCAGATCATAAATTTATGAATGAGTGGGTTCAAACTAATAAGTACGGAGACATTTTACTTGTTGATGTCAATGTGTTGAATAAACAATAAACAACGTTCTATTTCGAAATGTAATCCGCCGAGAAACTTCATAGAAGCGCTAACATTTTTGCCAACCGGTTGGTGAAAATGTTAGCGCTTCTGTGAAGTTTCTCGGTGGTTAACAATCAGAAACAGAACGTTATATGTAAAACAAACCAAATGCTTAAGCAAGCTACAATGAGCCAAGCGTTACCCGTGTTTAACTCAACATTGCCAAGGAACGTAAAAGACGTTGAAGGAGCCTACAGTGATATTTACCATGTTGCGCTTACTGACGCTAACGTTGCAGTCACTACCCAGCATCTAATTTAAATCCAGTTTAGACAGGAGCCTACATGTATGTAACGGACATTTTGTATATCACTTTGTTGTTGCTTTTGCTTACTTGGGTCACAGGTGCGATGACCTAGTTCTTTTGTTTGGCTAAGTGCGCGCTCCGGAGATACTTTCTATGAATAGACTACTAAAAGCTTTGGCTACTCCAAGTTGTTACAATGTAATTCATTTTGTGCAGCTGTGCTTTTCTATGCTAGGAATCAGCAGTTGTGGGACTATTTGCTGTTAATAAATTTGAGTTTCTAGTTTCTTCAGGAGTTTGAAATCCTGTGTGTCACCTTTTCTTGCGTTTTTGTAGCCCAATACGTTCACGCTACCATATTATTAAAAGACCTTGTCACAATTCGTCAGCGTTTTCACGAAGGGACGAATTGGGCCATGGGGTGTTGAACAGTGGTTTTGAGGAAAACGGGTTTTAAAGTGGGTCACTTTTTGAGATACAGCACCTATTTTGGACCACATGCCGAGTTCTTTTTGATACAGTTAAGTTGAGATCTTAAACTTTAAAGAAGTACAAATTACAGTCTAATAATAACAGACTACTTTATTGCGGAGTAAATTATCGCCACAGAGATTTGTCCGTTCGTGACAACTCAAAATCCCACATGCCTGCTGTTTTGCCGGGGTCGGCTCATAAATCCAACGCCTCATAGGTCCGACAAAATCGCATCCCCTAACCAAATAAAGGCCCATAAGTCCGACGCCTCATATCGGTCCGACGCCTCGTCAGTCCGACAAATTAAACGCCTCGTTTTTCCGACGTCGGACTTACGAGGCGTCGGACTTATGAGGCGTCCGACCTATGAGGCGGAATAAAAAAATTGTATGCCTCATAAGTCCGCCGCCTCATAAGTCTCATAAGTCTCAAATTTCGGACTTCGTTGGACTTATGATACGGCCGCGTTTTGCCCTTCGCGCGCGCGCGTCTTTTCGTAAAACCGTATAAATTCCATCCGCGCATTGCTTTTGCCCCATAAAACAACGTGATAGACTTTGAATTTGTGTCTTTGTAAAAATACTCAAAATACGATTCAGGTGAAATTTCCCTTATTTTGATTGTCACGATTTCGTTGATTTAAACATATTTTGACCAAAAAACTTCGGCCGGAAAAAAAAAGACTTTTGAAAAAAAAAATGTTTTCTTGGCCTAATTCGTACTTTCGTGAAAACGCTGACGAATTGCTTGCAAACTGTTCTCTACTGCATTGCGGCGTGTCTCGAGATATGTTACTGATTTCAAAATGTTGCCATAAAAAAATGTGGGTTAATATGTAGAAGATGCATATATCTTTCAGGTCGCCTAATGGTACATGGTCTTCACACACCGTTCTCATGGTCAGCATTGTGGGCCCCGAGCCAGATCTTCGAGGGATGGGGAAAAGTGTCTCTGAAGAAGGTGTTCTCAGCTGACGTCAAAATACTCGCCTAAAATTGGAGGTGAAGAGTAAATACATGACTTTAAATTGGCCATCCTGTAAACATGATTGTCAGTGGCGGCGCCAGACTCTACAATTTTGAGGGGGGGGGGTGGCAAGTGAGGGGCAAAGAAATAATGTTGGGGGCAATGTAGAAAGTCGTAAAGAGGATGCAAGGGGAGTGGCTGGACATCAATTGACGCTTGAGGCGATGTTCAAGTTTCATAAATATGTTTGAATAGTAGCGTTTCTGGGGCCATTCCGACGGTTTCCAGTTGAAACTAGACATGTAATGTACAGTGAAAATATCGACTTCCAGTCTTTTCTTTAGTGGTTTCATTTTGTTTACCTTATTTGCTTCCTTTTTCTAATTTGTTTGATTTTTCCTGGGGGGGGTGGGGGGGGGGGACTGGGGGAGCAGGGAATACAAACGCCCCCTACCCTAGCCCCCCCCCCCAGCGCCGCCACTGATGGTTGTTCATCAAGTAAAATAAACAGCTGTTTACACAATTTAAAATTGAATGCGCTTCTGGAACGAGGGACCCAAACAGAATTAGGTTAACAGGAGTAGATGGAGAAATTATCAATATTTAATGCAATATATAATTTCAACGAAGAAAAACATATCACACGGTTTAAATTATTTGTTTTCTGAATGTTGCAACTTTCTTTGGAACACTCTGTATAAAACAATTATGTCTGAAATTTCAAGAGAGGAGAGGAGGGTGCCCTTCAAATATCATGCATAGGGTCACCGAGAGAGAGATGGATTTTTATATTTGAAGAACCAAACTTAACATTTTGTTCAGTCCAACCTCACTTACCAAATAAGATCCCGAGAGGCGGCAGATTTCTTCAGCTTCCATGAAGTCCACGTTAGGCTGAGAAAGGCTTCCCCAGTAGCACGATCCTTCGTAGTACAACCAACCCTCGTCGCACAAATTCTCTAAAATCCATACAAATTATACCGGGGAAAAAGTTTACACAGTCAGTGAAGATGAAATTACCAATGTTACTCTTTGTTGATGGTTGTTTTCATACTAATGTTAGTGATTTAGAAAAACAATGCAATATTTTCTTCAATTTAATAGCGTTTTATGGGAGTAGTTTAAGGTTTCCAGAATAAGGTTTTCCCGGCCAGTTTCCTAAAATGTTCATTCACTTCTGAAAATCGGTCATTCGTGTTCGTCTGAATTTGAGAATCGCTCGGAACACGCGTTTCATTTTCGATACCAGATCATTCGATTCCATTTCAGTTCAATCAATTATGTTATTGAGCATGCACCTTTCGTTTATGTTCATTCAGATTCGTTTACAAGACTTCTTTTTCGCTTTTAGAGGGCGATTTCGAACATTCACCATTCGATTTCACTTTTAGTTTAATGCATTCGGCACCAGATACAATTAGGGGTTTCTTTTTCATTAACCGTCAATCAAATTAGCTGTACCTGAAATCAATTTAGAAAAGGTATGCTTGCGTAAATGAATGCATAACGTATTTGGCCGTCTGTTTCTCAAAACCGAATGCACGGACAATACAAACAATTGAACTTTTGAAGAATTGAAATGGGATTAAGGACGTGAATTCAAATTCAGACGAAAATGAATGACCCATTTTCAGAAGTGAATGAACTTTTCAGGAAATTGGCCGGAAAAAAAACTATAATAAAATTTGCTTGGGAAGGAGTGTGCATGTAAGGAGTGTGCATGTAATGAGCAATAAGCATCACTCAAAAGAAATATAGTATTATGTTGCTATAACCATTTGGGGGACTACAGGTTCTCAGTAATTGTGGAACAACTAACGGGGATCGATCGGACACGGTGGCCATTGGAGCATGGACGTCGCCAGGATGGGGCGCCCCCCCCCCCCCCCCCCATCGCTTGTCTCCCCATCTCCCCAGCCCGAACGAGGAAAACAGGAGAAAAAAGATAAAGGAAAATAAAGACGAGGTGCAAGGTCTTATTGATTAATTTAAGGCACATTTAACAGCATGGGCGTCTGCAGGGGTGTTAATGGGGTTGGAGTGGGCAAATATCCCCCCCCCCCGACCTACCCTAGAAAAGAATGTTAATTTGAGAATATGGCAGATAAATTGCAAGGATTTTTGGATAGAAAAATCCGGGCAACACCCATGCATTGGAATAAAGGAATATATTGCTCCCAACCTTGCTGTTGTGAAGTGCGCTCAGAAAATATTTTGCAAAGACTGCCCTTTTTCATTCAAATGGCCTTTCCTCACCACTGCTTACCCGCGCCCCCCACCCCCAATATTTTTAAAGAGTGCCCTTCTTTTGTTAACAAGTGCCATCTTTCTCTGAACAAGTGGTTTTTTTAAGAATTAAAAAAATAGTGCCATTTTTGTACTAGCGCGCGGCTGTTACGAGTGTTTTTTTTTAAATTTCGAGCATGTATTGCATGAATTTTCCGTTAGTGTGTATAATTGTCGGTTTTGAACAGCGCCCCCATCGACTGATGGTACCAGCCCCCCACCCCCACTCATTTTGTTTTACGGAGGCCAAGTGTCCAGAGAAAAAACAAGTGTCTACATTTCAGCAAGTGCCCTTTTCAAGAAATGCCCCCCCCCCACCAAAAAAAAAATGAGCTTGCTACACCCCCGTATCATCACGAACTATATAACCACCAACCCAACAGGTAACCAAAACATGGCAGCCTAAAGCCGCCCTTCAGGTCGACCCGCGATTTGCTTGAACCGCAACGGAACTGTCGGCATCAAGCAGAAAAGTAATGCTCAGGTCACAACACTGAGAAATCGTGTTGAAGTTGAAGATTTCCTACTCTTGCGGGTTTTTTTTTTGTTAGCGCCGACTGATGCCGATCGCTTTAATATCGTCGCAGTAAACTCAGGTCGCACAAAATCGGCGACTGAGGTGTTCCCGGCGGTCGTAGCTCAGGCGCAGCTTGATCCGATGAAAAATCAGTCGCCGACTGATCTGTGTCGTCCTGAGGTCAACCTGAGGCGGACCTAATGACCCCTTCCTGCGAGTATTTTTTTTTCTGCACCACGTATAGTCAACGACCATATGCGCACGCGTCAGTTCGTAACGGAAAGGTTCTCGGACTTAACTTCCCTTTAAAAACTGTACTGAGTTATTTCAAATGACATCACAAAATTATACTAGCTCGCAGTTAAAAATAAAAGCTTCCCGCCAGAAGCAGTGAATGGAAAGTACTCCGATAACAGAGGTGTCAAGTGCCAATTCATAATCTCAAAATGGCCCAGCGGGTGGGGGTGATCGGCCGTGACAATTGTAGGTCAAGCCGCCTGCTGTGCCCTCCGTACGTTCTAACAGTGGCTCTCCATCCCGACCGTGTAGATTTCTTGTCACTGGGCCTAATAATGAAACAGCTGCTCGTGACCACGTTCAAATCAAACAATTCGAGTATTCAAGGTAAAGCAAACATTTTTTTTTTAGCGGCTGCCATGTTCCTACAGTAGATTCTGCCTCTGGGTTATACGTGTTCAAACCCAACATGCCGTCCCATTATTTACAGGCCAGCAAGATGCGCAATTCTTTGAGTGTTACTACAGTGCAGGTTCAAGTGCGTGGCACTCCTCCTAAATAAAAAACACACTTTGACCCGTTCGTGTCTGAATGAAAGACGGTTGAGCGGCTTTACAAAAAAAAAAAAAACGGAGACCTGCTTTGTTGTTCTATACCCCTTTCAAACTGTGTGATTGCATCAGTCGGTAGGGATTTGGAATCCATTGGAGGTCTTCAACACTCGACCCTCATGGAGTTATACGCCTTCACTTCTTGAAGTTTTTGAGGGAAAACGCTTCAGGTAGGCATATGACATGTAGTGGAAGAGGAACAGGTGGAAGGAGCAATAGATCAATGAGATAAAGATGTGTATCAAAACCTTTTCTACCTTTACTATCTGTACCATGACTCAGTTTTATGGCTGTGTTAATGATCGATATAATATCGACAGTGTACATGTCAGCAATATATAATTTCATGTGAAATTGGAGGAATAATTAAGCTCATCAACTGTTCCTTGCTCTATGAGCTAATGTACGAACAAAGAGAGAATATGTTTAACATTTAGGCTCTGATAGTGGTATTTTCTATATCGTGCTCGTATTCAACAATGTATTAATGTAGTGTGATCCGTCATGTTATTCTCCTTTCAAACGATTTACCTTACATGTTTGTTGGACCGTATATCCCATGCCAAAAAAAATACAAGGAATAACTATGACACCGACTAAGCGATGTATGTTAATTTTTCGCAGGAAAAAAAAACAGGGCCGGGAATTAAGAAGCAAAGGGGAAGACAAATCCCCCCCCAACAAAAAAAAGAACACTAGCTCCCGTTTCAGTCCAGTTGGCCCGGTTCGAATCCCAGCCGAGACATTTTAAAGTTTCCGATTACAGGGTTCGACTTTAGCGTTAGTCCGCTATATAGCCAAATGCTAGTCAAAACAGCGGCGGGATTCCTTAAGTAGTCCGGCTGGCGCGAGTCAAACATTTTTGGGATACGACAAAGATGAAAGGACAGGAAGACATAAATCATTAAATTCAGAAAGCAAACCTGTATCAATGTGTGTCTAATGTTATTAACTCTCTAGGTTTAACCTTCTGTTTATTAAACATATTGACACGATTGCCTCAGGATTACACGTTTTACATGTATGCACATTGTTGTTTATGAAAGACTCTATAAAAGAAAAACATGCGGGCTAGTGAAAATGTCTGTGGGCTAGGTAAGCCTGTTTCAGTAGCCTTGCTGGCTAGTGGGAAAAAGGTTAAGGTCGAACCCTGCGTTTCCCACTTCATTTCGCCCGGGGATTGCTGTACCACATGCTCTGATGTCTTTACAATTGTGTACGCGTCCATGATGTCGATGTAGGCCCTATATTAATTAGGAGGGTGCTGATATATAGCCTTTGTTGTTCCTGGCACTATTTATCCCTTAGCGTGTTTTCTCTTCATAACATCGGAAATCATTGTTTCCTCAATTGTCCAATAGCGAGCATTGGAAATCATTTTTTGATCCTCTACTTTTTCCTAATTCGGAGCAGGGGCAGATCAGATCGAGCACCCGTAATTACAATGGCAGCGCCCGTGGACGTCAAGGAAAAGACAGCACCAGTCATTGACTGGAGCGTGTGGGCAAGGACACCGGGACTAGAGGTAGGCTTACTGAAAAACGGTGCGGTGCGTGCCACACCGAAAATAGTCGATTCCGAGTTATACTTGGTCAACTTTCGATGCATTTCCAGCCGACTTTTGGTCAATGATGTATCAATCAAAAACAAAACCTTGTCTGGTCTCACTCAACGTATTTTGAAGTGTCTTGTGTTTCATGTAGGAACATGTACTCATGGTTGTTACTATGGTTAGGCCCTATGTGTTTTGTCTGTTATATGGGGAGAAGTTTAAAAGCTTTTGCTTCACTTCTATCCCAACATATTTGTAACCATACAGCAGATTAATCAATTAACAGATTAATCAATCGGCTTTGCAAATGTATTGTTTTATTTCCAAGTAATATGGTGCTTAGTTTATGGAAGAATATAAAAGCAAGATTACTTTGTTTAGTCACATCGAAAACGAAAAACTATCAATACGTATTTTCCTCTGCATGGTTGTCAAAAATATGAATACAAAAGCCTCATGACCATGCATGACCTCTCCCCAACTGCCTATTCTCCGCGTTGCTTTTGTTGTACTTCGCATTGCTTTTGTTGTATAACCCTAACTGATGATCGGAGCGTGTGCACGACTGTGGCTACGCACACAGTTCATTGCGGGACACAAAGCCCACAGAGTCATGGAAAGGACAACAGAAAAACGCCAGACATGATGTAGTTTCCATGTGGATATCTGTTAAAAATATGTATTTTTTCTAATTAATGCCATGAAATCTTCATAGCATGAAATCGTCATATCTTCGTGTCAGGAAAGGATATTGTCATGTACATGGTGAAATGATACCGCCCTCAAAACAGCTCTCAAAACAGCTATTGCTTTCATACAATTCAGCGACATGCATGGTTATCATGGCTGTCATGCTCCATTCTAATAAATCTTAGCATTATTAAGAGTTTAGGCTGACAGTGAACACAATACAGTCAGGGTACAAGTCAAGTCTCAAATTCATCACAAATAACCCAGTCTCGTGTCCAGTGACGAGCTAGTCTACTGAGGCAATGCTAGTTCCCTTTTTGCTGTTCATCTCCGCGATGCATGTTATATCGTATTTGGGGAGTCGACGAGCGACAGCCTTCTGATTCGACTCTTGATTGACGTGATTCGGCTTAATATGCACTAACCATAGCGGTCTTGAACCCTCCAAGTATAATATACTTTTCCATACACCCTAGCAGGTTAGCGTTAAGAATTATGGACCCTGCCCCTGACTGTGATAGACAAGGGGTATCCAAGGGGATGGATGGGGTGGCTTATAACACCCCCTCCCACCGGTTGACCAAAGTTAATTAATTAAATAGGGCCTAATGGTGGATTCCAAAATGTACTTCCCTGAACATTGTTATCACATTGTTTCATATCAGGATATGCTGCTTTAGGCATTTTTGTCTTTTATGTGTTTTCTGCAACTGATCATTATGCATTTCCCCTCCCCTTGAAGAATTGTAAGAGTTCAACAACCCACCTCCTCCCCCTCTCTTGGAAAAATCCTGGATCCGTGCTAATATAGGCTTATTAAAAGTTTGCCCCGTTTGACTTTGATATTCAGCAGCTAAGAATCTACTTGAGTATTTTCTCTTCTTCGTGTGCAGAAATTTGGTCCAGGGTCTAAAGTGGAGCTCATCGACGGTGGAGTCATCAACTTCGTGTACCGGGTGCGGAGCGACAAGGACGATAAACTGACAGTCGTGGTGAAGAACAGCGAGCCGTATGTAAAGGTACTTCCATGACATAATAACAAGAAACAATTAACTAGTAGTTTCTTGGCTAAAGTATTATTCAGAAATCATGCCCAAAATCCAAACTTATTGATTGGGTCTCTTGCCTGTATCTCTCAGTTATAAACTGATAGACACCAGGTACCAGTTGGAAAAAAATACTACTCTTCGGGAGCTTTGAGAATGTACGGATCCACTTAAACTGATGCAGTTCTGATTTAGGCTTAAAATGGAATTCGCACGTAATAAGGCTGAAAGTCACTCAAGGTAACGACAGAAAGAAAAAATGAAAAATCAAAGGAGAAACTAACTGATTCGAAAAGAATTATTACTTCTCTTGAGGGGAACTGCCAACTGCTTATTGCTCTTAATTACTGGGTCTTAAACAGCAATAGCACATTCAAAATCGACGGTTTCGTGTCAACTGCAGGCGTTTACCATGCAGCCTCTGAGCCCAGAGAGAGCGCGTGTGGAGATCTGGGCAATGCGGAAGATGGACACCATCGTGCCCGGCTCAGTACCCACGCCGTACCTGCACCAACCTGACCAAAACTTCAGTAAGTTAAAATGACAGCTTCGTTTGTCTCGTCGGAAGACACGCCTTGGGTCTGATGGGTCCTGAAATGAGCGAGAGAGAGCTTGGAACTACCAAATCATGGGTTAAGTTGAAATTATGTTCCTAAGCAGCACCTTGGACCGATGAATCTTAATCTTGAAAGTACCAAATCAAGGACAATGTTGACGTAACTGTCATAAATCGACCCTTGGGCACGATTGGTCATAAAGTACGGTGTCGGAGAGATACAAGTACCGACTTATTGACAGGGTTGAGATTTCTGCAAACTTGGGCCAATTGCCTCTCAACAACCATGACTGTAAGTCTAGTGTGGATAGAATACTCTCAGTCGTTTCTTACCCAGAAAACCGTTGATAAACACCAGCAGGAAGAGCCCTATTGGCTCGAGACGGACTTTACTTATTCATTACTAGGCCCTTATTGCATTACTAGAAATAATATTTGTTGTCAGAGTAGCATCTTTGAGAGCATGTCATCAGGTGTAGCCTCCATGACAAATATTTGGGAGTATATTCGTTTTTGGCCAGCGGCGTAATTGGGGGCCAATTTGCAGGTGATTGGCTTTTGGGGGTGCCTCATTTTTGGAAGAGGGCAACCCATTAAGTTCTTAATGCTGATGAGGCAAGACTCGGTCTGGGTATTGTCATCATGCCCTCAACTCCCGTCTCGCCACTGTTAAAGTTGACATACTCCCATTGGTGAATCTTCAGGATTTTTTTTCTTTCAGTGGTCTTGGAGGACCTTGGTGGCTATCAGCTCTTAAGGGAGCAGCTGAACCTGGGCCGGTTCGACATTTCCCTGGTCTGGGAGCTGGTCCGCCGTATCGCCAAGCTGCACCGGGTCACCCACCGAGTCACAATCGACGAGGCTTCCCATCGTGAAATGATTCAGTTCTGCACGTGAGTTTAATCTCTTGTCTATTAGGCTGCAAGTCTCCTAAACAACGGCTGGCAATAAACATAGCCGCAGCTCTGGGTAGGCTATCCGGTTAGAACACGGGCTATTCATCCGTGGTACAAAACCAACTGATGAAGTTCCGTTGTATGATTGTCTGGAGATGCATAACTCACTTCCAACGGAGAATTCTGCGGATTGTAGGTTCAAGTCCAGCCTTTATGGTTGCTTTTACGTGATTCATTTGGCAAAACACTATGTGCCACTAGCTTCGCTCAAATATTCAAGCGAAATTGCTTCATGTAACCAGACAGTCAAACCTAAAGATAGATTGAAAAAACAAAATCAATACACTGTAAAAATGGTGCTTAGGATTTAAACACATTTCTAAACACTTATTCTGTACCCACTTTTTCCACACGTTTAGCATCATGACATGTTTAGATGTCCTTTTTCTGTGACACACATTATCCGTTTGACATGTTCAATGAATAATATGTTTAGCATTTAAACAACTTCCTAAGCGCATTTAGATATACAATCCTAAGCACATGTCCAAAACGTAAACACGTTTAGTTTCACAACATTAAAAAGTGGTAAACGTTTAGAATTGAAACACATTCCTAAACGTTTTAAACTCTAAACACGTTCTGATGTGTTTAAATGCTAAACACTGTTTTTACAGTGTAGTTTACATATCCAGGGCTATAATTTCTTCATTCAGCTTGAACGACATGCAGTTCATTCGCACCACGGTCCTGTTCGACGACCCAATCGACCAGAAGGGCGAGGGTGGGCAGTACGCCCGGGAGGTGGAGGCGTTCACCGGAGATCAGACCCTGTACCCCAATTGGCTCAAGCTACGGTCCGTGGCCGAGAAGAACCACGACTGCCTGGCCCACGGCGACTTCCACACCAGCTCCGTCATGATCATGGGTTCCTCCATCAAGGTACGTAGAAAACTAGTGGAGGAACATAACTGGATGTAGGCATGTAAGTCCACGGTAACACTCTTGCACCTCTCAGAAAACCTCCGCGAGTGTTACCAATTTGTTAAGGAACCCGGATGATTGTAAAAAAATATTGCGTACACTATGCATTCCGGCAATTTTTCAAAATGGCCGTTAACCGATATTTATGTTACTGCTGCCCATATCTAGGTCTCAGGAAACTAACAGAAGCTTGATTTTGGTGTCTCTCCCCATGTTTTGATGGTTAAGGAACCGTATACGATGATCAACAATGATATCAGATCGTTTGGCGACAAATTCGGTAAATCACGGGTCAATCACAACTAGATATTAAGTCATTACAAGTCAATCCCGAGTCAATCACAAGACATCTGAAGTTCAATTTAGTCCAAGTCGTTTTCTACTATTCCTTTGTAATCAGATTTTTGATTTCGAGATGGCGCACATGGGACCTGCCGGCACGGACCTGGGCCACATGTTGTGCAACTTTGTCAAGCCTTATTTCGACCACAAGTGCTATCCAGTAAAAGACGCGCCGGCCTACCACGAACAGCTGAAGACAGCGTTGTATGACATCGGTACGTATATAAAGGACAGTGGTTCCAAAAGAAACTGCCTTGACCAGTAGCCTTGCCTTTAACGTTGGTTTGGGAAAAGGTAAATTGTGTGAAACTGACATGATTCTAGGTGTGGTACCTTCCCTATTAGTAAAGCAGTGGAAAATATAATATTAACTTACCTACTCTTAACATTGCAACAATTCAACCAAACAGCTTTAAGTGATTGAGTTTTTACTGAGTGGCAGCTAGTCGTCCTTACTCACAGCAGAAGCTGAATTGCGAAGTACGCAGCTAACATCGTGGTGGAGCCGAAGGCATGTAAGGGCGCTTTAGGCAGCCGCTAAACAACCCATGTCTTACCGTGGAGCACAGCCAGACGCTGTTCAAAAAATGTTAAAGTTGTCATATCATTTGTTTTCTTTCAGTGGACGCATATTTCCAGGAAGCTAGGGAGTACTTGAGCGATGCAGATTTTGCCCGCACGATATCAGAAACGGCTGGCTTCACGGGCGCCAGACTCATACGCAGGTAAGCCTTCTGTGAGCGTTCTTGAGAACAGTTTGCTCAGGATAAGTCTGGAAACCCAACTTCTAATTATATAGAATGAGGACAGGTGAGGCCTGGCTTCGTTGGTTACCCTTCTTTCTATGAAGTCCAATTTGTCGGGCTCATAATTAAAACAAAAAGCATTCCTGTATCTCTAGTAACTAATACATGGCCTTTATATACATGGCTTACCATTTCTGATTATGAACATAGCTAATGAAAAGCAAAAAGATCGCCTAACCCACAAAAAGCATTTGCTGGAAATGGCAATAGAGGGACTGAAAGTGATGGTTAACGGAAAGGACCTTCGTCCCCACACTTGTGCTGCGTGGGCCCTTTAAGTTAACTTTGCACCAGAGTTCTTCAAGTTAAGAAGTGGCTTTGACGCGTTGACCGCTGAAAGTGATCAAAATCCCTTTTACTCTTTCACCTAGTTCAAAGAAAGCTTTGCATGAAAGACAACACTTTCCTGTAAGGCAACGGAAAGGTTGACAATAGTCTTATTTCAGGGCTGATTTTTTTCTGGATGCTTGCAGGGTCTGGGGCTTCCATGAGCCAGATGAGGGTCTAAACGAGCCATTGACTGACCAGGGGTGCCTGCGGGTAGGGCAGCGACTGATCCGCGACTACGAGAAAATCCAAACCACTCAAGATCTAAAGCGATATTTAGTGGAGCAGGACGAATGATACATGTAATTTAGCTTGCGAGTGTCAGCGAGACCTTGTAAGAATTTGCGAGAATATGGAGACTGCATAGTGTGCTGCATATGTTGGCGGAAGTATTTTCAGATAGGGCTTTAAAAACTAAAGCTAGTTATTTGCAATATGTATCTTTAAAAGGGACAGAAAGAACCACTGACATTTGAAAAAAATGTTAGACCAATGCAAATTAAAGACCAAAAGTTTCTCACATCTGCATTTCACGCAGAGTTGGTATATCGCGCTTTTTAGATGTGACATCTTAAAAAAAATAGATTTTCAAACTGGATTGATAAAATTAATTTCTAGCATCACATCAGTTATGAGCTTTCCACTGAGACATCACACGAAAGAAACCAAACAAGTATCTATATTAATTAATTGCAAGTTTTTAGTTAAGAGCGGGACGCTCCTAATTCTCTCTGAATAGTGTGCGCAATTTCCGAACTGGAGCGCTCCATTTAAAACAACTTTTGTAAAAACTGTTTTAAGGCCTGTAATAATAAACAATTCCCTTTAATTTTTCAGAAGAACAAAATTACAAAATTTTTAAAAAGCATGTATAGGCCAACTTTAAAATACTAACACATGATGAATACGTAGCTAGAGCCTCCGTTTATTTCATGGAGACCGTAAGCAGTAAGTAAAGCAAAAGGCACGCATACCTCGAAGGAAAAAGTTGCTGAACTTAGTGACGTAATAATATAAATATCCATGCGCGCGCGATCGTAAGCACATCCACGCCATGAAATAGTACTTAGCACAATGTACTGCTAAAGTAAGCAAAACTTTTCTACTAATTGTTAAGCATCACCGTCATGGGCGTCGCGAGGGGGGGGCAAGAGGGGCACTTGCCCCCCCCCCCCCCCGGAAAAGCCAAAAAAAAAAAAAAAAAAAAAAAAAAAGGAAGAAAAAGAAAAGAAAAAAAAACGAGGCGCGAAGACAAAGTGGTGTAAATTTAATGAGTTGGGAGGGGGGGGGCAAAATGTCCCTGCCCCCCTCTAAAACTGATAAATCGAGAATGTGTTGAAAAATACAAGCATTTTTTGGCAATTTTTTTTTTTGCCCCCCTCTAGAAAAAATTCTGGCGACGCCCATGAGCACCGTGCAATTGGGCCCAGGCGTTATACTAAAGTAACGTAAACGTACAATACAGAGATTCAATGCTATTGTGGTTTGTGTGTGAACGTGAAAAAAAAGGATATATAATCTTGCTTTTAGCTGAGTCGTTGTTCGGAATTGTCAAGTTCATGAATATTCTATTCTTACGTACACATCATACTTGTATGGGAAATATTTTTTTTCTTAATATTGTTTCTTAATTATGATTCATTGTAAGCATTAGAATAGAAAACGTGGTGCGATACATACATTCCATTCGAACTATTGTTCGAACTATTGTATCCAACTTGGTTAATAAACTACCATTTTACGGGATTGACTTGGTTTTGCAATGGTATACCTAATTCTCCAATTGTTTTTAAAAAATATTCGAAAGATCAACGAAATTTCCACGTTTCTCATTAAGTCAAAATGTAACACTACAAAACGCACATCTTCCAAAATGCATTACTTTCTTGTGTTTGTTGTTTCATATCATTAAATTAGAATAGAAGATGAAAAAAGTAAGACTGCTGCAAACTGCTTACTGACTGGGTGGACCTGAAATATATAAATCTAAAAATTAATGTGGCCTGACGTTGCGAACTTAGCAAGTTCTTCTTCAGAGGCTAAAACAGGCTGTTTTAGCCTCTGAAGAAGAACTTGCTAAGTTCGCAACGTCAGGCCACATTAATTTTTAGATTTAAATTAGAATAGATACGTATTTTGCTGGAGTGAAACTCTATCTAAAGAACAATCCGTTTACATTTCCGACTGCCCCGATGAGAAAAATATATCTTTTGGTAGAGGGCTTGTTGCGCCATGTTCGTTTCCACAGACTCACATTCAATCAACTTCTTGCGTCTTTGTTTAGTCTTCATGAAGGGCGGAATGTGCAGGTCAAAGTAAGTGCAGGTTATAATCGCGGATCACCCTCACATTGGACTTCGACGTGACATTGTCGAGATGATCCTGCCTGATTGCACTTGACACCAGTCTTTCACATTGTGCAAGAGTTGAGCTAGCGGTCATAGATTAATAATTCTCTTAGCCAATGAAGAGGGCGTGTCAAGTCCTAGACAAACGGGATGCGTATGAAGAGGGCAGCAGGCTAAGTAAGCTCCAGCGATGTTTAGATGTCATATACTGATAGTTTGGATAGTCGGGCTCTATAAGACTTGAAGACAGGTCGCAAGACATTCATGTTTTATCAGTCGGCGCCCAATGTTTACTAGCTCGGTATTTTTTGGTATCGTTTTGATTTTATTTGCTGGCCTCGACGTGTATCTACCTACACGCATATCGAGGCTGAGGATGCGCAATGGCGTTCCAAGTGTTGGACCACTACCACACGCTTAAAGAATACCCCGGGACTGTATGCTGTATCTGTCCACGCCGGTCGGTAAGTGGTCGGGTGACCTTCACCGGGCCAATTGCCAACTTGCATTCGATTCTAGGGATAAATCCGTGTTTGACATTCAACGCTCCCTCTGCTGTTGCAAACCTGCTACAAACCGCGCAAGTCAATGATCCGTTGCAAAGTATTTCTTGCATAATTTTGTAAAGAATTAACCATAGCGGCAATGGATTGTGCTTTTCATTTAACAAAACAAATTCTTGAGGCATAGATGCAGTTGCGTAGCCAGGAATTTTTCAGTGGGGGAGGGGGGGCCGCTGGGGGGGGGGGGGGGCTGGAACATTTCATGGGGGGGGGGGCGTTATGAAGATCAATGATATTTTTTTAAGAAACTCAAAATCTCAGTGGGGGGGGGGTGCGACTGGGGGGGGGGGCGACAAGGTTTCATGGGGGGGGGGGGCTGTCCCCCCCCACGCCCCCCACCCCCGTGGCTACGCCACTGCAGTTCATACATTTAAACTTGTATGAAAAGTCAAAGAAAAGTAACTCCCATTTGACACCAAGTTTGTGTTAACTTGCCGGTAACGCCCTAAACAATTATCCAGACAAATGTGTTTATTTTGTAACAGTTTATGTTCGTCTGTCGGTCTTCTATGCTGTTATGTTTACTTTTAGGTACCTTCAATGGTACTATGTTTAATTAACCTGTTCATTTGTTTAATTAAACTAATAACGCACACATAGTTGCCAAATATGGCACTAACAACTTTGAGGTCGGCAATTTCGTCTTTAAAAATCTGGGTACGTCGGGTTACCGTACACACAATTGTCCTGGAGACAACAGTACCAAAGTACAGAAAGGCGTACGCAAGAGCTCCCCAGCAAGTATCGCGGACGCCATTATGATTCCAAAATGTCTCACTGTGTCACACAGTGAAATAACTAAACAGCGTCGTTGTATTGTGAACACATAAAGCATTCAAGTCGCGTTCTTGCACACTCTCTGCAAGTCGACATAGATATCCTTGAACCACTGCCCCTGCTTTGCATAACAAGTGCACATGAATGAACGATTCGACTTTTATTCAAAGAAATTTCTATGTACAGTCACCAGACTCTATTCAGTAAAGTCCCCGTCAAAACGAAAGTAAACAATCCACGTGCATAACGCACGGCTACACCATCGTACAGTGTGGCAGGGACACCAACAAGTAACAAAACAACTACATTTTTTTTAAAAATTGATAAATATTCTGATTGAATTTTGTTAAAAGATACTTGTTGGTGAGGTATCACATATTCTAGCAAATTGATAAAAATGTACAATATTACAATATGCAATTTTGAGGGAAATGCGCAAAATACTGCATAAATAATTTCACTTGATCATATTCATAATACACAAACCGACAATTTTTATTTTCAGACCCACAACGAGAAATATTGTTAACACTGGGCTTATTGTGAGGAGTTGTTATTTGAAGATGTTATTTTCAACATAATTTCTAAAAAATTTAATGGGACATTCCTGTGACATGAGCCTTCCAGATGAAAAGATTATGTGTGGGAAAGTATGGTACACAAACATGACTGTGTGAAAGTAGTTGTTGATGCGATCCCTGAATTTACAGCACTCCGTAGGGTGCACACCATTACATAAATTCCCATAGGCACCAAAGATAATACCCCAATTTAAACAAATCGGGGAACATACTCTGAACCCTCACAGGTGATCAAAACATACATCAAATGAAAGCTGAATTAATCCTCTTTACCTTTTTGGAAATCTTTTTTTTTTGGGGGGGGGGGGGGTTGACCTATGACTTTTGGGTGATTTTTCCCTCCAACGATGATCACCCCCTCGCCATTTTGAAAAACAAACAAACAAACAAACAGATTCCTTCCACTCCATTTCAATATAGATTCCATTCAAATGTTTTGTTCAGAAATCCAAATTCAGGGACATGGACCCTTCACTTCTACAAATACAGACCCTCAAGTGCAGGGGCCAAAATTCTTTATTATTACAGATAAACTAGTATACAAATCGTAATTTGGCCGGATTAGGTCGCGCCTATTTGGGCTGCCTCTCATATGTACTGCGATCGGGAAATCTCCAGCGTAATAAAGACTTGAAGAAACTTTATTTGAATTATTTGATATTATTTTATTTTAAATCTTAAAACATAAAATAAAAGCTAAAAGTTGGACAGGCTGCCACGGATATGTAAAAGTAAAAAAAAAAACAATTGTCATCAGACAATTATCCAAACCCCTGCCAATAAAACAGATTTAAAATTCCATTCATAACAATTAAAGTACATGTACTATTGAAAAGTAAATTGTACAAATCATACGAAACCACACGAGACGAGACATGACGAGACATGACGAGACGAGACAAGACGGGGAGATGAGACTCAGCAAAAAAATCATAGAGTGAAACATTAGACAAACCAGACAGATACAAAAATATAAAAACGAACTAATAAATAAATACTCTTACAACCCAACAAACAAACAAACAAACAAAACAAACAACCAGACTCTATAACGGGAATGAATGACAAACGGGCTAAAAAGATTATTACAAACAAAACAAAACAAAACCGAGAAACAAAAGCAATCCCATTCCCCAGAGAGAAAAATGGAAACCATAAAAACAAACAACCTAGTTGACATACATAGGTCTACACTCACATTAAATACACACACTAAAGAAACAACAAGAAAATACCCGGGAACAAAATGAAATAAGACACAATTTTACATTGACGATAAAATAAATATGACTGCAATATTTCCTCCCTCAGTTTTGAAAGAAAAGATTCACAACCTTCCATAGTTAAAACTTTTTCTAATTTTAACACGGTGACTTCGGAGAACATCAATGAGGCAATCGATCAGTTCTCGTATCTTGTAATCCATGTGTCTATCAGTTCTAAGTTTCAAGTGGTGACACGTTAAAGGCTGTGCGATGGAGCTGCCCTGCAATTCATTCCTGAAATTATTGTTGCATCTCGAACTATTAGTTCATTAACTTTATATTAGAATCAACATTATTATCCATGA